GTGGTTTTAAGTCAGTAAGAGTCTGACACTCCTTTGTGCCACACACAGGGTGGGAGAAATTATTTGATGACTTTTATTCTCAAAAAATCTTCTCTGAAGGACCGACTGACGGGCCGCTCTATTTCTTTGTTGACATTTATATATTGGAATAAGAATAGCTCGCATCGTTTGGCAGTAAAATTTTTCGTGATCTGAAGTTTATTGTGAAGCTGAAGGATGGCTTTTGTTCAGCAGTAGAGGTATCGCGAGTTCATGATGATGATAATAATAAAATAAAAATATATTCATAGTCATAAGGTATTTGTTTCTAAGATAAGCGACAATAAAACTGTAAATAATTTAGAAAGAACAGTTGTAAGTCTTTCTTGGTTTCCGGAAGTTGTTTTTCTAATGTCTGGATTAATTATCTTGCACTTTTTTTCATTCTTCTCTTCTTATTTCATTACATTTCCGACTTTATTACAAGAACACTAAAGTAAAAATACCTATAACATAAAAAAGACGAAATGAAGACGTCCAAACCGCAGTCGTAAACATTGTTTTATTAGTACCTATTCACAATGTTAAATTAAGCAGAATGTAAGTAGGTAGTATTAATAATTTTCTTTATTACCCACATTCGTCAAATCAGTCGGGAAATATATTATTAGTTTAACATACATATATCTACATAATATTAAATACGTGTATTTTATTAGCATCTGTTCACGACGTAAAACCAATTAACAAATTGTTACCGACTTGATTATCAGGAAAAGTCTGACAGATGTTAACATAGAATTAATTAAGTGATACCGAAAATATACGAAATAAAAATACAAAAAGAAGGTTATGGTTTATCATGAAATATATGTGTAAAATAAGTTTGTGAAGTTTGACGTTTTTTGGGGAATTTAATCCACTACGTAAGAAAATTAGGCAATAATTGATATTTTGACTAAATATGTAATATTTAATTGTATTAGATACTAATAGATAATTAATATTCAGGTATTATTAGAGTCTATATTGGTGCTTTTTACTTGTGAAACAATCAATGAATGATGTTTGGTTTTACGTAGCCCATATAGTGGTGTAACTGAATGGTGTAAATGAATAATGGTGTAACTGGAGATAACTCCAGCTCGAAATCAAAGCAATGCCAATTAAGAAACCCAAAAGGGAGAAATAGAAAAAAATTGTTCTATTAAAAATAAAAACTTGGATGAAACCGCAGAGCACCGGTATAGCTCTCCATGCTTCGCATTCCTCATTGCTGAGGGTCGTGACCTCCCTTCGGTATCACCTTCTCCCGTACGATCTTCCTCCATCCAATTCTGTCTCTGGCGGTGTGAAGGGCGCCGTGGATGGTAGAGTCCAAAGTGGTGCGGATCTGATCGGAAAAACGTATCGGGCTGCGACCACGAGGCCTTTTCCCCTCCATTTTTCCGGTCACAATGAGTCTCTCCAGGTTGTTTCTCTCTTTTCTTCGGTATAGCTAGATACGTGTTATTTTTATTACCAAACAAACACGATTTTGAAAAAAATATATATACACAGATAATAAATTACTTCATAGGCAGCCACTTAAAATGTCTATAGACGACTCTTTTCATACATTAAAATTTACCAAAAGTAAACGATGGGTGTACAATTTAATTGACCGGTTTACACTAATTAATTCCCGTTCAAGGTTCTTTTTATGAATCATATCGGCCATTTTATATTTTATTTATAAAAATTAGAATATATTTGTCAAAGTCAAGGCCGCCATACAGCCACATTAGCATTTTACAGTGAACTTGGTAATATTTAATTGAACATGTGCCTCGATTATAGAATTATTTTAAGCAATAAATCCATAACCTGTACACGACAGTTCAATGTTGATTACATCACATTTTGCATTTTTATTATCTGTATCGGTTATTCGTCTGGTATGGTTGTCGCCCTCGAGTTGGTTTGTATAGAGAATCATGAATTTCTTTAAAAAAAATACATTTTTACGAAAGTAAACAAACACAGAAGTTACGCGCATAGTTTTATAGCTTTCTACGAACTTTACAATCGCCTACAATTGCGCATATTCAACCCTTGATTAGGTAGTTTCCTCAGTCATTAATAAATTGTTTCCACATCATTTTTTACATTAGACTTTTCGAAAAACGTGTTGATTTTGATTAATAATTGGAAAGTACCGTATGCAGAAGCAAAAATATATGTAAAAGAAAACAGTTGAAAAATCCTCTACGAGTGGCGCTAGTAAAAGTAAATGGTATGGAATGAATGTAGCAATTGGTGACAAATTGAAGTTAGCCGAATAACAAAAAGCTACTGTAGCGCCACCCTAATGTAACACATTTGAGCTAATCATTTTTACGTACAGAGATGGTTTTCCTTTCATCTACCATCTACCTTCAAAATCGTAGATCAACTCTGATCCTTAAAATCTAGACGTAGATATACCTATAAAAATGGTCAGATCTTCCACACGTCACCTCACCAACTCATTCCATGGATTACCTAATTGCCCATCTGCACTGTAAGACTATAACAACCCATTGTCCTCAGTTAACCCATAACTTGCGTGGGAATCATAAACTATTGCAGTTTATATACTGGAAATGCTCCTTACTTTACTCACAATTATAGAACAATCCTTTATAATTGTATGTTTTGGAAACAGAAACATACCGTGGCACATTGTTATAAATTCCGGTATAATTAAGCTTCAATAATGAGCCACAGGTTTTAAGTTCCTATATAGGTAGTTAGATACACATACACCCGCGCGCGGCTTCGCCCGCATGATATGTTGATAATAAGTAGCCTATGTCCTATTCCGGATTGTTTTCTATGCTTGTGCCAAATTTCATCGAGATCCATCTAACCGTTATGAGTAACAAATATTCAAACATCGTAACTAATAGCGATGTCTGGAGGCTCGCGATCCCACCATTAATTACACAGTCTTTGCAATTTTGTGAGGCTTAGCTCAAAAGATACTTAAATAATGATTAATAATTTACGACATGATCAGCAAAACACAATTAGGAACCTGATGACTATGATACGATGGTATAGGTATAGGTGATCTAGCTAAATCTATACTAATATTATAAAGAGGTAAAATTTGGCCCTGGCCCTTATTTCTTATTATTATAAAAACTGATATAAAAAAAAACTAGAAATCGAAAAAAAAAGGAAGGAAGATATAATTTTCAATTTTACACCCAATAAAAACTTTTAATAAAATAGATCAATTATAAACCTTCGCACGAACTACGTAAAGACGAAACGATTAATTTGCAAAAAAAAAATAAGTTAATTACGCTAATTGAATTCTTGTATTACCCTGACCTACATAGAATGTGTACTTATGACATAATATGTGTATATGTGTGTGTGTAAAAATGTTAATTGCTAATAAATATATAGAGTTGACCTGTGACGTCATAGTGCATTGGATGATTCAGTGTGGGTTCACGCGAATGCGGTATTAACGACTTTGGTATTAAACCGTTTGATGTTCAACGATTAACTCACGAATGAGATAAACTAGCAATTTATTATGAATGACGAGAACTGTAGCTACATAGTGTCTCGACTGATGTTTTTGTCATACCTAGTCAGCGTCTACATAATTATATTGTCATGCATTTAATATTGTAGGTAATACAAAACTGTAGTAGAGTTTGCTTAGTGATTGATGAGACAATTATAAAATATTAATGGGTGTATTACTACCAATACCATAACATGTAACTTCCTGTATCTTACAGAACTGGACGAAAGCTACCTTTACAACTTACTCTTTATCCTTTGCTAAAATCTTCAATGTAACAATTTTTAAGAAAACGCCACAAACTAACAACATTTTGTCGTATATCGTATGAAAAAATTGTGCGTGCTAGCTACCAATCGCTGCAAACGCTTTTGTAAGATCAAGAAACACCGAAACTAAATAGCAAAGCCTATTGAATATCCGAAAAGCGTGATAAGCCAGACAGAATCTACATCGCAACATGGCACCAATCTAATGACAGTATAAAGGCACAATTATAAAACAATAAAGCCACTTCACAGTACTCAGATGTTCACCGATTACCAAGCAATACCTACATCCAATTACAATTTAAGTTCGTTGCCGATAAATTGAGATTTATAATGGGTATAATAGCGGCACGTTTAGCTAGGTGCTACGTCTGTTTAACGTCAAAGGGAAAATTAATGGATGCCCCTGTTTTAGTAAACAAAATGGTTGATTATCAGCGATGGCCTCTAAGTTTTAGGTAAAACTTTTTAATTTAAGGAACTTAGATGCCATTGAAAAGCGTCTTTTGGCAAAATATTCGGTGATTTCTCTTAAAAATTTTAATACGCTCATTAATTTTATAAAGATTATTGTTGGATTTTCAAGATGCATCTTCTTTTATAATAATAGTCAGTAACATTTTACCCATATACGCGAATTTGCCCTTTGAAGTTTAAATTATATCAGAGATCGGCGCGTGAGCTGTAAATAATATTAGCTAATATACCTGTCGCACGCGGGCAATACATATTCATTAAAGGTTTAGTGTCGATGCTAGATCATATTGATATACGATTTAACAAATATCATTTAATATAGTTTAACGTTCTTTAAAACACAAACTCTGTGGTAGATATAAAGAAAGCATCAAAAATAGTTGACCATAAACTAAATAAAAAATAGGCAGAACTAGTATTTCCATTGCTTTACACAACAAAAATGCTCTGGCTGTACAGAATTTAGTATTTTTGTTTAAATTTCGAATACCGAATTTTTTAAGCTTAAACTCAATAAACAAATTAGGTATATTATTTTTAATCTCTGTAAGTTGATTGATTATTTTTATAAAAAGAATTGGTTGGCGGTAAAAATTAAAGTTAAAATTATAGGTATCTATTTGATAATATTATTATTTTGTATTTTTTACATCTGTAATTAGTTAAATGCGTCATTGTAAAATGTTGTGTCGGTTGATTTTTTATTAAATATGACTTCATTTTGTCCTCAGGCTATCGGCCATGTGTCGGGAGGTCACATTAACCCCGCGGTGACGTTGGGTCTATTTGCATCTGGTGAGATCAAGGTCCTGAAGGCTGTCTGCTACATCATCGTCCAAACCCTCGGTGCCATTGCTGGAGCTGCTTTCATTAGGGTAAGTACCTTATGAATAAATAAAAAATATTATATTCTAATTATGATGATGATAGAATGTACAACGATCGCGGATCAGAGTTGTTTGTAGTCAATAAGAGCCTGGAATTCCATATCACCCTTCCGAGGACGGGAGAAGTAATTTAATAGTTTTTCTGTACAAAAATAGCAGAAATTATAGACTTACCTAATAATATTGTGGTATTATATATTTTTTCAGTCAATGGGAGTTAATATGATTTTTGATTGATCGGTTACACTAAATAATGCTGTATGCTAAGTAAATAATTTGATGCTAAATATTACATTTTTCTCTTACATCACTGCAACTATAAATTTATTAAGAATAAGTTAAGTTATAATAACGTTTTATGTGCATCTGCAAATTAATTAAAATTTTGGTGCGTCAATTCACAAAATAAAAATACGGAAGAGTCGTGATTGTATTAAAGGACACGTTGAAGTTTAGGTTCTTAATAAAAACTAGATCTTTATTAAAAGCTCATCTTAATAATATTCATGTTTTAGATCACCTAAAAAACTAACAGGAATATAGTAAATAGAAAATCATAACTCCACATACAAATGTAGCAGTCAACTATCTTAATTAACCATTCAATCAACAGCCTGAATGACTAGATGTTTCTTAAAACGACTGAATTTCAGTTTTAAGTATAATTTTCAAAACTAATTTGTGATGGTGATACGATTTTTCTGCAGGACTACGAGTTCTAACACAACCTAACTTACAATTCTGGTAGTATGTTTTATTAAAAATCCATTCACCCTTGATCTAACAGCTTCAATGATATTTTCTTGCTTGACGTTCAAAAGTGCCTACTATGGTCTATTTAAATAAATGATTTATACTTTGACATCGACTTTTCAGTCATCCAATTAAACAACTAGTCATCAATGACTAATTGAACTAGTTGCCTACAACATAAACATTGCCTACAATATGAAGTAACATTAATTTAAAAATAATTCTATTAAACAGATAACCAAAAGTTCTTGACTGTAATGAGTTAATTAAGTAACTATCATGATGTGCGCATGATTCGATTTAGATCTTAATAAACACATCTACAATTAGGCAATAAACATCGTGTTTTAGCAATGAACCGTATAAAAATTTGACAACCCATCCGTTAATGAAGTCGAGTTACATTTTAATTGAATATGATTTTAATAAGTTATTTATTTAAACTTTGATTGAACGTCATACAGAATTATTTGATATGATGATGTTACTTTTCAAGTACGTATAAAGACCCAGGTCAACATTATAAATGTCTGTCGGTAAAGTCAAATTTATGATTGATTTCCATGCTCAATCTTGATTGATCATCTAGGTGAAGTTAGTGAGCAAATCTTTGATAGACAAGTATCCTTGTAAAGAGGTTAAAAGTAAAAACAAAGAAGAAAGCATAACAAATCGTACTCGAAGAACTAAGTGGTGTTAGCCGAGGTTGAGGGTCTAGGGTAATAAGGAACCGTGGCCTCTGCCTGGAGCAGGAGAAGGAACGGGGCGGGGGCATGTTTAGTCAGTAAGAGTCTGAGACTCCTTCTCGCCCTTAACTTGACTCGGAGAAGTCAATCGATGATTTACCCTCCTCAAAACTAAGAACTAAGTGATGTTTCCATTGCTTCGCATACCAATAAAACTCTGGCTGTAAATAATTTATTCTACATATTTGTTTAAATTTTCGAATATCGAATGTCATGCTTTAGAAAGGTATCTAATTTACTTGTAAAACCAACAAAGTCATTTTTAACATTGAGGCATTGGCTTATTAGTTAGTTTTCCCGAAATATCGTGAGAAGTAATCAACCGATTCGTCTTGAACTAGTCTAAAAAACAAACAAACAATTTATTGTGATTACGTTGGACATATACAGCTAGTCATCGTACCGACATTCTAATCGCCTTATATGTTCGCTGGGTAAAAAAACTGTCTCGTTCACCGTGACACTGATGATCTTAGAATAAAGAAACAAGTGGAGCGACCTTCAGTGTAATCGTGGAACTAATTGAACGTTGCTATAAAGCTTTTCGGATATGAGCACTTGAAAAGGTCATAAGTTTGATATATGGCGATATACTTCAAGTTAACTCTTAATTCAGCGATTTACTTTACGACATTGACTCAGGATTTTTATAATACCCATACAATACTATCATAATGAATGCATACATAATGTACTTAAATTGAATAGGTCATATATCACATTCGCCAAAGATTGCAATAAAAACAATATCAAAATTGAGGGATCAAAACGAAGGTTAGTTTGCATCATTTGACAGGAAGATTTTGCAATTACACAAGTACATAATTACTTTATCTAAGCGGTACGTACAAAAGATTTTCGATAACCGCCTGTCTGTGAGATGACAGCGTTTGTAGTACCACTTAAGTACTTATCGTTCTTAAATGTTTATTCACAAGCTTATTCTAATGAGAAACAAAATGCAAACTCGCTATATTGCGGACTTAACGTGAACTAAGAAACATGTAAACGACTTTTTAGCTGAAAAACGACAACAGCGCCACTAAAACAAATAAATGCTGGTCGATTTTCAAAGGTTTTCACGCCAATGTTGTTTATTATGTAACTTATTAATCAGTACACACAACTACGGCCTTCCTGTGACATTTCACTGACACTCACTCTAACAAGCGAACAAGGATGATCACGACAGACACGATTTTTAATTAGCATAAGAAGTAATTATGTATATTTTCATTACATTTTCTTACACCATAATTTTCTCAGTACAGTATACAAACATCACAACATTCAATTCAAATGTATAATAAGTACTATTTTTAAACCTCTTTTACATAAAGAAAAATGCACTAGATTTACTGAGTACGCGTTATGGAGGTAAAGGGTGAACAAGATGGCGACCTTTTGCTAATCTGGTCAAGTGCGCATCAACAATGTTGTGGTGAACCTATTCCAAACAAACTAACGCATTGAAATTGAGAAATGTCATTGTACAGTTACTTTTAATGATCAATAAAAATGCATAATTTCCCTTTGCCAACGATAACATTAGATTATTTTAATGTAATGAATTTTATGCATAGTTCGTATATGTGATGGTTTTAAATTAATTCGTGACATCGAGAGGCGCCGCTGCTTATGCAGATGAGTGTTTATTCGGCAATTAAATTCGAAGAGTTAATTAATTTATATATTTTGTTGCAGTTGGCGATACCCGAAAACCAAGTTGGTCAGTTCGGTATGACAACACTCGGACCCAAAGTTAGCGAGGGACAGGTGAGATCTTGTTTCATTAATTTATATGAGAAGATATAGAAGTATTTATTTTGGTAATTAAGCTAATCTGGTCTTTGAGGAATTTTGATGGGACATTTAGATTTGGTTACTTATTTCTTCTTGACCGGAATACAATTTAAAACATCAGAAAATGTATATTGTTTGCTTTACAAACTCGTATCTAAATACCTATGGCAATTAATAAGGATATAGTTGCATTACACCAAACTAACAATCACTAAATCTGACCATCAATTCGTTTGACTTTGGTATTCGTGTGTGACTTCAAATCAAAGCCCAAATCAGTTTTATAATACGAACCGTTAAGGAGTGGTTTTTGTGCTGGATTCTGCGTTCCCCGCAAAGTATAATATATAAACCTTTGGGGTCTTCAAGACCGGAGTCCCAAGAGGTCGCACTATCACTTACCACCATTGGTGATAGAGGCCAAATTCCTACCCGTTACGAAATAAAAAAAATCTCAGTGACAAAAGATCAGATTTTAATCCCATTTCTTTAGTACATAAGTATGTTTCCTCCATAGGGTGTCCTCATCGAAGCCTTGATCACATTCCTGCTTGTCCTGGTGGTTCACGGCGTGTGTGACGCGCGTCGTAACGACATCAAGGGATCAGCTCCCCTGGCCATCGGTCTCAGCATCACCGCCTGCCACGCTGCTTGCGTAAGTATTTTATATTGTTATATAATTTTAAGGTCCGAGATTATAAGTTGTAGAGAACTTTATTTAAATGATTAGTAATCGGTTTGTATATCTGGAGAACATACACAACTAAACAATGGATAGGGAATTGTCCAATTGTAGCGGTGTTGAGCATATCGTTAATTTGATTTGAAACATACATATAGTTTTTTGCGAACAAGCAATAGGTACCGTGAACAGACGCTCGCATTGCAACACTCAAAGAGGTTTATAGGGATTGGGGATATGAGGATAGGGAATGATGGGACTCCAATCTACCACATTTACGCAACAACGCAATCAACGTAATACGCAAATTGTTTCAAGCTGGCTTTCTGTAAGCCGTGGTATCACTCAGCGAGAGCCGACTCTGCAAAGGACTGCTCTTCCACGTGTGTTTAATGCTATCAACGTATTTTCCCACAGATTCCATTCACCGGCTCCAGCATGAACCCTGCTCGTTCCTTCGGACCCGCCCTCATCATGGGAGCCTGGACCTCACATTGGGTAAGTATTTTTTATTTTCGTAAAAAAGGTCCTATACAAATGTTTTATACTTAAAGCCAAAACTACTCTAAAAAGTAAAAGAACGTGTTTGGGTACTCCCAAAACTTTCATTCACTTTTATTTTTAACTAAATTATATTATAATGATGATCTAAGTAGGTATCTATAACTAATTATTAAGCACACTTTCGCCTGCGCAGGCGCCGCTACATCCTATAAAACGGGTTTACCAACATCCGATAGAGTGCTATTCAGCGTTCACATCCCATTTAAATTGCAGCCAATTTTAACTTCTATCATATTCTACTTAAGATATATTTTGTTGCAATATACATATATTTGATGTTGCACGAGTGCTTTTCCTATTAACGGCTTCCTTATATCCATGTAGTAAAGGTCAAAATCGCTTACAAAAAACCAATAAGTAGTAAAATTCAGCTTTCCGATTACTGTTCAAGTTATAAATAACATGATTCATGGACCATATTACGTTTTATAACTTGACTTGATTAAGTTTTATTGAACATGTCTTCCTTTCTAAGTAAACAAGTTAAGAAGGTTCAACTTTAAGCTTTCGTTAAAATGAAAGTGCGGTTAGTTAGTGTTGGGTAGTTAGTGCTAATTAACTATTGTTTGTAGAATGATTGATTGAGTTTTGTATGGTTAAATGTCAGTGCATTTTAAGGTCACGATGATTTGTTTGTTTAAACTGGTAATTAGAAACTAGCTTTACTTATTAGTATTTTGATAATTGGATGTAATGACTATAGCTTGCTGGTTTGGTCATTATACCTTAAAGTTGCATCTAAAGAGATGTAATTGCAAATTAAGAAATTCCTAATTAACGTAGTAAGTATATATGTAAGTATGTACCGCCCGGTCTGAAATAGTAGGGTGGTTTCTAATCGGTAAGAAACTGACAATATCTACTGTCCCGCACCCTACCTACGGTGTGATAAGCGGGCATTTAACTCGGAAAAAGGACTAAACACATAATCAGAAAGAAATATACGAAAACAAATGTATTTAAATCATCGATTCCTGTTAGAAATTATTCTTTTTTAACCACGCATGGAAGCGTGACGTATTTCGTGGAATTCAAAAATTCGTTTTTCGAATATATTTTTTACGTAGAGTTTTTTTTGAATGTTCGAATTCCAAATAATTTAAAATTAGCGATAATTCTGTACATGTAATATAAATGTTGTACTAATATAGTTTTAACCCTAAAGCCTATTAGTTCATGCCGTTAATACTATTTTGTGTGCAAATAGTAAAACAAGGTCAGTATTGTTAACACGGCGTTCAGTTAAATTGTTTTCCAACGACTACAAATAAGACTGAGCCGGAAAATTACATATATAAAGTAAATTGTGCAAATAATACCTTCTTAGTAACATGATCTCTTTAGTTCTGGACTGTAAATAGATACTTATCTCAGTCATTGATATCTATAGGCATATAGGTATCTTTCTTCATATAAATATTAACGGTTAATCGTCCAGCCGGATTTGCGGGGTAAGCGCGATGTAGCACCGCGACTTCGGACCCAGAGCAGGAGAAGGAACCGAGGGGTTTTTGGTCAGTAAGAGTCTGACACTCCCTCCCACCCCGCCCTGGGCGGGAGAAGCATTTTGATGATTTCCACTCACAAGAAAAATTGTCCGCGTGGCGTTCAAGTTGTTAAATATTTCTTAAAAAATCTGTATGATACTTACTTATTTATTCTTTTTTCAAATCCTCCGGAAATTATCAACGACACCCGCTATTTAGGAGCAGATGATTAAAAACTTATTGTACTTATTTATACCATTGTGGATGCGCGGGTCTGCTTTTTAGGCAATCGTATTTTCGTTATACACAGCAACGACTGTGCTTGTTACTTTAGTTTAATCGGATCGAAGCTTAAAAGAGTTGTTTTACCAAATAAATCTATCAACAATTCCATAGTATCTTCAAATCATAAAGCTTGTTCAGTTTCCACAATTCTTAGAAAACATACACGCCTAGTTCATTTTCTCAGAAAGGATATAAACGTATTATTGTATACAACTATTAAAGTTGTATACAAATCAATAACGCATGCATCTCTTAGCATTGACCTAAAATTAATCCTTACTATAATATTTATTAACTACAAATTAAAATACCATAACGTTTAGCACTATTATCACGGTTGTAATATTGTAATGTACGAGTCATCATCCGGGCAATTGAACCGTTTTATAATTAACTAGCTACGAGTACTCCCGCCCCGCGCAGTTTCACTCGCTGCTCGGCTCCATTTGATTGTAGCGTCATGTTTTATAGCATAGCCTATAGCACTCGGGAACATTGTAGCTATCAATAAGTGAAATAATTTTGGGAATCCGACCAGAGGTTCCAAAGATTACATTACATTACATTACATCCCTACATACAAACTTACAAACATATAAACTTGCAAATTTTACCTCTTTATAATATAAGTATAGATAGATACCTACTTACGTAATATTATATTGATATATCGATTAATCCCTTTGCTTACTATTGGTAAAATACACCTTCTTATCTAGAAGGAAAACCATGGTTAAGTGTATTTTATCAGCCGAAGCAACAACCGCAATTATGCGCCTCAGCCCGAAGTAGGAGAAGGAATGGGAAGAATCTGACAGTCTCTCTTGCCCGACTAAAGGCAAGTCAAGTCATAATTTCCCCTCAAGAAACGTTTGGTAATCATTCGTGGTAATTCGGGACACATTACAAGAACAATAAAGAGCTTTTGATAAATTAATATGACGTACTCACCTACTAAAATACCATGATATTTTACGCTACACTTGCTTCTAAGCGAAAGTAAGCGTGAACATTGTACTTAGATACAATTTCCTATTGCAGCAATATAATGGTATAAACAAAATAAACGTTGCCATGGTTACCTAACGACAGGAAGTGAGGGCCCGTCCACTATGAGTGATGGCTGACAACACTTGAATTAGAAACACAACATGGGCATTATAGAATGACTATGTTATGTGAAATCATTTCATAAGTGTTTTCTGTGTTCCCTTCTCCCCACATCATTTTCCTCGTTATTGAGGTTGGGATTTTCTTCCAAACAGTTGCTTGTTACTTTTCTATCCATAGTCGAATATATGTATCGCGCCTTGTAAGTTGGTGTCCAAGGTGGTTCGGACTTGATCTGTTTGTTTGGCAGCGTCTTTTTGGTCTTTTACCTTCTACCTTATCGATAAAAATAACTGTACTTAGTACCCAAGACAAAAAACTCAATGAAAAACACTATAGCCGTGAAGTTATTTTCCCAAAAAAATAAAACAAATATATTATTCGTAGGTATTGATATGTCCTAAATAGTGTTGTCACGACACAAAAAAAAAATTGTAATATACCTATTAAACTAACAATTTGAAAAAAGAATGGACTTTACACACGCTATGTAATATATTAGGTACGTTGCTATGCTCTTCCTACTTTTATGTAATACAAATTATCTCCTTCACGATAGTACTATAACTGGCGCTAACTTACACGACAATGACTTTGAAACTTGTTACTAAGTACATAAGTAACTTGTAAATTAGTGTAAGGTGATTTAGGCCGTCGTATTTTACTATAGGAAGCGTGTGTAGGAAAATCTAGAATAGTCAAATTCTTTCTTAAACTATTGACCTTATTTTTGACACAATTTAGTTGAATCAGGGTTGATTTTTCAATAGTCAGATAAATGTTATCTGTGGAATAAAATTGTTGCTGTCACTGTCTTATACAAAAATTCTGACGCGACAGCATCATAATTTTTTCACACCTCAGAATACAGAACAAACCAGAAGCCGCGTTCACTCATAATTACATGTCGTCAAATGTGTCCAAAAACAATACGTCAATCCCCCCGCCAGCCGCACTTCCCACCCGCCTAGTGTTGCCGAAAGTGGAACAATTCCCTTGGTTTGGGGTAATTTTACAACAGGAGGGTAAACCCAACAAAAATAGGTAAACTTACTATAAATGTTAATGTTAATTTTAGTTACACCTATTATACACAACAAATAAAACAAAGCTTCAATAAGTGCGAAGGTTTTATTGCGTTCCCTTTCGCTGGTTTAGATTTTTATAATATGTATTGTCTTTAGACTCGGAACTAAAGATTAGAAGTCTACTTACCTACTTTACTTCGTTCCTGAGATTAGCGAATTCAAGCAACAAACAAACAAACTCTTCAGCATTATAATTAGTATACCTATAGATATATCTTAGTAGGAAATGCTGTTTTCAAACCACCTTTGTCATAAATACATATATCTCTTCAAAGTAAATTGAGCAAACTAGTCTAGATGGTTTCCAAAATGAAACTAGCCGTGCCTTTTGCATCATTTTTATTTTTTTGTTAGATAATGGACAGAAATATAACCCACAAAAAATAAATAAGTGGGTAAAATTTTCACCAAAAATGACAACACTCACAAAATGGCCGCATCATTTTCATAGAAAAATAAATCGATTAAAAAAAATCAATAATTAATTAAATATACTATTGCAGTCGATGCTTGCAGACGAAATGTAATCTTATCTACTTTTTTCGTATTTCCAGCCGCATTTTTACTCGTAGTAATAACACAAGACGGCATAATGAAATTAAAATTGATACTCGTAAATACGTCACGACATGCCACGTGCCAAAATTGACTAATCGTAGAAATTTCATACTACTATAGTAAAGAGTGGTTTTAGTTGCTTCTGTTTTAAGCGCGATAACGCCTTCTGGTTTGTTCTGTATTCTGAGTTTCACACGTAACTTTTATCTAACCATTAAACAATCAGCCCGCAATGACGTAAAGTTTAGTGTTGGAACGGTGAATTGACCACCTATTTCGATATCAGAGCAACTAATTCCAATAGCCTTTTTGTCTGTAATCTCTATTAACAAAACCATAAAACTAAATGGAAAGTGTGCCAATGATTGCCAAAATAAATTGTCCAATAAACTATAACGAAATCTTGTTATACTGTAAGTATAAATACCATTTTGGACGCCACGCACGTTGCGTAGCCAGACATATTTTACGGAATCGTCATAATCGTTCAATCAACAAATTGTTGAGACTTTACTAGAAATAACGAACTCCAAATAAAAATAAAAAAAGTACTCTAAGAAAGTCCGACCTCATCAGTCACGCGAGGAGAGAAATTTCAATATACTTTGTTGTTTTTTAGCTCTCGACTAAACAGCCTGAAGTAATACTTATTACTTATAATTTATAGTAATTACGGTGTACATTTAAAAAAGCTTCAAGTTTCTCTATTAAAGATGCCTTAAGGGTACAACATTTCGTCCATACTCTGATGAGGTTAAAAGTTTGCATACTATTTTGATGTCTAGACTATTCTAGGCAGTTTACGTTTTATACTTATCCTTACTTCCATAGTTTTAACCATAAGTTATTCTAGCTACAGATCTGAATTTGTTATAGTCTTCAATATATATTTCAGAATGCTTAGATAATATATTACATCCACGCCAAAAAACTATGACCCTTTTGTATTGTCTTATCTATTAAATTGTTTATTAAAATATAATCATAAATTCATTAATTCTTTAAACGATTTACTTATCGAGTTACCCTGGCATTTTTTCTGATTATTTGTTAAAACCTTATAACATCATATAGGTAGATGTATCGATTTTATAGAAAATTTACAAATGTATTGGATTCGATTAGCTGTAAACTACCAGATTGTATAAACATTGTTCAATTTGTCTGCAGGTATACTGGGTGGGCCCCATCGCCGGTGGTGTAGTCGCTGGTGTCGTGTACAAATTCATCTTCCGCATCGGCAAGGCAGGTGACAGCGGCTCCTACGACTTCTAAGCGCGTGGTTCAACCGTCCGCGGTAAACGGCGACGTTACATTGTGCCTTAATCTAACTCCACCTTGCGCGTACACTGCTTATGTAAATGTTAAACTAATTTGCCAAAATTGAGTCTAAATTATCATCAATTTACTGTCGAAAAAAAGAAAACTTTAATCTGTTTATGTACTATAAACAGATTAATGATTTTGTTGGAAATGCATGTAAAGGTTACTTGTCTTCAAGAAACTTTGGTAAAACGGGTTTAATAGAATTCGAGGCGTGAACAGATATAAGAACAATATTCTGACGTTTATTCACCCCAAGAGACCTAATCAGCCCGGTTCTGTATTAAAAATTGGTGATAATTATTTTCTGATGGTAGTACGCGCAAGGCTAGTATTAGCTTATTGATATAACCCGTTCAAATGTTGGACCAAATTGTTAATGGACTTTGTCAATGGGCTTATACTTGTTAACTATATTAGTCTGTCACTATGCTCGACGAGAAATCCAAAGGTTTTATTACAAAATATTATTATTTTATTGTTTTACGAAAAATATAAAAAAAATGCTACGATTCGAAACCGTTATGTCGGAGTAAGATATGTAATTTAAGTTATAGATATACAAATAAAGGTTTATATGAATAAGTTTATTTATATTATGTGAATTAAGTATGTTTAAGTGGACGTTCATTATAACACGTCCATACTCGCGTGCCTGTGCTAGTTATGTGATTAATTATAATTATAAATATTGTGAGTTTAATGTAACACTAATGGGTATTCACATCGAAATTTCTCACACGAAATGTTTTTTTTTAATAAATGTCATCATTATAATTTTGTTTTATTATTTGTCTATAATTTACACCTGTGCCTATAGTATAGAGTAAAATAATCTACAGTACAGCCAACCTTAAACTATGTTCAGCCGGGGTTTCGGTGCAAGCGCAAAGATGTACCGGGGCCTCGCCCTGGCCAGAAGAATGGACGCGGGGGTTTTTAGTCAGTAAGAGTCTGACTGACCCTTCCTCTCACCTGATCCTGGGCAAGGGAAGTCATTTGACACCCACACAAAAGCTACCGAACCTAAAAGGGCAGTCAGCAAATAATTTGGTAGCCACGTTGATAAGAAAACAAAAATTGAGTCAATACAAAGTAGCTACTTAGTACACAGTAGCTAGCTACCAACTTATTATATTATTAAAATAATTGTATAATAAACAAAGGTCTAGTGCTAGATACATAGTGGACTCTTTTTTGCAGTGAGAGAAGAGAGAATCATGGATTCCGATATAGGCAATCTTGCGGCCAATCCGAACTTGAAATCCAAGCAGACAATTCGAACGCTGTTTAATACGTTAACCGGCTTCGCAATGTAGTGTCACACCTAAGTCTCCTATAGCACAAAGAAGTTATACATTAATTTTGTCACTTTTATTACCTACTTTAGAAAGGCAGAATCATAAGTCCAGATACTTTGATTCCGGACTTTCTCCTTACTTAGGGGAAATTTGTATACAGATGCGCACTTTATAAGGTATCGAGCTTGTGCAAGATAGTGCCGTCTGCATCTTCTATCTTGGACAGCTTGGAAAAGACTCTTTCATTCTTAAAAAGTGTAGGACAAGTGTAGGATTGTCACGCTTCAGCACGAGTGGACCAACACAGTGAAACAACAACAATACTTAGGCCCGTTGTGTTCCACCGTGTGAGTAAAGTTACCTACTGGAGTATCCATCATACATCCTCATACATCCTCAATGCCCAAATTCCTTATTCTTAAATCCCCAACAACTTACAATTGCCGGAAACGCACTTGTAACTCTCTTGGTGTTGCGAGCGTCAATTGCTTATCATCAGGCGATCCGTGAGCTCGTTTGCCTGTATAGAAAAGCTCTACACTTTTCAGTTTAGTATCGAACCAAGATTTCGAAAACGAACACTATAAGTATATATTGACCTACGTAACATTATTCAATGATTCATTAATATATCAGTTCTCAACATAAACAGCACAAGTAAATTAACCTTTACATACTAAATACCACAAATAGATTAAAATTAACACAGAGCTTACTTAGCCCGTTCTAACTAACGCTTTTAAGAGCTCATTTGCAATCGTAATGACTGTGGGTACTCTTGGCAAGTGCAACCCATTATCAGCTAAAGTGCGAACTAATTACCTAAATGTTATTAGGTTGTCAACAGCATAATGCAAGTTTAATGAACTTAGGTGCATTGTGAATTATTCACGAAGTACTACAAAAATAATTAAGATTACCCAAGGTTCATTTGCCATTATTCTAATTTTCCGATTTTTGTTTTAGGTAAATATACAAACTTAGCCCATTCTACAAAAAAAAAACAATTAGGTACTTATCCAATTCGGTGATTATTCTACAACTATAGGCGTTCATAATTTTTTTTAATATAGTTATAAAGAAGTGGAACTAGGTTTGAAATACTTTTTTTAAGGAGGCAAAATCATTACTAGACTTCTCCCGCCCAGGCTATATGGGAGTGTCAGACTCTTACTAAATAACACATCCTGGTCCTTCTCCTACTCCAGGCCGAGGCCACGATACCTTAATGCGCTTGACCCGCTAACCCGGCTAAAGGTTTGAACTACATGCAAACTCCAATACGTCCCTATGGATACTCACTGAGCGAGTTTGACTCAAATATTTCATCGGCATAGCACTTTTAAATGTCACAGCTAAGTAGAATTTGTCGTCAGTAAGCAAAACAGATCGATGTTATATTTTTCCGTCATTTGACAATCAATACAAGCATCAATCTCCACAGTAGGTGGCACTGCTGTTTTTATGCGTTGTGTTAGTTTCTGTATGATCTTAAAAAACAAACCTATCCGTAAGCTTCTTCACAAACTACTATAACACGCCGAGCTTACCTACTGTGAGCAGTAGCTGTAGCAGTAGCAGCAGGTCGGCGTGTTCTTGGATTTCGCTAATCGGGGAGAGAAAAAAATAAAAAGTACTTAAATGATTGATTGTATGTATAATATTTCTATATATGTGGTACCGTAAAACGGGGTAAATGGATACACGAAAGGGGTGAATACATGTTGGCAAATTTTCCTAGTATGTTCACCCCTCGAATACCCCGTTTTACCGTACTTATTTGATTTGAGTTCTGTTTAGAGTCTTTTATCAAAGATGTCAGCCCCATCGTACCTATTATTAACCGACTTCAAAAAAAGGAGGAGGTTCTCAATTCGACGAGTATTTTTTTTTTTTTTATGTATGTACACCGATTACTCGAAGACGCCTGGACCGATTTGCAAATTTTTTTTTTTATTCGATAGGGTATACTTGCCATTTTGTCCCATTGTCATGAGGTCAGGACCTGATGATGGAATCCTGGAGAAACCGAGGGGAACTTTCGAAAATTGTAGGGGCGAGTAGTTTTTTTGTATGATGTTTAAGTAGGCCTTTAACAACACTACAACTTGACGAAGGTCGAAGTCGACCAGATGTTGGAGCTGGAAGACAGTCGAGGGATCTCCTTGACTATTTGGAGCAGTTGCCTTGTGTTTGGGCTTGAATGATTCGTATTGGCGAGCACTTTGCACCAGACTTGGTCGTAACTATCATTAAGGGTCTGATGATGAGAACGAAGGACAGCTCAGGGAACTCCTGAACGGTTTACAGTAACTACTTCGTGTTTGAACTTAATTCATTTATGTTGATGAAAACTTTGTACCTGTATGGATTATAACAACTGAAGGTCTGCAGAGTACCTGACGATGGAGACCATTGACAGTCGAGGGAATTCCTCAACGATTCATAGCAGCTTCCTTGTGTTTGAGCTTAATCAATTGGTTTTGATAAGAACTTTACATCTAGATGGATTGTGACTGTCATTAGAGATCTGATGATGAAGACGAAGGACAGTCTAGGGAATTCCTCAACGGTTTACAGTAGCGACCTCGTGTTTGAACTTAATTCATTTATGTTGATGAAAACTTTGTACCTGTATGGATTATAACAACTGAAGGTCTGCAGTGTGACTTAATTTGTTTATATTGATAAGAACTTTCCCTCTCCTAGAGAGGTGGCTTGTGACCCAGTAGTGGGAACATTAAAAAGGCTGATGATGATGATGATGATGATGATGAGAACTTTCGCATTTCTTGGGATCTATATTTTTTAATAGAGCGGCTCCTTTCGCAGGCCTACACATAGCTACTTAAAAATATATATACTATTCAATATGTTAATTTATATTTAAAATGTTACTGTAGTTTCCAGAAGAACTTGTAACAGACACAAAAAAGTAAAAAATAAAAAAAACTACGTTTAAAAAAACCGACTTCAAAAACAAAAAAGTGTCAAATAATTAAAATAGATATTTTAATACCACTCTTACGTACGCGAAGCTAATACTTTTAATATTAATAATAAAACACTATCAATTCTATGTGCTACCTATTCATAGGTTTGAAGTCGGTGCCAAGCCCTAAACAGAATAAAACTAAATAAGAATTAAGACTGTTTAACTGCTAAAGGACGAAATTTCCACAACCAACAACGAACCTACCTACTACTACTTTTAACAACCCACGAGTTACGTTAAGTACGAGAAAACTTTTAGAATTCATAATTCACCCGAATATATTTCTAAGCTATATATAATTTCGCATGTAACGAAACAATATAGACTTCTGGAGGTCTACTCTCTTTCTTCGAAACGAAACTTTCGGAAACGAACGAAACTCGAACGAAAGAACGTTGGCGACCCTACTCTGTTTTATTTTCGGACACGCATACGAAGTTCGGTCCAGAGATAATTTTCGTGAACGAATGTAATTGTGTAGGTTCTTTATAATGTGATTTGTGGTAAATTACGGTTTTTACTTAAAGTTAAAATTACAAATTCTCTGGCTGTTTCTTTGAATTCCACATTATCTATGTGGTTTGTTAAACTATTATTTATAATATTCCACGCAGAAAATAAAAATATATTTATTTTTGACGGAATTGTAATTTATCGTGTAATTTATCATCGTTACTTTATAAAAAAACTCTTTTACAGACATTTATAACCGACTAATTTAAAGAGTACTATTTCATGCCAAGAAAGGGTTGTTAGGTATGACGACCAAAAATGGCTGTATTCGGACCGCGCACGACATGTGTCAAAAAATTAATGTCAACAGATTGTTTATTTTTATCAACGCGAGTTAATAAAATATACTATAAAAGACAATAAATATATGTGGAGAAAGGCATTTTATTGAATTGTATATAAAATGGATATTATTATAAAAACAGGTTTTGAGTGTTATACACACAATCATTTTCCAACCCCAGACTGTGCTAAAATGTAAAATTGGTGTTAGCAGAACATGTGAGGGATGTGGAAGAACAAAGAATTAATGCGAATAATAATATGGCTGTGCGTTAATATTGACTGTGTAGTGGTGGAAGAAGACTGTGTGACAAAGCGAGTCGAAGCTAAATGTCCAATTACCTATCTACATTTGAAAAGAAAACTGTCGTTGAATTTGATAAAAATGTATGCAATGCATGTTAATTACTTAATATTTTTATAAAATAATGTAATAGAGTTAAAACAAAGCCATTCATATTACACTTATGTTCAGTTACAAATGTATGTAGCTGGCATGACAATGTGTGATATTTTTATTTTGAGCAGTATATGGTAAATAATGCTTATTTATGTTAACTTCATTTAAGTACTTTGATGTGTTACAGTAACGATATTGTTTTAATGTTATATAAAATGCTAATAAGTTGTTTAAAATTATACTCCTTGTTATATTTGTTCTATTAGAAAATTGAAATTTATTTTAAAAGGATAATAAGTTTTAAATTTTTGTTTAATAAGTGCAGAACTTTAGGAAATAAAAATCTGTTATTTTTTTAAGTGTGTTTTTATTTACTTGCCCTTTTTTACATATGTGCCGCGATCGGTTTCTTTACCCTTTCCACCAACTTCGCACGTTCCGAATAATCGAAGTACATGCAAACTAATCATAACAAGAAATTATTATTAATTTTTTTTTTATTATAACAAATTTTTTGTTTGAAAACTTTCTAAAAGTTAGTTTCTCACAGCTCCTCAAATAATAGGCGGCCGTCCTACAAACACTAAGTCCGGAATTTGACTTAGGTATATTAAGTAGATTGAGCAGGCAGCGCCGGTTCCTTCTACGCTCTACACGTTCTTCACGTAAAAGAGCTTCGATTTAGAGCATTCTTGTAGCCATTTCAAACAATTTCCATACAAAATCCACACTAAACGAAAATTAAAAGGTAACACTTTTGGTTTCGTCAATTTGAAGTAAAAAATCAGAAAAATCGTCTGTCAAATTCAAAAGTTCGTTCGGAGCTAATAAGGATTAGAGTAGGTTCTAAATGTCAAACGTCTTCGTTCGAACGAAATTTCGAAACGAATTGAAACCGTGGTAGGAAACACGCGAAGTTTCGATCGAAAGTTCGTTTTTCGTAGAATAAGAGTAGACCCCCTGATTCTACGCTAAGGCCATCAATCAAATGCTTATAATATTATGTATTAGGCTTGGCACCGACTTTATTCTGTTTAGAGTCTTTTATCAAAGATGTCAGCCCCATCGTACCTATTAACATTAATGTACACTTAATATAGGTAGGCGTGAGTGAGCGTAGAAGCTCCGTTTATGACTTTGACCTGAAGTTGACACATTGCGTACTTGACCGTTTTAATGTGGATCATGATAGAATTTTCGTTATAACACAATTATCTCACAATATGAACACTAATCTTCATTAAGTTTCGCAAGTGTCGTGACTGTGGATCGCTATGCGCTGGCGCAGTTAAAAATGTGGCGCGGGGTCAAGGGCGGGGCGATGAGCTTTGTCATGGCGCATGGCGTGAGACAGACGGGCAGGTACAGAGGTACTGCACTAACCTACATACTTCAGAATTCGTGCTCGTGACACAAGATATTGTTGTTGTAGCCTAGCTTGCAGCCATTTTTTATAGATCTCATGTTCAGATTATTTTACTAAAATCACGAAAAAATATTTCTTACGTCATACCTGATTCCCTACCTGGCTTACTACGCCGGTTTTGTTTTATGTGTTAGCATTGCTTGCTTGGTCTAGTGGCAGCCAATTCGACTGCTGGTTTTCGGCTGTCTCTCGGCGATGTGACACTGTTGTATTTCTAGCCTTTTTACATTTTACGAATTCTTAGTTCAAAGTACTACGTAGCTCGCGCTAGTATTTCGCGTAATCATCAGCATCAAGCCTAGGCTGCTTTTTGCCTCTCTTCTGGACGAAACAACTTAAGTTGGACTTTTGTGTTGGAATTTTTAATTTCTTATATTTGTTGTAAAGCGAGTTAATATGTATCTACTAATGACATTGTTCTTTGAGATTATTGGTATCAGTATCATTTGAATATCCATGAAGTTTCATTTACATGACTCATCATAACTTACACGGTGTCTCTGCCACATAAAACACGCGTAGCGTGTTGCCTATGATGGACATATTATCTTAGTAGACTTATAGGTAGACTAAAGTAACAACTTGAAAAGTCAAATAAAACTCAGAACTGAAGCAGATTCTATTTTATTGAAGTAATTCCAAACTGCAATTACAATAGAAGCATGAACATTTTTAAATACAATACAAGATAATTTGACATTATTTAAATAACACAGCAATAGGAAGGACAGGAAAAGAAGAAAGAATATTAGAATACTAGAAGCATAGTCATGTGTTAGGTGAGATTAATTACGTGATAACGTAAGAAACATGGAGCCGACAGTGAAGGGATGACACGGCCACGGCCTTGTTGACTGAACTGTTTCATGTGCCATCTCACGACACCACTTTATCTTTTGAAATACATCGAATAGTGCTAACACTACGGCATAATTGAGTAATAAGTTTGAGTACACAAGCTATTTTCTAGGGAGCTACAAAATCAATTTGTCAAAAATGTTTTTGTTAGATGGCCATGCACCCGTTGTAACCAAGGCAGTGCGGTGGCGCGGGCCACTCTCAAGGTTGTTCGTCTATGAGGGTCTGTAGGAAGGCGTCGGGTTCGGGGATGTCCTCCAAGAAGCCGGCCGCGTCACAGAACTCCGCGAACGAGGCACAGGGGAGCAGCTCGTCCGTCAGCATGGTCACTATACGCTCGGCCGCCTTGCCGTTCGCTTCATCGTTGTGTCGGATATATTCTGCTAGTTTGACTGGCCATTGATCTACTGTTGTCGCGCTTACGTTCTGTTAAAGAGAAGGAATGTTACATTAGATTGTACTTTTTCAATTACTGGTACACACATGAATGATTTTCTTACGAAGATATAAGCGGTATATACCTTAAACATGACAGTGTACAGCTGGTCGATGATGGCCACGAAGAGCGCGTAGGGTTTGTAGTCCTGCCACTGCTTGACGGCGCGGTGGTCGGCGGGCAGCGCGCGCATGGCGGGCCCGGCCGGGGCCACCGCGCGGACGTGACCTATTACTAGCAGGCGCTTCAACATGTCCACCTTCACTGCACGCCATCTATACGAGAGGTCAGGGTGGTTTTTAGGACTTTTGACTTCATTAATGTTAGGTAGACTTTGTAATGTTTAATCAATACTATATTCTTTTACAAACAAGATCACAATCAATCTTAAAGTTACTTCTAGTGTGAAATGAAATGGTTGGTGTAGTTTTAATCAATAGACCATCACCTCTCTATAAAGACAAAGTCATAGTCAAAAACATTTATTTCAACTACATTTATAAGGTTACTAACAATCAAAATAGAACAATAGTCCGGTATTTAAAGTCATGTTCAAAAAGTCTTGTCAAATATGCCTTTAGTCGACTAGTACATTTTATTTTACAGTGAATCCTATCAGGTGGCACTTACTTAGCGTGTGGGTAGAGCATTAGCATAAGCGTGAGGAAGTAGAGCGGGCCCTCCGCATCATGCGCAGACTCCAGCAGACGCGCCGGCGCCCAGGCCAGCGACGCCTCCAGCGCTGACACCTCGCGGGCTGCCACGCGGCTCCTGAACGTTGTACGTAACAAGTAAGTTATAGGTAAAAAAGACAATGCGCTATTTTGCGCAATGTGAAGCGCATTCACATTGCGGCCTAGACATAGTAGTGGAGGAGCGACTGACGTGTTGATGACGTATAGCGCCATGTGTACGAGCGCGGGCACTAGCTGCATGTTGGACAGCGGCCCGCCGCCGCCGGTGTCGTCGTGGAAGGTGCGGCCTAGACATAGTAGTGGAGGAGCGACTGACGTGTTGATGACGTATAGCGCCATGTGTACGAGCGCGGGCACTAGCTGCATGTTGGACAGCGGCCCGCCGCCGCCGGTGTCGTCGTGGAAGGTGCGGCCTAGACATAGTAGTGGAGGAGCGACTCACGTGTTGATGACGTATAGCGCCATGTGTACGAGCGCGGGCACTAGCTGCATGTTGGACAGCGGCCCGCCGCCGCCGGTGTCGTCGTGGAAGGTGCGGCCTAGACATAGTAGTGGAGGAGCGACTCACGTGTTGATGACGTATAGCGCCATGTGTACGAGCGCGGGCACTAGCTGCATGTTGGACAGCGGCCCGCCGCCGCCGGTGTCGTCGTGGAAGGTGCGGCCTAGACATAGTAGTGGAGGAGCGACTCACGTGTTGATGACGTATAGCGCCATGTGTACGAGCGCGGGCACTAGCTGCATGTTGGACAGCGGCCCGCCGCCGCCGGTGTCGTCGTGGAAGGTGCGGCCTAGACATAGTAGTGGAGGAGCGACTCACGTGTTGATGACGTATAGCGCCATGTGTACGAGCGCGGGCACTAGCTGCATGTTGGACAGCGGCCCGCCGCCGCCGGTGTCGTCGTGGAAGGTGCGGCCTAGACATAGTAGTGGAGGAGCGACTCACGTGTTGATGACGTATAGCGCCATGTGTACGAGCGCGGGCACTAGCTGCATGTTGGACAGCGGCCCGCCGCCGCCGGTGTCGTCGTGGAAGGTGCGGCCTAGACATAGTAGTGGAGGAGCGACTGACGTGTTGATGACGTATAGCGCCATGTGTACGAGCGCGGGCACTAGCTGCATGTTGGACAGCGGCCCGCCGCCGCCGGTGTCGTCGTGGAAGGTGCGGCCTAGACATAGTAGTGGAGGAGCGACTCACGTGTTGATGACGTATAGCGCCATGTGTACGAGCGCGGGCACTAGCTGCATGTTGGACAGCGGCCCGCCGCCGCCGGTGTCGTCGTGGAAGGTGCGGCCGCGCGCGAAGCGGACCAGCAACAGCTTCAGGTCGTGCAGCGTGCACGTGTGCCCGATGTCGCGGTGACCCGTGCATTCCTGGACGACAAGTTATTAAACTAAACCGTCAGTGGCCGAAACTCGCCCGTAATTCTCTAATAAACTGTTCATCAATCAAAGCGAAAGTTGTTTCGTATAGGAAATCAAACCCGAAACATTTTGCGCAGTAGCAAATTGACGAGCTACTAACACCTACCGAGAAATCTGGCTGAATAATAATATAGATACAATTTTGTTTGTAATAAAATTACTAGAACACAATGCAATGTGAGTACCTGTAAGTAGGTGGTATGTCGTGCGAGACAACTGGCGAAGGCGGGCTCGGGTACATGCGGCCCCCACAGCGGGAGCAGCCCGTTGCAGCGCGTCGACGCGTTCTGCAGGGCTGCGCTCTCCCACTCGTCCCTATAGGAAGAAGAAAAGAATGAAAATCAAAGAGTCAAAAATACCGTCATTTAGTTTAGTATAATACAACATTTTCGGCTACAAACAGCTTAAAATGCTACAAGATAGCATTTTAAGCTGTTTTGCTTGGATAGTCTTAACTAGACCTTTATAAGTTTGTAACGTTTGCCGTTCTAATTGGCTTGCTCCAAGGTATTAGTGCTTTACCAAACTCAAAAAAGTTTGACCTATAAGTATGTATGGTAAAGTAATTAATATTAGACGGATGTATATGGTTTTTTATTAGTAGTTCCTAGTATAGATACCTGGCGCGCGCGAGTCGTACGGCGGCCATGTGGCACTCGACGTGCACGATGTTGTAGTGCGACACCGTGGTGTAGCCCAGCGTCTTGCGCGCGCGCACTTCGTACTCCTCCACCGGGCACCGCTTCGTGAACGTGTAGATACCTAGCACCTGTACCGGCCATACACATATACATTACACACTAGAATATTACGATGATAAATATAAAAATATTCTACTGAAATTACAAAATATCAAGGGAAAATGAAAGTTTTCTGACTACAAGAGACCTGGTGTTTTCTTTCGGATATCAGTCAATATGTTAACTAAAATCAATGCGGATAAACAAATAAGCATATATATATCATAGCAAGTTGTTACAGGTTAGCTATGGGATGTTTTGTCTCCTTACTATTGTAGTCGAATACTAAATTATGATAGTTGATGTGTTTCTGTTTTGTTTGTTTACTACAAGGCGCTATGTTGATCTCATTCTGTTTGTCCTACGGGGAGATGATGTCAACCCATTAGACAAACAGATTTCGCGATAGATTAACGGCATGTTTCATACTATCTTTGTAATTTTCTCTTGTTATATCCTAAAAAAATTTTGAAGATGTATGTGCATATACTGGTTTCTCTTACACATTGCAAAAAAGATTTGACTAAAATTTTATATTAGAGTTCGATTATAGAATAGGTTACTTTTGCCCTGGGCACGCAGCCGAAGCTGTTGGAAGAAACTAGAAACGAATTCAATGTATTGTATGTATTAATGTTACCTTAGTGGGCTGGTACTTGTACCCCTCCCGGCAGATGCAGCAGACGGCGCCGTTCTCCTCGGCGAGGTCGGCGACCTGCTGCGTGAGCGAGCACTGCGCGGTGACCTGCCCGCGCTCGTTGCTGCGCATGCCCAGCGCGCCCAGCTGCCGCTCGCGGACCGCCATCGCTAGCCGCTTCTTCTCCTGTTCAGGACAAATGGATTTTGTTGTGTTAAATACTCAACATTGATTTCTATTACTGTACAAAATCTTTTACGGCCTTATTACAAAACAAAGTGTCTCTTTAGTTTAGGTCTAAACCATTTGGCCAGTTTTTAGAATTATATGCCACTGTTCGTTAATGAAGCATTGTCAAAAATAAACTGTTAACTTATAATGTATAGTTTTTTAAAACCTTTAACTGATAACTTTTTAAGAAACAACGATACACCGACATAATTTAAATATTTTTTTATGTAATTTAAATTAGAAATAAGCCTGCATCTTATTTTTCCAAAAAATACATTTTAACGGCATATGTTGCGATTTGACACAAAATATAAAGAAAAAAAATATAGTCTTTAAAAGTATTGAGTATGACTAGTTTGTCGATTAGGTGTAAAGTAAGCGTACCTGTCGCGTGAAGTCCCGGACCTGCTGCACCTTGGCGGCGCACTGTGGCTGGGAGCGCAGCGCCTCGAGCAAGTTCTCGGCCAGCGACCCCACGTGCTCGCCCGACGACACCTGCTCCAGCCGGTGCACTATCGGGATCACTTTCTCGCACACCAACATCTGCACCACAATAACGACGATCATTTTATTTGCTAAATACATCATATTGCATTTTCTATCCTACCTTTGATAATGATTATATTTGTAACGAATTATTTCTTACTACTTTTAAGAACAAGGTTTTTTTTGTTTTTTTTTTTTTTGTGTTGTGAAAACACAAACTAACACATACATCACATCTAAACACAGTCCCAGAATTTGACACAAATGAATCTTGGACCAATTTTTTTTTACTCTTTAAGTCACGAAGCCAATCTTAGCTGCGCGATGTCGCCGCGACGAGCTACTTATAAGATCCTCTTTGTAACTTAAAACGAATGTAAAATGTATCTTTACCCAGTAAACTCATCCGAGTTAATCATTATTTCCAATAAAATTTGTATGTCTCACGATACATACCTACTGCAAAAAAATGTTTAATTGTTTTTACAGATATTACAAACATAGTAGTTACCTGCGTCGGCTCGTGGTCTGCGGCGAGTCCCGTGAGGAAGCGCAGTATGTACTTGAGTGCGGGACGACTGATGAACTCCTTAAGCTCGTCAGAGTCCGTGCACACCAACGTCGGCTTCACACACGGGGCGTGTTTCTGTACACAATTATACATGGACGTCGGATTACAAACTAGTTATATAGAGTACAAGAACTTTAATGATTTACTTCATAGAAGGGTACACCATGTTACAATAAACTTAAGCTTTAAAGTAATGTTTTGCTTTAGGTAAGGCTCACATCCTCATTCATCACACATCGCCAGCGATCGCGATAAAAGAAAAATCCAATTAAAATTGACTGACGTGCACAAGACCTATGTTAAAATTGATACACATTATTTAGCTTTTTTAGATTAATTATCTGGTAAATTTGGCTAACGGTAGGCTAAACTAGTACTTACCACGATATACTCCAGCGCATCCCGAACGACTCCAAGTGAGATCAGGTAGTCTTTCAACGTACCACCGATGGAGTTCCTCTCGATGTTGGCGCAGAAAACGCAGAAAAGTTCCATTCGAAACTCTTCCTCGGTCCATTGTTCAGAGTCCAGGCGATCGAAATCCAGTACTGGCTTGAAATGGTCGACTAACATCGCCATCTTGAGATCATTGCCGTATACTAGCGCGGCTAATACGCGGGTCAAATGGCCGAGAGCTACTGAGTTACTGCGGATTCCTGTGTTAAGAAAAAGGTGTTTAATGTGTATGGTTATATAGCGGTTTTGTACCTAAAACGTTGCTGATGGTAGAAAAAATCGTTGGAATTGCGCAACAGCAAATTTTTTGCGCAAAGGTGCTCATTAAAAATTTTGCGTAAATAGTTGCGCATTACATTTTTGCGCAAAGTTAAAGGGCATTCATTAAGGTTACACGTTGATAAATAACAGGTACTTAGAAACCTTAATACGCCTTATTACAAAACAACGATTTTTTAAATTGAAGGTAGTTGAGAATAAGATTCAAAGCACAAAATCTGTCTCAATGGTTTAAAAATAAATCTTGTTTTGTAATAAAGGGGAATTGGTTTCCTATTCCTAAAAATGAATTGTTTCTTTAGGAAAATGTTTTATAACAGTCTAAGTATTTTTATTTCAACATACCTGGGCATTCAGTACAGTTGAGTAGTGCCTGCACGTACTCTGGTCCGCCGAAAGTCAGCGAAAACTGTAGGAAGGACTCCAGGCTCTCGCTTGCAGCGACTGATAGGATGCGCTCCATTATCTATTTATACATAAAATACAATTAGGTATTGAAACTTTAAACTTACTAAGTCTCTTGCTACAGCCAAGCACTAATCAAAGAATCTATTTTTAGAAGGTGTATTTGATTTCAAATTACTTTTTTGCTTTGACTTTTTCAATTTCGGTTATACTTTGCAACCTTATATCAAACGAGTCGTTATTAATATGTAAAACTATAATTTTAAATTTGTGTTTAAATAAAGATTGCGTGTAAACTACTACTTCTAGCGTTGCGTATTGGCTGTTAAATATTCACTTACCTATATGTTTACATTGGCAAAGAAGGAAGAAAAATATTATTAACATATAAAAATACAATGGTTCAGACATTTTCTACCACAACATTTCTGTGTGTATTCGGTTCCTTATGACCCAAACATTAAGAGTATCATTAAGCAGAACCATAGAGGCTAGAGAGAAGGAAAACGATCGCAGCATTAAGGATCGTCTGTCCTTGAAAATTTGTAGAATTAATAGTTCATTTTTCAGTCACCAGCCGCGCTGCCATCTTTAAGTAGTATTTGTGAAGTTAGTTTTTTCCTGTACCGTGTGTGCGTTTACAAACATACAATTACATATACGCACACCATATCCAGACCCGGAACATGGATCACAGAAAGATTTGTTCTGTGTAGGAATCGAACCCACGACAAGTTACGGGGCAGGCGGGGCAACTTTCAAATTGTTAATCCACTTTGAGCAAGCGTGGTTATTAATAATGCTCAAACCTCCTCCGAAGCAATGCTAACAAAAAGCGATCGTTCTCCTTCTCCCTAACCTTCATGAACAGAACACAGCACAACATTTTAAATAGTAGTACTAGTATTAGCACGGACCTCTAGCAGCTGGTAGACGAGATGCGCGCGCGCCATGTCCTTCTCCTCGATGGCGGCGAGATGCAGCGCGTGCAGCAGCACGGGCAGCGCGCGCGTGGCGGCGCGGGTGAGCACGCGCACGCAGCGCCGCACGCGCGTGCACAGCGACACCAGCCGCAGCAGCGTCGACACCAGCGCGCGCGCCGCGCCCACGCGCTGGATCGCCGCCAGGCGCTGCAGCATCACCTCGATGCCGCCTAAACATACACACAACAACATTCCTTTTTTCATACTCTTTCAAATTGATAGCGTCCTCATCATGCCATAATCATCTATACTAATATTATAAAGCTAAAAAGGTCTCAGGAACTACTGTTTCGAATTGTTTTTTTTTTATCGAAGAAGAATACTATTTATCGAAGAAGGCTTTAGGCTATATAATATTATCACATTATGATTTGTAGAAGCCAAGCAGCTGATGAAACCACGCGAGAAGAGCTAGTAATCATAATATTTTTTGCCTTAAAACATAATATATAAAAGTTTTAGTAAATAATATTATACCTAGTATGATTAATGTTTTGCTATTGATGTACAAAGTTAAACAATAAAAATTAAAAAGTACATTATGGAAGATAACGAAAATTTAGTTTCCTCTGCTGAAATCATATATGAAATAGAAATTTTATTCACTAAGCCATTAATGAGCTAGTACTGTACTGAAATAAACTCACAAGTATCTATATCAATCAATTTAATGTCTTATCTAGTCATCTGATTGGTTGACTGAATTATCAACAACCAATCAGATAACTTGACAAGAAATTTGACACCTAGTTAGTTGATTTTAACATTGATCGGGCTTTCGGAAACCGGGCATAAGTTTTGTTTCTAACATAGCCTTGTTTCTAAACACAATATCTTACCACAATCAGCAAGCACATTAGCCATTCGGTACAGTTGTTCGTCGTCCACAGCTTCAGCATTGGCTTGTGTGAGTCGCTCGACGAACTCTTCGGTCGCATCTCCGAGCAATCCTCGCATACGGTACACCACGCGCATCGCGTCTACACCTTCACCAGACGTGCACCACACCTTAGAAATAGAAAAATAAATCAATTTTATAAAGAACAAGAATACTTTTTCATTCAATGATTAAATTGTATGTTTCGTTCAATTGAGGTAGCATATTTAGGGTAATATTGTAAAGACTATACGAGGTAAGACGTTAAAATAGTTTAAGATTGTACCACTATTAAGTTAAACACAGTCAAAAACAGCATATGATAACCATGCATTCATGGTTATGCATTCATAGCAAAATGACATTTACGTGACATCTAGATAAGTGAATATAATTATCTATGAAGTATCTACTATCCAATAATGACAAAATGCCTACCTACCTCCTTACATGGTTACAAACCTAGAATAATTATTCCCGATTAGTAACCAGTTACAGAAAAAGAAATAAAAATCTTGTATCGTAGCTGGTTACGAAACTTGGTTACCAAAACGACAAATTAATTCTGTTTTCGTAGCTGGTTATCAAAGGAAGAAAAAAATCCATGTTCGTAGCTGGTTACGAAAGATCAGTTACGATGGTGGACCAAAGGACTCTTTCCACACAAAATACGAATAAATTCAAGACATTCATATTGAAAGGCTTAGAAGCCGAAAGTACGAAAACTGTTTCGATTGATATCCTGAATGCAAATTGATCGAAGTTCTTATTTACTAAAGGAGATCAAATAGAAAGTTCTTTTTCAACATTAAAAATAACCACCACTTTAACTAATATCACATAGGCCACTTTCAGGCCTTTTTTACTTTAATATAAGTTCCCATTAAACTTAATAGACTACATTCCTAAAATTTATGTTCTTTATTCGAATTTATTTAGTACTGTCCAATACACAATACCAACCTTTTTATAAACCTCCTTGACAGGTAGATCGAGCGACATGATCTTATTGCACACGAGTAGTTCCATACCGTTGTCGTCTTCTAGCAGGGCGACCAGTTCGCAGTCGGTACATATCTTGTTCTTCACATCTCGCATTAGAGGACCCATGCCCGGCTCCAGAGACGAGTATGGATTGCCCAACATACGACCCTGGGAAAGATTAGTGTAATGGTAAATTGTGAATGTTGTATCATTTTTTTTGTGCCGTAAATTTGTAAAAATAGTCCTACCACGGTTATAAATGAAAATTCTCAATCGAATGAAAAGGGAGAAGGGGCAGAGTGTGATAGGTATAGGGCCAAGCTATAGATAGGTATATGGCCAAATCCAATAACCCGATCTAAATTGACATAATTTCCTTACAATTTATGAAAAAGCTCCAGTGTGATTCAGAGGATTGGATTGGATTAAGATCTGTTGTTTAAGTTGGCTGTTAGATGGAAGAGGAAGAGATTTGAGACTAAGAGAGAGTGGGACAGAGTTTTTATTTTTATTTTTACCTGTAAGAAGTCTTCCTGCTGCGGATCCTTCTCCAGCGTAAGGAAGAACTCCCCGACATCGTTCTCCTCCGGGTAAATGATGGAACAGAGCCTCTCGAATATAAACACAGGAGTGCGGTAGTCGTGCAGTGGGTATTTCTGCACGGTCTCTATGCAGACGGCCATAAATTCTGCCGTTTCTGCTTCCGTACCTAAAGTTGGAAAGTATACATGTGTTTAATATGTATCAATATTATATTATCTATTGATTTGTATCGGGTTCACATGAAATCTTAGTTAAATTCAAGTCTACTAACATGAGCAAGAAACGGCCTTACTACTCTAATATCATAATCTTTAAATAACCTTACAACAGTAGATTATTTTTGTCACATTTACGTGGCATTCCCAGAACGGATTGCGAAAATTACTTAAACTATTTCTCACAACGTCTCTTTAACGAGAGTCGAAACCTGACATTACCAATGTGACTTTTTCCGAGTCATAATATGTACTGTCTAAGATCATTTAGACACCACAGACACACGGAGAAGGAAAACATCGTAAGGAAAAATGGACTTATAATTCCTTATTATAAATTCGAAATCGCCAATCCGCCTAGAGCAAGCGTGGTAATGAATAATCAATCCATCTCCATGTCTGAAGAAGCCTTGGCTCATGAGTGGACACTTATAGGCGAGGGCGATGATGATAATGATCACTAACCAGTAGTCATCTCCTCGAGCAGTTCTAGAAGTTTCTCCTGCGTGTCGTCAGTGAGCCGCGTGCGCTGTACGACGAGGCGGCGCAGAGACAGGTACCCGCCCAGCACGGCGCCCACCAGCCGCCCCTTGTACGTGCGACGCGCGCCGCTCTCCTCCAGGAACATTGCTAACAGCTCCGTCAGACGTTTTAGCGCGTAGCCTGAGAATAGCACAATATTACTTAGTACCTTTTGTAAAATAAAGTATAATCTTTTTTTGTATTGTTAAATTTATGTTTACAAGTATAGGGAAAGGGAACGCAAAATCTGTGAATATCACAGGAAAAAACTTTTATACTGTATTTTTCCAACTAATTTAGAGACGTCATTTTTTTACTGTTATATTTTTACCGGCTATTAGATTTATAAACATCTCGACTAGTTATACCGACTATCTTGGATGTTTCATACTAGATGACAACTTACTTGTTTCTCCATATATTATTAGATATTTCTAATTGAACTCTATTTCAAGACATTAAAACTTCAAATGAATTTTTTCGTCCATACCTTGCGCCAAATCGGAAGTGAGCGTAGTTTCTTCAAGGCGATGGAGCTGTTCGATCTCCTTGGTCATCAGGTCGGCTATCTGTTGGAGAACGCCGCGCAAAGCCAGGAATTGTTTCCATGGTGCTTCAGACGCCAGAGCTGTAGATACAAATATGCATAATAAATTTTATGCATTAATAGTTATTTATTTCATAGGCAAAGCGAGAAAACACTGTGGTCCTTTGCGCAAACGGTTTGCGCACATGCGCAAGTTTTTTATCGTTTGCATAACCTTGTATTATCACCACTTACTTTGATAAAGTTGCAAGAATTGCTCGCTGGCTTCTCCCGCAGAACCAACTTCAGGTAGGAAGCTGGTTAGCAAGATTAGAACCTGTAAGCAAAACAAATACATTTAGCACTTAGAACAGCGTGTCGGACAATAGTGTCCGACGCTAGCGGAGGGTTAGCCTTCAACAGTTTTTATCGGCAGTCAAATGCTTAATATAAAGTTTTTTTTTTTTTTTTTGAGGGGAAAATCATCAAATGACTTCTCCCGCCCAGGGCCGGGCAGGAGGGAGTGTCAGACTCTTACTGACTAAAAACCCCCCTGTTCCTTCTCCTGCTCTGTGCCGAGGTCGCGGTGCCTTATTGCGCTTACCCCGCAACCCCGGCTGAAAGTTTTTTGGGTGAAAACCATTAAATTACTTCTCTCGCCTTGGGTGCCAGCGAAAGGAAGTTTCAGATGCACTGACTAATAACCACCCTGTTGCTTTATTACGCTTACCCGAATCACCGGATCAAAAATTTCAAGTTTAATGTTCACATCATGTATCATGGTAAATATTAATTGATATCAGGACTCGAAACCCTCACACATGAGATGAGAATACGACATTTAAGATCGTACGATCTAGTATATGTCAATAATATAATACCATAACTAGCGAAAACATCTTTATAAAATGAGTGAAATCATTTTACAATTATAAGAATATTTTTTATTGAAAAGTATACTTACAGCCTTAGTCCTTTCGTACGAGTCGCAGAGTGACTTGACCATCTGACAGGCGGTGTCGCGGGCAATACGTGAGCTTGGATCGAACATCACAGGTCGGAGCCAGCCGCCGTCTTCTAGTGCCAATGGGCGCATGCCGTGAGATAACATCGTCTGTAAAGAATAAAAATAATTATTAACCGCTCTTAATGTAAGAATATTAAATTTTAATAGAAGATAGCTAACAAGAAAAATATGACTCAATTCAAAATCTTTAATTTCCTTTCTTACTTTTGTTTGAAAGTGATATGAATTATACGCGACTGCAATGCAAATTATGAGACAGTAACAGTAACACAAGTACTATTATAGGCACATCATGAATAAATTTAGCAAATTTTATTTTATTTTATGACATAAATAAATACACGTGACCAAACTGCTTCTAAGATCATGTCTACAGTAAAGATTGCTAAAGTGCACACACAAACGTTTATTTATAGAAATGATAACAAAATTACATTCTTACCCTTTCCCTCCATTTAGCGAGGTACTTAGTGGCGAGATGTAAGTCGCGTAGTTGTGTCGCGGGAGTATGCGGGCGCGGTGCGCGTGCGCAGGCCAGACGGCGCCACTGTGCGTGGGGCACGCGGCCGGCCAGCCAGGCCGCCAGGTCCACCACCACGTTACCCGACGACGATGCTGCGGCCGTACCGCTTGCAGGAGTCGCTGTTGGCGCTGGATCCTGCTGGAAGACATTTTAATTGGTAAATAATGTAAATTTATGTGCGTTTACGATTGGATTGTTTTCAAGTTTACCTGCCAATCAGGGGGTTAAACGCTGTGACGATTTCGATTTGTTGTCTTAAAAATAGCTCGTACTCGTACTGAGTGTGGGTAGTGTATACAAAAAAAGCTTAATTAATTGACAACATTAATATCTTTTCATATATTTTATATTTACAAATTTACGTCGTATACTACTACATCCTTCTAAACTTGTTAATATGTACATGCTTACATGTAGCTAGCATTTCACAGTATCTATTCTATAAGGCATACTTTATGAAATGTGCATACACTAGCAAGATAATTTCTGCATCAACGCATTCTGTCTCTAACTTCTATTTGCGACAATAATGAGAATGATTATCCACGCTAATTACCTTGGCGGCGTCCTTAGGCGGTTCCCCGTCAGTAGCGGCGGAGGCGGGCGCGGGCGCGGCGGCGGGCGGCGCGGCGGCGGGCGGCGCGGGCGCCATGAGCTGCTGCATGTAGCGCAGGCACGGCAGCGCCACCTGCTGCAGCGCGAACTGGTGCGCTGTGTGGCACGACAAAACTACGCCTCCGTAAGTGCCGTACAGTGTATAAGAATAGCCTAGCCTACAGCTTTCAATTTCATTCATTTTAGCTAAGAATTATTATGGTTTAGCCTCAAGCATGGCTAGAAACTAGTCGACTTTTTCGTCAAATAGTTACGTATAAAAAAAATAATAAAACATAATAATTCATTTAACCACTAGAGTTACAATACAAAAGTTGTAACTACGTATAACTCTTATTGTGATTGATTGACAAAAGCAGTCAAAATTAGAAAAATAACTTGGAGAGGTCAAAATTTTCCGAACAACGAATTATTTTCATATAATCGTGGTTGTATGTCAACCAATGTATAAGATCTTCATTATCTTCTACGAAATCAGTAACCGAAGAAATAACATATCTTACGTTTCCAAATGAACAATGCTCTTAAACAGGCTTTGAATTTTTTATCCAAAGCAAAAAGTTACCAACTTGCATAAAATGATAAATAATAATAATGATAAATTATTTATTGACACTTACAGTTAGGCGAAGACGAGTTGATGCCGGGGATGCCAGCCAAAGCTTCCGCATTCAGGATGGTATTAGCGGCGGGTGTTATACCGGCCACCTCCGTCAGTTGTGGACAACACCTGGTAAAGACATCCATGTATAATATATTACGAACAAACTAAACTTAGTGTAAGTTTACTTCTTAGTTCTAGTTTAGAATATCTTGTAGATAAACAAAAAGTACACAGACAGCCGAAAGATCTCAAGATAGAAAATGAAAGAAAGATAAATCAAATCAAATCAAAATCATTTATTCCAAATAAACCAAAAAAAGGGTACTTTTGAAACGTCAAAACAGAATAGTAGTCTGTCAGTCTGTTCGTCAGTGAAGCTAGGTGCTCGTTCCAAATTGTAGTTTCGAATGGAGAAGAACGAGCAAGAAACTCCATCGTTACTCTTTTAAAAAAAAAAATTTTGTTTTATAATAACTTTATTATTTATTATACGTTGATAATTACTTTATACTAGAAAATAATAAGGAACAGGGTAGGTTCTTCTATGATATAGACTGGTAGAATCAAACGCATCAATGTTATGCTTTTTAAGTATGGTTGTATGCAGTACAGCCATTCTTAAGTTTCTGTGTACTCTCCATTAAATATGATTGATGTGTAAATAATCGTAAATGTATAGGGACTTATATTCATTGTGTGTCTTTGCTTGCTTCTTGCATGAATTAAGTAGTTTCCTAGGTCAAAAAAAAAAAAATTCGACGATAAAATATTGAAAAATAACTATACTTTTATTCATCGATCGATCGATACGCTAAGTTTTAGATATTTTTTAGCTAATTTTTTAAAAATAAGTACGCTATTTGACGCAAAAATGCTATGACGTCATAATTCAATGTTTCATACAATTTTCATAGAAAAGTATCGTTTTTGACATTTGGATAAAAGTACTGAATTTGACTAGTTGGAAACAACCGTATTATTTGCAAATATCTGCAAAGGCTCGACTGGTAGAAAATGCCTAAGAAAGTAAGTCCGCCTACGTAACTATGGTGCATGGAGCAATAATAAGTGAATGATTACGTCTTTTATTTAGATACGTACCAAACCCATAACTTCACAATACATCTAAGCCTCGCCTCCCAGCATTCGACTGAATCTTGTACTTTCACAAGAGAGCCCAGAAGCAGTACCAACGGACGCACCTGTAACAAACGCACATCATTCAATAAATAGTAGTAACAATTTAATTTCGACCTTAAACCATATATCAATTAAAATATGCATACTAAAGAATGAAAAATGTTCGAGAATGTTCGACTAGTTTTGACCTACATCAAGACTCATAGCCATTAGCTTCAGGGTGAATGTTCGTAATATACTCATGACAGATTGGCATACAAAAAAATCAAAGATAATACAAATTTAATTATTTTGAGCTTTATATCTACCACAACAGAGTGTCAATTAAACCAATACTTACTGAATTGTTATGATCTTGTGAAGCAGCGTGGCCCATGAGTGAGAGAGTGATACGTTGCGACAATAAGTTGCAGAGTTGCTCCGTCGCCGGGAGATTGTCGCGGGTGACGAGGCAGATCAATGCACGCACTTCCTCTTGGCACTAAACGAAAAGGTTAAAACATAGAAAAATATGAAACAATATCACCCTCGTTTTATTTTCAGAAGAAAGTAGTAAGTAATTTGATAATCCCGCGCAATTTCACTCACTGCTCGGCTCCTATAGTTCGTAGCGTGATCAATCGTGATCTTTCTTCGCGATTCGAGCGATTTCTGAGAATAGCGCTTTCAAGCAACTGAACAAATGATTCTTTAGCTTTATAATGCGAGCATAGACAGAAACTATATTATTAGATTTTTAACCTGTCATTTTCGAATATAGCTAGACCATATAAATAATTACTTTACATCCTAATTCTTTATTTTATTTACGATATACAAAAGAAACCAGTAAAAACGGTACCGAATAATACAATTTTTATGCTGAAAAGGCTAATCTTTTAAGGCAATTCTCCTACTACATTATTTAGTAGAAAAATATAAATAATAAGTACCTGTGGAGTACCCCGATGCAGGTTGTGCTGCACGAGTTCCTGTACGAGGCCGAAGCGGCAGAGTCGCGCGCGGTGCTCCGTCTGCGAGGCCAGCGCGCGCAGCAACGTCAGGCAGTGCTCCGCGCACGACAGCGCGCAGCCGTAGCAACCTCCGCCTGTCACACCGTAAAACGTGTTAAAATAAACAATTATCAACCAAACTGACAGATTCATATACATTGTTTTTATGAGATACGGTGGCAAATGGAGGTTTACATGATGGTAAGTTATCATAACAGAGGAGTTGCAAATGCTTTGCTGGCATTAAAGGGATAATGGGTTTTGGGAATTCAAGGATTGGAGAGGAAAGAAGAGAAAAAGGATTGGGCTTCTGGTAACCTCAATCACACTGCGAAACACAATGTTGTAGTATCACGCTGGATTTCTGTGAGGCCGTGATATCAATTAAGTCGTATTCATAACAAAGCCTACATTTAAAAACAATTTTATAACAGTCTTCGTGTAAGTACGTAGAAACTACAAAATCCCATCTCAACAATCTATTTATCGATAAAAGTTTGAAAAGAACTATATATCAACAAAATATCTTTCATCAAGTAGCGTAGAGACTGATATTTAGCAATGCAAAACAAGTTTTATATTTTTAACTTAGGCACAAAATAGTATTTTCTACCTTTGGTTACATCGCCGTCGTAGTTTTGCAGCAACCCAGCGTAGACAGGCAATGTATCACCTTTCGTCAATTCGCTCTGCGATCTATCGAATGCCACCAGTTCTTTCCTAAAAATAAACATATAACTAAAATAATACGAAGCACATAATATAAACAACAACAAAAACCAATTATTAAAATTTCATAATAGCAGATATTCGACTAAGCTGCGCAGGCGTATGGTTGCCAGAATTAATGATAATCAGTTTAGCAAATAGCATATACAGGAGAAATAACTAACATTGAGAACAAAACGAATAATATTTTCTCGTTTATCACATATTTTTCTATTGTAATGTAGGAGTTTATTCCACTAACCTGCAGGCCAGCACCTTCTGAATGATCTTGGAGAGGTCCTCGAAGTGTCCCTTGCTTTCGACGCAGTACTTGTGCGCAAGAGTTTGTATGACGCGGTTGATTTGTGCGCCACTAAACGATGTGTTGCTTGCGTTACTATTCTCGTCTGCTGAACGACCTTCCAGACGATGCTCGCTGATCTTGTGGAGAAGGGACTGTGAAGGAATTGTTGTTTAAAAGTTGTCAATAATGAAACACTCTCAGATTACATACCACAGACAGCAATTGTGAAAAATAGGTCTTAATTCATATATATATCAACCAACATGAATAGTCAATTTCAAATTCATTACACAAACAACATACCTACGGACTCTTTCTGTCAAACTTATTAAAATTACGAATTTAACTGGCATAAACTAAGTGAGTGACTTCTCTCAGAAGTCATTTGAGGATTTTTCCTTCACAAAAAAGTGTACCAATATTAACACGCGTATTAAGTTACCATTTCTGTAGTATACTAATTTAGGTTACTGCAGTCACGTTAAAAGAAGCATCTGTAATATAAATACTCACCTCCAAGACAGGTTTATTAGACGTCAACTGGCGGTACACTCGATCCGCTTTGTCCAGCAACGCGCCAATAGTCTGCACCATCTTCTTGCGCTCCTCGTCGTTCTCGATAGTGTCGACGGCGCAGCAGGGACGCGCCGTCAGTGTGTAGTCAAACTTCGCGTACTTACAGAAGCCGCACGCGTGACACAGGAACGGGTCTTTCTCGTCGTAGTTGATTGCACTAAGAGGGAAATTGTGTGTGAATATAGGCCGAATCATTTATTTCGAACCAATTTAACTTTAAAATTATTATTATGGTTTTGAGCTTGTTACAAAAAAAGTATATTTAAGATGTTTACAAATTCGTAAAGATCGTAACCTACAACTTTGTTAGATTTTTGAATAGCTCAAGAATTCATTCTTTCTTTTTTGTTTACATTCGTTCAGAACCACTACACTGCATATTATGTCTAACAAGTAAAAAGAAATGAAAGCGCAACCTAGAAGTGGTTCGACATTTGAGCCTTTGACTGGCGACAGAAAAGTATTGAAGGGAAATCCTCCGCTACCATCGGTCACGGGTGACCTTCGTGGCGATTTTCGTGTTAAAAATAATAATGTAATTACTATATTGTAACTTACCGACACTTGTGACATTGGAAGACGTTCTCTCCGCAGTTAGCGCAGACGCCCGGGTTAGCTGGCACAGACTGTGAGCACCGCGGACATTGCAAAGACTCACCTGAGCGAAACAAAACAAAAACATAATTAGGTAAAAATTATTTATTATCTTAGTACCGATTCCCGAACTTAGTAAGAGATTTTTTTGTTTAAATTGATCCTTGTCCAGTAAATTTAACTAGTCAAGACTTCGATTTTTCGAAAAAAATATTAAATTTAATTTCATATTCACATAATTTCATATCATAATAATTTTTTTGTATACATACCAGTAGCCTGTTGATTCTCGTAAAAGTCAGCGTACTCCATCATAAGGTTGCAAGCGACGATGGGCAGAGGGAAGTCGACGCGCACTTCAGACTGACCCGACTGAAGTTGCACGCGCTTCGCTTTGTGCCACATACCTGAACATAGCAGAAAGACACGTGATTGATATGACTTAGTATATACAAGCTGTAATGGCTAAACATTCTTTTAAAGAGTGCATTTTTTTGTTTATTATCAAATGACTGCTCCCGACCAGGGTGAGGTGAAAGGGACTGCCAGACTCTTACTGACTTAATCCTCCCCCCCCCCCCTCTCCGTTCCATCTTTTGCCTTATGTACTTTACTATGAGTTACATTTTTAATGGATCACCGAAGCTTTGAAATCTTTATTAATCAGAATTCAAGTAACATAACTATTAAAATGTACTTTCAATCCATATCCATAAGACACCAATTTCAATATACATACCAGGTCTATTCTTGAGTTCTTGCACGGCTTGCACAGTTCTATTATTGTAATAGAAGTTGATGGTCCGCACCATTTTGCTCCTCTTAATGTCGCTGATGCGAAGGTTGATGCGACTGATCATGTGACTGTTCACCAGCTTCACAATCTGAGTGGTCGTCGTGAACTTCGAGTCGATCTGCGTACAGTAGTGTGTTTAGCTCTTATTTAGTTGAGTTAAGGTGTATATTTGTTTGCTTTTTTGACGTGCGACTTATGTGCGAGGTGAATAAGTGTCAATGAAATATAGAAACATATTTATTGATTTGAAGTTAAATAGAAAATAAACCAAAAGAAAAGGTTTAAGAGAAAAAATACTGCATTTACTTCTTACTTTTTAGATTATTAGGTATTTATAGATAAAAAATAATCCAACAAACTATAACTGTTTATAATTTACTTCAAAACCTCTTTTTCATTATCATCCACAAAACATCTGCGCAAGCGCACCCTTACAAAAATCACCTCCCAACTACTACATCTACACAAATGATTTAACCAATCGCAATCTAAACCAACCTTGATAGTGGGTAGTTTGATGGTTGCCATGGGAACCTCAGGGTTGTTGCAGACGAGGCAGGGTTCCGACTCGAGGTAGTACCCGTCAAGCTCGACGTAGGACCCGAGCGCCGCGTATAGGGCTGCGTTACCGTGAGAGGAGAGAAGCTGGTTCTGATTGCGGAGTAATTCCACGGCGCTGCCTACGTATTTCTGTTAGAAGAAAGATAGTGTTGTTATGACTATATAAAAATAAATCGCAAAATGTGCAAATTGTAAGCGAATTACTAAACAAAAGCATGGACGAATTTCGCCAATTCTTTTTTGTTGAGTAAGTTATTGTTTGGAGAAGGCTTTCTTAAGAAAGAAAACTTTAAAAAATAATATAGCGAACATTGAGAAATCGACCCCTTTCGACGTTAGCGAGGTAGTCGGACACTCGTGCCAAGCAGGGACGAGTTGGTAGTTGTTCAGAAAATAAAATGAATCGAGAGGGCGGAAATTTTGAAAACGGCTAGTCTTTGAGGATCACAGCTAGAAGAGAATGTCTTATTCTGCATTAGTTGAAGATAGTCTTATTATCAAAATGTTAGGTCAAAAAGAGTGAATGAAAATTAATTGATTTCTTCACAAAAGTGTTAAGCAGTTATAATGCTTTATACAATTTATATAATTAATATTCTTACCTCAGTATCAATGTTAGGTGTCTTGAGTGTGAAGTATCCGAGAAGGTCAACGAACTGCGCGGCTTTACGTCCGTACTGCGGTAGTGTCGGCCAGATACCCCACAGAAGAGATACCAAGGAAGCTTGGTCGGCTTGCGCTGAGTTGCTATACAAAAATCAAACATAGATTTAGAAAAATGCTAAGAAGTAAGAACAATAATTATTTCGAAGTCAAATCATTTATTTCAAATAGACTACAACAGACACGTTTGCACGTCAAGATATTTACTTTTTAAATTAATCAAAGATTTTCTTAAATTGGTTCATCGTCATCATCATCATGAGCAGGAAGTCTATAGTAGAAAATAATAATATTTGAATGGACAAAAGGAAATTTATTTAGTACAGTTACCCCCGGTTTCCGAAAGGCCGATCAATGTTAAAATCAATTTAATCTCTTGTCAAGTCATCTGATTGGTTGACTGAATTATCAACAACCAATCAGATGACTTGACAAGAGATTTAACAGGAGATTAGTTAATTTTAGCGTTGACAAGCCTTTCACAAACCGGGTGTTAGGGTAGAATTTCGTATGAACTTACTTGTAAATAGCGAGCAGCAAAGCGTGAGCTTGCCAACGCACAGCAGTTGAATTGGTCTCAAGCAAGAATGCCTTGACGAACATCCTCAATTCTTCTTGAGAAACCTAGGAACCAATACACACGTTATTGTACCAGAAGGTCTGAGCAATTTTCATCCTTATAAACATTGCCAAACAACTCCCGACTTTACGTACACTATGTTAAAGTCCATAAGAAAGATATATGTTTTAGCAAGTATTCTGAGCTAATAGCAACTTCATATTTATCACAATAAGGTTTATAATGGCGTACCTGTTTTAAAATCTGTTGAACGAGAGGTCCAACTCTTTGCTCTTGGAACTTGGATCCGTCAGTGGTGAAGGCATCGTTCTCAGCGCTGCGCTCGCGGTCAGGCCAGTCCGCCGAGTTCTGCTGTAAGGGTTTCTAATGTGTGACGTTTGTTATTGATTTTGTATAGTAAAATAAAAATAATAAGAAATTTTATATTAATTGCATATATTTATTGCAATACATTTAGTATGTATTGCGAAAAGTCTAAAACTTTAGTAGAAATAAAGTTCATATTCCTTTCAGAAATAAAATTATTTGGACATTTCACGTGCAATGTAAAATAGACTACGTTAACAAAACTGACACTCGATATCACTATTGAACACTACTTTCCACGTGGTTTTGACCCACTTCTCGGCTCTTATTGATTGTAGCGTTTTGATTATTCTCAATTAAAACCACAAACAATATCATTTTGGACCATCAAAAATATAAGTAAGTTTACATCCCTTTCACAGAATTTAAAAAAGAAGTATTGATTTAAGTTCACCGTGCATCGGATTAAGGTTGGCTAGCAAGAATATCTAAGGGAAAAAGCCAATCCTTGTAACTTTTGTTAAATAAAAGTATTTAATTTTTCTAGTAACTAATTAGCCAAGTACTGGAACAAAGTTTAATGAAGTATACTCGTAATGCCGTACCTTAGCGCTTTCGCTGGCGCGTTGATGGTGCGGCGGTGCACATAAGGCGGCCTGCAGTAGCTGCAGTACAGTGGGGGCCACGTGCGGGTGCACCCGCCTGGCCACCGTCACCAACCACGCGAGGGCTTCGCGCCGCTCAGTCGCGCACGTATGCTGCCAGTTACCGGTTCGAGCGCTTACTATTTCCGCGCAAGCCTGTAGAAGGATAAAGTTGTATTATAGTATTGTATTGACTGGAAGTCATCAAAAGACGTCTTGAGGATTGTTGTTGATATACTGACAATGGAATACTATTATATAACATTTTGTAACAATACATCGTTTAATTCTGCCTCTCAATTTACACAACTGAGAGGACGGATTTTCTTCCGTGCTTTTTACAGTATACACTATTCGTTGAAGTTATGGAATCTCTTACAAAGTTATCACCTGAAAATCTATATTATAGGTGAAACAGTAATCTTTCAAATGTTGAATTGCCCAAATATGCGCTGCTACAGTTTAACGTTACACAAAATTGCGCTGCTGCAGTCTAAAGTTGCGCAAAATTGCGCTGCTACACTTTAACTTTACGCAAAATTGCGCTGCTGCAGTGTAAAGTTGCGCAAAATTGCGCTGCTACAGTTTAACGTTGCGCAAAATTACTTTTCCAATTTCAATTTCCAACGAATTTTTTACAAACTTTTTATAAACTTTTTCCTACCTTCAAATGGTCCATGAGTTGGACGAGCTTGTCGTACGCCGGGTCGGTGGCGAGCAAGGCGCGCGCCGCGTTAAGATGCGTGTCGAGTGCGTGTACGTCGCGTAGTTGACGGTAACGTTCCCGGGTACCGCAGAGTAGTAGTAGGAGTTTGCGCACTTGCTTTCTGTGAGATAATAATAAAACATTCAGTTAAATCACCACATAGTATAAAACAAAGTAGCTTTCTCTGCCCCTATATTCTTATGTATGCCTAAATCTTTAAGATTAACCTTAACCCATTAAAATAACATTAATTAAATAGTGGATAAACTAAGTAACCGCATTGCACCCGTGCGAAAAGGGGACAGGTCGATATTTTAATAATAATTTCATTACAGAAATGTTTAGATTACATTAGCCATCACTTTTTAATGATTTTATAATTTTGCATAAAAACCTAGCCTCTAAACACTCTTTGTATATTTCGCTACATCTTTAATTCGGAAATTTGTAATTAAATAATTTTAATTGTGAGATCACCCCAATTACACACAGCCATTCTTCATTCACATCAACATTACCTGAGCGGAGTCTGTTGGTTCATCATGTACTCGCAGAGCAGGGTCCGCCAGCGCTGGTCGAAGTGCGCGGGGTCGCAGTGCTTGTGTATCTGGCAGGGGAGGCGGAGCGCCATCTCCATCAGTAGTTGCGGGTAGTTGTCGAACACGTCTAGCGCGTGACCTGGGGCAAGGAAAATGGAATTATAAATAAAAAATATACATTTGTAAAACATTAAAATGTTATAAAGAATAATTTTAAAATGTTGGAAGGCGCATAACTCAACAACGCCTGAGAGGGGATGATGGGGAAAAAGTGACCCTTTCGTAGGGGCGGATTTAAGAAAAGTCATCTTCAGTTCTGTTATACAGTTATAAGAGTACTGTTCAAGTGTGTACAATGAAAATACAAATTATCTACAAATTTGTTTGCTATTTCCAACGTCGCTTTTAGAGTAGGAAGTAGTTACGTAGGTACTTACTCTTGACATACTCCTTCACGAAGAAAGGCTGCATATCTGGCAATGGTTGAGGTGGTTGCGGTTTCAGGAGTGTCTGGCCGGTTGTTGCTGTGCCTGAACCTTGAAAAATAAATATAAATTAATATTACAAAGTGTATAAGTGTGGGAGAGCCATGCTTCGGCACGAATGGGTCGGCTCGAACGGAGTGATACCAGTACTTCAGAAGACCGGCGTGAAATAACTACAGCGTAGTGTTTCGCTGTGTGAGTGAGGTTATCGGAGGCCCAATCCTTCCCCTGCCCCAATTCCTAATACCCAAAAGGTTGGCGACGCATTAACTTTTCTGTTATTGTGGGTGTCCAAGGGCGGCGCTGATTGCTTACCACTAGGTAATCTGTCTGGTCGTTTGTGGTACTGACACAAGATATAACGTATTTCATTATTAGCATATTATGTATTTGTCTTTAATGATTTTAAAAGCTTAATCAGTAGTGAAGCTTAATCAGTTACTAGAAGTCTTCTCCTTCCAATACGGCAGTAGCGCAGAGAGCACTCGGAAGCAGTGCGCAGGCGCGCCGGCGCGGACGAGCGCGGCGGCCGCCAGCCGCGACACGTGCGCTGCGCACGCGCCGCCCGTCACCTCCGCGCGCGGCACCGGCCCGCCTGACGCTGACGTCTTCCAGCGAGCCATCAGGACACCTAGGAGAACGAAGCAAGTTAGATAATACGGCAAAAATATTAGTAGTCAACAATATTGGTTCTCAGCCCTTAGATCTGTTATCATTTTAATGACATAAATACTTGATCGAACAATGTTCAGACCGACAAAAGCAAAAGGACAAAAACTACTACGATAAATAGCATAAACAAGACGAGATCTACACAATAACATACTTCTACTTTATTACGCCGATTTTTCAATTTGTGGGAGTGGGCAAAGTAAATTCTCTGTCTAAGAACAGTTATGTATGATTCACATATACTTACTCAACAACCTCATGATGACCAACTGTAGCTCTCTCCTATTGGTCCTCTCGTGTATAGGGGGCGGGGTTTCGTCTCCGTGCATATCAAGTTCAGAGACTAACAACTCGAGGCGCATAATAGCGAGTTGTAACTCTCTCCTGTCTGTGCGTTCCTCTGGGTTCTCTTCGCTCTGAATGTCGAGCTCGGACACAAGTAATTCGAGCAATCTGTCTAAGACTGTACGGTCGCCTTCCACGCTGGAGTCTAGGTCACCAGCGAGCATGAGTACCACCTATAGAGGAGTTTATGTTGTGTAATCGTGTTTGTTTGTTTGGCAATGGAAAACTGTCAAGGGCAAATTCTTCGCTGACAATGCACATAATACGTAAGCGGTGGGCTAGTCACACAATGAGTTCAATGAAACATTATTTCGTACGAATTTCATAATCATACTCTTTTCAATTATTAAAATAATCAAACTATGGAAATGAAGACTAAATTTAATGTATCTAAAATTAGTCCACCACGTTTTCATTTATGAATTTCAAATAAAGAAAGGTAAGGAAATAAAGATAAGAAAAATTAGTGGACTAATTTGTATTCGATCACAATGTTTTTCGATGAAAAGTAGTACAGGAAATGAGATTAAAACGCACACAAATAATTCGTATAAAATCTACAACATAATATTCAGTTATTTATCATTTATTTTTACACATACCTGCACGAATGGTATAGCCCTGACTCCGGGCAAGAACCTCAGTGACGGCAAGGCGTCTAACGCAGCGGACAGTAGAGAGAGACGGAGAGCGTGAAGCTTGCGTGTCTCGCTCTCGGCCTCCATCGTACGGGACGTGGACGCTACGGGCTGACTCGATGATGTTGAGGGGCCAGCTAAACAAATAGTTATAAATTATAAATTACCTCTACTGTACTTTCTGATCAATGTAATGCAACTAATGTAAGCTAGAATAAGTCTACGAGCTTTTGTAACATGCAAGTTATTTTGCAATGTTGTGCAAGCACATTACTAACCAGCTGTTTAGGTATTCTTATTATGTATTGACATTTTAAATAAAAAACAAAAATGTTTACCAAGATCATGAGGTCATATGATAATTTGTACATATTAGAAAATTATCAAATTACTTTACAAGTTATGATATATGACTATAGTTTACTAACCTGTAATTGCTACAGGAGCCGCGATGATATTGGAGGCAGGCATCGTTCCAGCGGATGGAGCTGACACCATTTCTCCTAAAACATTCCATAGCATTGTAATTTAGATCTTATAAAGTAACAAACGACACGTGACAAATAAAATTGTACTCTATTTTCATGCAAATAGAGACCATGTCTAATAAGACTTTTCGGAAAATTTTAAAATATTCACGTAACGTGTTTTATTGACTTATAATATATCGAAATTTTACATCGGTTCTTCAGTGAAGTCGTCTAAGTACCAAACAATTATTACTATTATGCTGAAATATTAAAGTAATAATACTTATAAATTACCATATGCACTGCTACGTCCCGACACCCCTCCGATAGAATCAGCCCCGGAGCCTCCAGATTCGGAGCCAGCGGAACCAGGCGGCTCGGCCGGCGATGTACGGAGCGTACTGCCGTCTGTCGCAGCGGTACTGCCCTCGTCGTCAGATCTAGAGAGATGGATAATATCACTTTATATTGATAGAGAATTTGTTTTAAACAGTATTTACTTGAGTATTGATTAATTATACATATAATGCTTTCATTTCATTCGTCTACACTTTCCGTATAGACAACTCTGAGGTTTATTGTCGGCAACGCATTTGTAGCTCTTAAGGTGTTGCGCAATAATCGGCGCATAGACACCCGTCTATAGGCGGCGCCGATTGTTTACGATCAGGTAACGCGTAGCCCGCTGGCCGACCTATCCCATAAAAAAGTTAACCAACAAAGACCTTTAAAAAACTTAATAAATTGGATCTTTGTGAAATGGAAGTTATTTTTAACGTGTCGTGGTAAGTAACCCAATTTCCAGCGATTTATAAAGCCAATATAAATACATATGACAAGGAAACAAAAAACTGTAAAATTCTTAGGAAATTAAAATGAGTATGACATACGCTGGAGGAGACGCAGTAGCATCGCTGAACCCTGGGGCAGGCGGCGGCGGGGCCGAGGGTGCGGGCGGGGCGCGGCGGGGCTGTTCCTGCAGGGACAGGGCTATCGCCAGCTCCACCATCGTCTCGTCGTCCGCGTCTGGTGGTATGTCCAGTAGGGCTTCCAGACCTATGAGGTAAATGGTATTTATTTATAAATAAAATATAACACACATCAATAGAAAAAAAGTGAGGGAAACTATACTCTAAAATTCCTCAAAGTGCTTGTACGCATACTTAACCTTGCACACAATCATTACTGAGGATAGATAGGACAATTAGGGTCTTTCCTAATCCAGTTCCTCTAAAATGTTATGACGACATTTTAAATATATTGTTTGGCTTGTACTCATTGATGCTACCACGGAATAGAAAATACAGTGGAAGTGCCCCTCAGACATCGCGCGCTAACCAACATGATGACTAGATATACAACATTTTGGCACATTTGTTGTCAGAATCGTTCGATCCGTTGTCATGATTGGTTGTCATGGTTGTCTCTAAGAAACACGAAATATATTAGAAATTATGCCTTGTTGTGCGGTTTTTAACTGCAAAAAAGTAAGCAGAAAAAAAGATGAGTCTTGTGGTGGTGTATCGTATCATCTTTGAGTATTAACCTTTGTTAATTTTAAATATATTAGATTTTAATGTAAATATCACATTTCATTACTTCAATGCAAACTATAAAGGGCCTTATTTTCATTACAATTAAGTTTAAATCTACTTGTTCGTTATGTGACGTTATATACAATACATTCTAGTAGTTTCGACGCTACTCATTTAGGGATGCGACATATTCGTAAAATAGGTTCATATCGATAATTTTTCATCATCATCGTTCAGAAAATTGATTTTTGACAATTTTTGTGTATAATTCATAAATGTTTAACTAAGATTGCATAGACACATCAACGTTTTAACCACACACAGCGTGCATCCGTCTGTGGCAGGTGCGGGTGGTTAATCACCATTTTTATTTTATAACTAGTTTTCGCCAGCGGCTTCGCCCGCGTGCTGTGTTGATAAAAAGCAGCAAATAGCAAGAGAACAAAATCTAAGTATACATAAAATTTGGTATTTATCGTCTCATTTTTATACATCTCCAATGGGTAAATACCCTATTACTTACTAAGTCTCCGCAGTCCGTCCGTCAATAGATAGAAAGGTACGGATCTAACTAATAGGTAAGAGTTACAAATATTTGATAAAACCTATATTATATTATATTTTATACCGCATCGTGTCGAGCACGGCAACCGCTACACAAAAATAATTCTTATACCATGATTCAGTGTTCACTTGCGACGGCGCTATGTCTTATTATCCGAATTGCTAAGCTATCAGGAGTTACAAGTGCTATTGTGAGTTAACCATAAAAGATAGACATATGCTTTATAACATTTTTTTTGACAATTTTATTTAAAATATTTCCGTCACACATAACTTCTTGTAAGTTCTTTATAGAAACAAGACAAGAACATTCAGACAGACAGACAGACAGACAGACAAAATTTTTACTGATTGCATTTTTGGCATCAGTATCGATCACTAATCACCCCCTGGTAGTTATTTTGAAAATATATTTAATGTACAGAATTGACAGTACAGTATAAATGTTGTACATGATTTTTATCAGAGTTCCAAAAAGGAGAGTGACTCTCAATTCGACTGTAACATTTTTTTTTGTTTTTTTCGGCTCCGTTATTTATGAACCGATTTTAATGATTCTATTTTAGGAAAGGAGATAAAACTGGTAGGAGCGCGTTGTGCTTTTTTATGTTAAAATCGAAATCTTTAATAATAACTTGACCATCTCCAAAAAACATTAAATCTTCAAAAAATATGTTAATATTTTTCTTTTTTTTTTTAGTACCTTTTTCATTTCCGATCATTTGTAGGTATATCGTGTCGATAAATTATATTGCTCACACGAATACAAAAACATCGATATATTGGGATACCCTGCCCTATCTGAGTAGCAAAATAGTAAATGTCTATTGGTACAAGTGCATACAAATATGACATCTATTTCAAAGAAGTTAGCGTTTTGAATAGAATGAATTTGTTACAGCGCCATCTAGCGTTGAGTGGCTGAACCCGTTTGTAAATTGTTTTATTTAAGTTTTTTACACGATAGACGCCTTTATTGATTGTGACATGTGAAATTATAACAACTTTCGCTCATTGTTATAAGACTCAATTTTTAACAACATTTAGAAGATGATTTGCTAAAGTTGCGTTTCATGTTTTTACCCAATTATATAGCTGTTTTTTATGTGTGTAATAAACAATTTGATTTGCGAATGTGTGATTTTGGCGACACTGGTTTTCCTTTTGAAAGAGTGTAGGGGCACTTCTACTTAATTTTCTGTTCTGTGGATGCTACTTAGAGCATGCTAGACATATCACCAGGTAAGATGTTTAAAATGCTGCAATACACTGAACTCACAGCCTTACCAGTACCAGTAAATATGGAATAGCCTAGAACAACTTATCATCATCAACTAACCTCCATCAGGAGCCAGCAGCACCATGGGTTCCAGTGAATCGTCAACATCCATGAACTGATTTTCTTGTTGCTCGTCGCGGTTGGCACTCAGGTCTGACTCTGAGACCACTGCTTCTGTGATCGAGCTCGTCGGCTGAGCTGTAGTTACTGATGATCCAGCGGCTATGTTAAAGAGAGAGATTAATTATATTTAAGGCAACGTATATTTTTTCTTTTCTGCCACAATTCTGCCACAAGATTCCACATTTGTTGTAAATTTCACATATTTACAACAAATGTTGGATCTTTATTCTTTTTGATAATTGCGAATAAAGATCTTTCTTAAATTAGTAGCTGAAAACTTTGTACCGCCTAAATTTTTTTTCAAATTAGCCTAGTCATAATTTGTGACCTTTTAAACCTTCCCTGTATATCCAGGAAAATATCAAGACCGCAATACGTCACGTCGGTCCAGCCCTTCACTAGTTTTAGCGAGACTAACGAACAGCAATTCATTTTTATATATAAGAAGATATGTTATAGTTACTTTGGTTCCATGACTGTTCGTCCATTCGTGATATAAATAATACTTAAGATACAGCCGAAATATGAAATACACTTTAAAAAAAGCATTTACCATACATTTTAATTAATGAAATCATAGATATATTGTTTCAAAATACTTAGACACAACTTTAATAAATTGAGAAAAATGTTTTAAAGTTTACCAGTTCCAGGAGTGTTCGGTGGTGATGGTATGTAGACGCGGCGCCTCTTCACTCTGGGGCGCAGAACTCTCATCAAAGCGGCTTTAGCTCCAAAGCTTATGCTCTGGTCCTCCGCCAGCAGCAATGATAGGTATATTTGATTGCCGAATTCGACCTGTTTGGTGAAACAAATAATATTACTAAGCAAGAGACAATTACAAAAGATTTCATTGCGCGTTGTCAATGTCAGTAAACATCAGACAGGGTTCAGGGTTCAGGAACAGTCCTTCATTTAGGCCAATAAGTATTAAACATACTTATTGTTAGTTGACAACTTATGGTCTAAAAATCAGTTACTATTTGATCTACTCACACTTAAATAATGTAGCAATCTTACTACTAATCTGAAATAGAATATACTTACACATTCCGGCTCACCATGTAGTTGGAAAGCATGTACGGTATCAGCGAGAGCATGCATGGTGTGCTCCGGGTGTCTGAGGCCGTACGAGAGGATGCCCGGGGGCTGCGCGGTAGAAGCGCGACATGCGGCCAACCGCCATAGTACGCTAGTCAGTAACGCACAGAGATGCGGTTCCTTCTCCTTCTCGTCTTGATTGTCTCCCTTCCAGAAAACTGACCAGTCACCTGCAGAAAATATAATTATTGTACTGGTTTGTCAGTATCTAAATATCACTGTAATGTTTATGACTCAATTATGATACTCTTTCTATTGCGCAAACATGGTGCTTTTTAGCGCAATTTACTGAGCAACCGTATCTCACACGTTTGAAATTCAACTAAAAGTAAGTATCAGTGATTTAGTGATTTGCCTAATTAAAGCCTACATTAAGTACTGTACAAGCATTTTTCTTACCATTCGGTGGTCTCTGTGGTGTGGGAGCGCTGTATTTGACGAGATGGTGTGGTCTAGCCACAGCGACTCCTCGAGCCAATAAGACTAATCTGAAGTACGCTTCAGGATCGATGTTGTGAGGATCAGCCGTGTCGCGGAGTTCCCGCAATGAAGTGCACACGTATTTAAGGATAGCTTGGTCCTAAGGAAAACGAAAATTTAATATAAAAAAAAACGAATAACATAATCGTATAAAAACAAAGTTATTATAATTTCTTGTTGCGCAAAATTATAGAAGATGAAAAACAAAAAGTATTTAAATATTTTTACAATTTGTGTGCGTAACGTTACCTTGTACTGGTGGTAGTGAGTATGATGCAGGGCCCTCAGCAGACACTGAGCTCGTGCATGCAGGTGTGGGGGCGCGGGGGCACAGAGCAGCCTGCGCGCGGGCTCGGCGGCCGCCTGCGCCCCGGCGGCCGACGCTCCCGCGCCCAGCTCGAGAGCTTCCAGAGCCGCGCAGGCGAGGCGCTCCAGTGGACTCGGCTTCCAAGCACCACCTGAACCTTCACCTTCCTGTACAAATCGGGATTGTTGCTGTATTAAAACCTGATTCTAAGGACGATAGTTTACGCTAACATTTTAAGGTGTTTTGCAAGCTTTGTGGGCTCCAGGAACTATTGAAATAATAATTCGTTATTTGTTCAAACTGCTAATTTCTTATCTATTTAATAGTCATTTGATAGATATGTTAAAAGTGGGATACTTACTTGTGCAACTTTACTGGATGAAGGGCAAGCAGATGGATCTTCATTGTCTTCAGGCCATCCAAACTGCTCCTTATTTTTACCATACACCTAAAACACATCCATTTCATTAGATTGATTATAAACATAACAAAATTAATCATAAACCACATTTGTTTTATCAAACTTGCCTTAACTGAATCGACCATGGTAACGCCATCAGGGTCTTGCGAAGGTCCAAAGTTGATAACCAGCTTCTTGTCAGATTGGAGTGACTCCTCTCGTGTGAGGGGTATGTCGAACCATCGGTTGCGCACCACTATTGTTTGGATCGATCTTCCATATACCTAGAACAAGAACACATTATACAATTATACATACATATCTTCCTCTTTTTGCTTCCTTATCTATGCTTTTTTTACACCTAATTATTTTAATAATTCTCGATTGACTTCTTCAAGCACACAATCGTTCCTTCCGTATCTCATGCATGAGATATGGAATGCGCGGGTTTATAATGCGGTAACCGTATAAACGCGGTAAATACACGGGTTCGAAACCTCGTAAGTAAATCTTTATGAACTTTCTATGATTATTTAGACACACTGACATTCGGTGAAGGAAATCATCGTGAGGAAACCTGAACTTATAAGGTTATAATTTCAAATTAATTTTTCTAATTATAGGTTTGAAATCGCCAATCCGCCTTGACCAAGCGTGGCGATAATGCTCAAACCTTTTTCGTGTGAGAAGAAGCCTTTGCTCAGCAGTGGGCACTTACAGGCTGATGATGATGATGATTTTACCAATTATCCTATAAAAAAGGTTGAACTCACCTCAACAAAGGACGGTGTTCGAGCAACGTCTTGAGTGCCGAGCAGTACTCGTATACCGCAGATAACCATGTTGGGATCCGAGTTCATCACTTCCAATGAGAATCCACTCATCTTTGTGGATACTACGTACAAACCTGTTGACAAACAGTTTAAAACCGTTAAATACAAATTATGAACATAAAATATTAGTAGCGCGTTTGCCTTTGCCTGAGAAAGAATAACAATAAATTGTCAAGCAAAGCAAATTATTATTATCAATTTACTTACCAGTAGTATTGAGCCGGATTTTAATCTGTGCAGTGTTGTAAACTTGTAGAAGATCGTTACCGCCATATTCAATATCGTTCATCGCGACGCAATGCTCGAAGAAGTCAATCGGGAATTGCGGAGCTCCATTGGCGTTGGATTTCGTTACAACCTAGAAAAAATTTAAAGTAATCTTTACAGTTGAACAAATTATATTTTTTTTTTTGTAGAGAGGAAATACTTTGATGCCTTTAGATGTTTTATTTGGACACTATAGTGAGACCAGAATGGTCGTCAACGGTTGCGCAACAAGTTGGTATGACCACAGATGTAATTTTTTTTCATTTTGTCTCCTATGAAACTTATAATCACGGAACGACGAGCGTCACTGGGAAACGTCGCTCATGAGTCGACCTATCGTGGTTTAAAACTAGTCGAGTTATCATCTCGTCAAATAGTGAACTAATGCACATATAACATATTTATTTAATTGTGTACACATTGTTGGTCGTTCATCCATGGTATAAAAATAAGACAGGCAGCGTTGTTTAGAACGAACAGGCAAATACATTTAGTTCTTTATCACTTACATACTACACAAATTACCTAGCTAAGATTAAACTAACCTGTTGTTGTTTTCCCTTAGCATGCGTCAGTAGCCTCGGACGGCGCCTGGGCGCGTGCGTGGGTTGTATGGCGGGCGAGAGCCAGTAGCCGGTATGTTCGTTGCTGGCGGCGTATATACGCAGGCTGCCGTCTTCACACAGTAAGATCAGAGTGCTCTTCTGTTCGCCGCCGCCGCCGTACCAGTGCCGGACGGCTACCATGTCTGTTATCTTCGCTTTAGCGGGAACCACCTGGATAAAACGACGTCTTAACTATTTGCTGAAGTAAACAAATCCCTTTGAATATAGATCCTTAATAAAAAAAACTCTGATGATACGGTAGTTAGTTTCTAACAAGTCAAATTCAATACTTTTATCGAAATTTCGACAGCGATACTTTTCTAAGAAGTTTGTATCAAACTGTAAATTATGACGTCATAGTATTTTAGCATCAAATAGCTTACTTATTTCTTAAAAATTTGCTAAAAGCTATAGAAAATTTGTAAAAAAAGTGTATCGACAGATCAATGAATAAAATTATAGTTATTTTTCAATGTTTAATTGTATCGAATAATCGAATTTATTTATTTTTGACCAAGGAAACTACCCACTTGCACTATTTAATTGACTAAACTAAACACGAAAATAGAAATCAGTGGAAAGAAACTTAAGTTGTAAAGATCTACAGACCTTAATCTCCTGGACGAAGATATTGGTAGGCGTTAACATCAGAACGACGGGGTTGTTAGAAGCCTGCATGACTGCGGTGACTAGGCCAGGGTGGCCGGGCACTTCGGCCCACTGGCACAGTGACTGCACTCCTTGCTTGCCGCCGCCGCGACCTCCCTCCTTCTGAGTTAATGTCGTCGATAGTGTGATCATTGCTGTGCCTGTTATAGGGAGATATAGTATTGAAACATATGAAAGACGAATTAAAAACATATAAAACTTCTATTTTTTCAAGTTACTTATAAACGAAAAAAATTATTTAAATAACCAATGGAATTCAACAAAAATAATAATAAAAACTTTTTTTAATTAATAATTATTATTTTAAATATTACATTACCTTTGAGACTTTCTTCGACAGTGTTAAGTGGTGCCAGGAAGCTTTTGCCTTGCGCGTATGAGAAGAACAGCATCTTGAGCGTATGGGAGTAGTATATGGAGACTCCACCACCACCGACCAACCCAGCAACGTCCTACGAAGAAAGAGAAAATCCCTCTTAGTATAACACTCAAGTGGTAAAAGTCGGACAAAAAATATGACAACATTTAGCCAATTGGTCTGTAACTACAGAATTTTGATTCACTACGGGTTACAACGCGAAGACATTGGACAGATTTAAGAAAAAAATACATTAGCAGATAGTATTATTTGTTAATTCAATAGCACATTTTGGTATTGTATATAATACAAAAGTTAGTAGTCCAATGTCATCTCAGGCCTGACTAAAGACGAAAACAATACAGCTCAGAACTTCTAATGTCACTGAGTAATAAACCTTTGAACGCCACTCCTATTCACCTGGCGTTCAGCGCTAGCAAAAATAACAAGAGTATCATATAATTATCAGTATTTCTATAATCCTGACAAACATGTATGTCCCTACAAATAAATAGTTATGAGGCAAAAGTTACCTACAAAAAGGTTAAACAAATCATACAATAATATTTTTATTTAATAACTCCAATATGATTTGGATTACCCTTAAATAGGTAACAGTTACCGAATAACTACTTATTGGATGAATTCGCTACAAGTAGAAAGTACGTGAAACTACTCAATGACATCAGAAATTAATTTGCATTGCTTTTGTTCTCCAGCGCGCCTGGTTATGTTCTTCCTGCGCGAAGGTCAATGACCCTTACTCGTAGGTATAAGCGGATGAAGTAAGATATACACCAGCAACATATCGCATGCACGGGGAGTTGTGGCACAGGAAGAAATCTCGTCCAAGCCGTGGCATTGCGACTGCCGTACGAACATGTACATGAGGGGCGCAGTCGCAAATACGCGGCTCAGTGCAGATAACCCACTAGGGAGCTAAGTCAATATACTGAAAAGTAGGTTAGTTTCGTGGCCTTTACTCAAGATAAAATTGGTCATTTTCTTAGTCTCAGCTAAATAAATAATAATATTTCTCGCGGAGCGACTGTCTTCTACGCCCCGATCCAGGATAATCAGACTTCTCACTGTATACTCAAGGACAAAGATGTTAATGACAATTGACAGATGAAACCGCCGGCTTGATGCTCTCCCAAACAATGGTATGTAAAACTATATGAAGATCTCGCCTCATAAGCTGCTTAGCAGGCTGCCTAGTGTTTTATGTGCCTAAACAAAACGAAAACAAAAGAACAACAAAATCGCCGTACTCTCATCAAGGAACAAGCACTCATCGGTCAAAACTATCACAATTTCGCCGATGTTGCTTACCCTTGAGGGTGACGGGTGAACAACCTGTTACCGGACTTGCCTGTATCTCCGGATGCTCAACCTGCAGGATGTTGGTCACGTAGTACGGCGTCTGCGAGTCCTCCAGCTTCTTGCTGATCGGCTTCCAGTAGATGTGTCCGCTAGGGCTCATGCAGAGCGTGTGCATAATACCAACCTGGGTCATAAGGTCACATCACAAGTTCAAGCGCACAGAGGAACTTACCTGTATCTCCGGATGGAGCACCTCTAGCGTGTTGGTGACGTAGAAGGTGCCGAGCGCGGCGCGCGACTCCTCGCTCATGGGCTGCCAGTAGATGTGCCCCGCCGAGCTCATGCACAGCATGTGCATCACGCCGTCCTGGTTCACGAACGTCACGTCGCGCACCTGCACACACACGATACCATTTCTAGAATGTTAACGGCTTCAAAAAATCTCTCCGAAAACCACTATGTAGGTACTTCATCTTTAATTATGTATAAATATAAATCTTACCTTTCCGCTGGGTACGAGGAAGTGGTGCATAGGGTTGTTGAGATCCTTGCTCAGGTCGTAAATCTTCACGAAATCTGATGTGACGAGAGCGAGCTGTGTCTGTGAGCCGGGCAGCCATATGGCTTTGATGACGTAGTTGTTGCCTTCCAAACCGGTGTTGAGAACTAGATGGTCGGCTACGGCACCTAAACAAAGAGATATTTTAATTTTAAAATGCAGATTTCTATTTGCATAGCTTTTGGGTATTACGTCACGTAGACGTGGAAGTGCGAAACAGTTTCACATAGTCAGGGAGTAACAATAGATTTTAAACCTTAATACCAAGAGTTAAAAGTACATTATTAAATTTTATTACTTACCACCACTATTGAACGTAAGCACATGACACTCCTTGAGCCCGCAGACAGCCAATAAATCCTCATTCCATGGGTTTCCACTGAGACTGAGCACCATAAACGGTATGGGGGCAGACGACAAGTGCGTCAGAGTCAACTTGTGTTTAGACGAATCCGTCTGCTTCAGGAGCGCAGATAATTGTAAGACGGTGATTTTTCCTGTGACAAAAATAAAAATAGAGATTATAAAACAGCCTTAAAATATTGCACATCAAAGATTTGTGAGACCAGTGTTAGTTAGTTTATATATTCGTATATACATAGCCAGAACAGTAAATAGTTAATTTAAATAGTTACTTTTATATTAATTACCTTCGACTACTATCTTTTGAGACATTCCGAAGAAATAAGAAGAATTGCAGTTTAAGATACATTTCACATTTTCTAGTTGGAACTTTCATTCTGAGTCTTTTTTAATAATATGCGAAGTACGTACCTTTCTCATGCGACACGGCGAGGTGCTGGCGCCGCCCCTGTGGCGAGGCGAGGCAGCACATTGCGACGCGCCGCAGCTTGTGCGTAGACATCAGTTGTCGGATCGTCTGTCCAGTCTCGCCCGTGTACGACATGCGTACGTTCTCGAATGCGCCTTCTTGGGAACCTAGGGCGAAACAAACATGAAAGTCCATGCCGTTAATTTGATTACACGGTTGGTGCCGTGGCTGAGCAACTGACTGATTCGATTCTTGCACGGTACAACTTTTTGTGTAATCCATAATTTGTTGTTCGGGGACTGGATGTAATGTGTAAGTGAAACTGTATGTTTGTAAACACAGCCACAACACAAAAGAAAATTATAATGTTTAAAAAAATCTTTGGTGTTGTTTAAATAATTTATAATACAATGTTTCGTTTTGCATTTTTGTAAAAATCAAGGCGGTATTACAGCTTTTAGAAATGAATTAATATGAAAAGAGTAGCATCTTTAAGCATGATATTCCTGAATCTATACTAATATTATAAAGGGGTAAAATTTGTAAGTTTGTATGTAGGAAGGCAAAATTCTTTCACTATATGCACTATGCTTTAAAACATGACGCTACGATTAAATAGAGCCGAGCAGCGGGTGAAACCGCGCTCGAGTAGCTAGTGTCGAATAAAACGGCATAAATGTTAGCACTGACCAAGAGTAGGCAGCATCAAGTTGTCGGTGTGCGTGAACTTCTTCTCCCCAAGGTGCAGCTGCGCGAGCGCGCGCTGTGCGCGGGCGTGTGCGCCGGTGGGCGCGGCGCGCTCGCACGCGGCGCGCACGGGGCCCGCCAGCCACTCCAGCAGGCGACGCGCGCGCTCCATGCACGCCGCCCAGCCGCCGTACGACGACAGGAATTCACGACAACCTGACCAACGCAACGTTACAGTACTACACTCAAGGCTTACTACGACCCCGTCACGCGGTAGGAGTGGTTTCAATCAGTAATGCTTGGGGCACACTAACGGGAAATGCCAATGTAGTGATCAAATTATTGCCAAATGGATGATAATCGTAGGTGGCTACGATTAATGTCCATTGCCATGCCCAAGTATAAGGTCTTACAAAACACTAACACCCGGTTTCTGAAAAGCTTGTCAACGCTAAAATTAACTCTCCTGTTAAATCTCTGATTGGTTGACTGAATTATCAACAACCAATCAGATGACTTGACAAGAGATTTAATTGATTTTAACATTGATCCGCCTTTCGGAAACCGGGTGTAAGGCTTGATTTCAGGAAACGTAGCCAGTCGCGCCACTATTGCTCAATTGTCTGTTTGCGCGACCAATGAACGGCCAACTGCTGCAATTAATAAAAAAAACGTACGAAGCGCAGCGACTGGCCACGTTTCCTTAAATCAAGCCTTAGAATTATATACTCATGCCATGCCCATGGTGAAGACATAATTAATGATTTACTGTTACAGAAGATGGAACCACAAAACATTATGAGCGACATATCTAAATCACAGTCACAATTTAAAACATTCTGATAAAAACACATTAAGCTTTCGGTTTTAACATTGAGTTAATTTCAAGTTTTAACAAAATAATAGGTGTTGCTGCTATACATATAACATAAGACACACGTTCTTTGAAATAAATTTTATTGAAAATATGTTTCGTTAAGGTACCTTGGATATTAGAAGCCAAAACGGGGCGTCTAGGCGGCGCCAGTATGGCTGGCGGCGCCGGACTGGACGGACGGCGGCGCAGAGAGGGCGCCGGAGCACTCTCTTCCGCGCCATTGCCGCGAGCTGCGCCCAATGTCATCGACCGTTTCACTAGAGCTTGACAACTGCATACACATACGTGAATCAATCATAACGTAAAACAAACAAAACATCAAAAAATAAATTTGGTACTGGAAAAGGGAGATAATTAGTTAGTCTGTACTAATATTATAAAGAGGTAAAATTTGTAAGTTAGTATTTTTGTAAGTTTGTATGTAGGGGTTAATCTTTGGAACCGCTGGACGGGTTTACAAAATTCTTTTACTGATAGATAGCTACAATGTTCCTGAGATATATAGCTATAAAACATCACGCTAAGATCTGTAGGAGCCGAGCAGCGGGTGAAACCGCGCGAGAGTAGCTAGTAAACAATAAAAATGTGTACGATTTTACTATATTCATCATTTGGTGCAACATCACTCTAGCAGCAAAACAAGAAACTATTATTCTTCTATTATATTAAAATTGAAATTCAGACAAAGCTAAAGACGCAGTTATGATTCAGTTTTCATTGAAATGTTGGTGTAACAACAAATATACTAGAACAAGTATTACCTAGAGTCAGGTTTAGCTCCACAGTCGCAGAAGAAGTTGCCAAACTTTGCGTAAGACACGTCGTGTCCCCGATGGCAGACCCTGGCGCAGACGGTGCAGACGCCGACGCCGTCCACCATCTTGCACGTGTGGCAGTGGTACCAGTGCTGGTTCATGAACTCTCGCTGCGTCACCGTGAACGTGCATAGCTTGTACTGCAGCATTGCGTCTTCGTCCTGAAACAAATCATAGATATATTTACATCTATACTAATATTATGAAACTGAAGAGTCTGTTTGTTTGAACGCGCTAGTCTCTGCTAATCGTATACCATCGTATCTAATATTTCAAATTAATGAAAGTAAACTAGTTTACAAGTCAGGCGTCTTTCGAGACACTATATGGAAGGTAGATCTGACGAAAAGTACGGAATACTAACTGAATCATCAGCGCTAGTGTCATCGTCATCTTGTTGTTCATCGGTGTAGTCCAAATCGAAACCAAGGTCGGACGGCGACTCCCACGTTGGGCTAACCGAACGCCACGCTGCAACAACAAACATTTTAACATTTTATTTAAACACTTTAATGTATCAAAAAAATTATCAAAAAATGTCTCGTATTATATATTTCCTAACTAACGTGGCAAACTTCGTACCGCCTCAAAATTAACTTAAGTTTTCTAGCATTTTAAACCTTCTGTGGACTTCCACAAATAATTCAAGACCAAAATTAGCCAAATTAACAAAGGCATAGATACACTCGCGAGCAAAAGTATGGAATCACTTACTTGGAATTGAATCCTCGCGATCTTAAGTTCTTAATAACTAGTTAAGAATAATAAAAATGGTACCATTTAAAAGGTTAAACTGTTAACTTTAAATTGATACCAAATTCATTTAAATCACACCAGTATTGAGGAGCTATCCCGGATTGAGTGAAGGAGTTACGAAAACATAAGGATAATGGAAAAAATAATGAATGAAGAAAACAACAAAAATTAATTAATAAAAATTTTATTTGGCCTTAAAATTAAGATTTAATATTTTGTGTTCCCTCCCCTCGCCCTAATAACTGCTTGAAGGCGGTTCTTCATTGACCTAATCAGCTTCTGTATCGATTCTTGCGGGATACCTTCCCACTCCTCTATCAAAGCCGATTTCAGCTCATTCACACTTGAAGGAGCAGGATTTCTGGAACGAACCCTCCTCTTCAGTTCATCCCATACGTGCTCAATGGGATTTAAGTCCGGGCTGAGTGCTGGCCAGTTCATTGTGGCGATACCGACTTCTTCGAGATATTCAGTTGTGACACGGGAAAAATGCCGGCCCACATCATACAAGAACCACCCCCATAAGCCACTGTCTCAGCGAAACAGCACTGCGCAAATCGCTCCCCAGGCCGCCTGTAGACCCGACCCCTTCGGTCGCTGCCGTGCAAACACATTCTGCACTCGTCGGAGAACAGAACTCGCCTCCATTGCTCAACCTCCCAATCAAGATGGGAGCGAGCAAATTGAAGGCGTGCTTGTCGGTGACCTGCCGTCAGTTTCGGGCCTGTGGCAGGCCTTTTTGGAGTCAAATTAGCTTGCTTAAGTCTTCGACGAACTGTCCACTCACTGGCAGCTACCCCACGAACATTTCGGAGCTCCTGTTGGACATCGACACCAGTCAAATGTCGATTTCTGAGAGAGGTTGACACGATGAAACGGTCATCTCTCTCCGATGTGCACCGGCGCCGTCCAGATCTTGGTCTCGGGATAAAGCCACCAGTCTCCCGAAACCGTTTATAAACTTTCGAAACACAGGACTGGCTTATGTGGAGCTGACGTGCGACAGCCCGCTGGCTGAGCCCTTCTTGCAATAGGGCGACGATTTGTGCTGCTTCTGTAGGTGTAGTATCCATGGTCGTCCAAGTTCAAGGGTCTAAAGTAGCGGAGATGTGTACTGGTCAACGTGTGAAAGCCGACTGATAAAGAAAATCCGATAACACGTGCTTTTATAGGGGGTCAATAGGGCGCAACTCGTGACGTATCAAACAATTGAAACATATCTTTTTCCTTACTTCTTCACGTAATCCCGTATAACTTCTGAAATTATGGCGTGATTTAAATGAATTTGGTATCAATTTAAAGTTAACAGTTTAACCTTTTAAATGGTACCATTTTTATTATTCTTAACTAGTTATTAAGTACTTAAGATCGCGAGGATTCAATTCCAAGTAAGTGATTCCATACTTTTGCTCGCGAGTGTAGTTGAGTTATTAATAATTATACATTACAACGAAAAGTGGAATTGGTTTTTATATAAATAGATTCCTAAATGTAACAAGATGCAATACGGTAGTTTCCAACTAGTCAAATTCAATACTTTTATCCAAATGTCAAAAACGATACTTTTCTATGAAATTTGTATGAAAAACTGAGGTATGACGTCATAAGTTTTGCGTCAAATAGCTTACTTATTTCTGAATAATGAGCTAAAAAAATCTAAAACTTAGTGTATCGATCGATCGATGAATAAAAGTATAGTTATTTTTCAATATTTTTTTGTATTAAAACGTCGAATTAATTGATTTTTGACCTAGGACACTACCGAATTGTAGCCAACCATTTTCGTAGCAGTTCTTAAAAGGTATAATATATATATGTAGTACGATATAAGAGCAACTATCATTTATTTTACTGCCATATCAGAGAAAGCCAAAGGTGCATATTAATCGTTATTACATACAAACTGAATTTATCCAAAACTACACAACAAACCAGAATAACTTTCAATCAAGAGACCGAATTGATTTTGGTATAGTAGTAATTACACCACGATATGACCGACACGATATGACGATGAGTTGAAGAGCTGGTGGAAGCGCTCAAGAGAAATTAGTTTAAATTACAATCAAAATATACTGTGTTAGTAACACTTACTGTGGGGCTGTGTAGTATTGATAGCATGCAGAGCGTCCGCCAGGTAGGACAGGAGTACGCAAGCGGACTCGATCTGCGGGGCCAGGGTCGCATCCACCTGTCCCTCTTCCAATTTATCGAGCACTTCTTGACTGCCCAAGTTGTCCACGCTAAGGTAAAATACACACAAAATATAATGTAGCAGTACGCTGAGGCTTCTCAAATTATATGTTTAGACAGGTTGGTTATTGACAGGTTAGTATGGCTAGCATTCCTAAGAATAGTAAACCAGACCTTGTCACGTTTCCAACGCAATAAATCGGATTTTCTTTGAACTGTATTCCAATACGGTTGTTTCTAACTACTCAAATTCAATACTTTTATCCAAATGTCAAAAACGATACCTTTCTATGAAAATTGTATGAAACATTGAATTATGACGTCATCGCATTTTTGCGTCAAATAGCTTACTTAATTTTTAAAAATTAGCTAAAAAATATCTAAAACTTAGTGTATCGATCGATCGATGAATTAAAGTATAGTTATTTTTCAATATTTTATCATATTAAAACGTTGAATTAATTTATTTTTGACCTAGGAAACTACCCAATTTTTATTTCTATCACATTTAATAAAAAGACTTAAATTTTTTCAACCAAAATTAACGTGGTATAAGGGCAGGAAGACTGATAGAAAGTATAATAGAGCAAGAGCCCGTGAGAGCCAGACCTTCGGATTTTTATAAAAGCTAAGAGTTCTTCTGTGTATGTCCCCAATACAGGTAAGAAAGGTCCCCACCCATGAAACCTGGGTAGTGGTGGCTTTGGCAGGTAACAGGTAGCAAAGGTGTATAAAATTCCACCTCAAATTTATTAATTTATAAAACTCAATTTTTTATATTTTATTCGTGATAATATTAAAACTCGCGTTGCTCATTGCCAGACACTTAATATGGTTACAACCCTCTGCCGGACACCCCTGAACTATTATAATTTGTAACTATACTTACGTTATATTATAAAAGCCAAATTTTATATATGTTTTTTGGACAACTATTAAATATTGTTTCCTTAATAGCCAGACAATTTCGAGGGTTACATCGTCCAGCCAGACGTATTAAATGTGTACAATAGTTATGAGTGAGAGGAGTATATGCAGCAACGGGTGCGAGTGAGATAGAGCGTGCAGTCTATTGCGACTTTTACTGCGCATCAGCTGCTCATTGTGTATTATGTAGTGCGCGGTTATCCTCATAGTAAACATACATCAAACGTATATTAAACGTTGTATTATTTTTCTGTGTAATTTATAAAATAAATGTGATCTAATAATTGTAATAAAAAGTTATCATGAGTGAAGAAGAAGTAAAAGTAGTTTGCTTTGTCTGTAAAAAAAGTGGCGAAGATCTAATAATATTTACCGAGGAGACTTTAAAAAAATGACAGAATATTCTAAAATTAAGAAAAATACACAAACTTAAATACTAAGACGTTATTTTACCTAGTGAATATACAGAGAGTGGTTATCACAGATCATGTTATAAAGCATTTACAGGTCTAATGAAAAAATACTTCAGCTCTGAACCTCTAAGTACTAAAAAAAAAACAAGCAAGTGGTGTAGTTACAGACAAATCATTTCCAACTTCATCGTTGACTCCAGATTTGAGTTCAGAACCACCTGATTCAGAGTCTTCATCAATAGAATCTTCAACAATATCTCAACAAATTTTATTTTCCCAGTCAATAGAAGCACAACCGTCAACATCTCAAGATGAATCTTATTTACAGCCTGTACCTTCAGAATCTTCCACGACACCTCAGCCGACTCCAATTTCTGACTCAATAGGTCTACAATCTTCACCTCTTCAAGATTTTTCTGGTGTTTCTGAACAGGATGTTAATGATAATAATATTGTAACTCAGGACGTAAATACTTCGACTGATAATATTGCTGGTAATAGTGATAACGAGGTTGTTTGTATATTTTGTGAAAGAAAAAAGAAAAAAGTGAAATCGAGAATGGTTCCGCTTCATACAGCTGATGTCCATCAATTTAAAGCTAGTATTAAACCCAATATAGAAAATTATGAACAGTATAAAGGTTTTCTAAATAAATTGGATAATTTTTCTGGCCCAAAAATTTACTATCATACAGAATGCCGCGTTGATTTTAATAACACTGTATCTTCATTAAAAAAAAACGCGTAGCAAAACGGAGTGGCATTATCACCAAATAGTTTTTAATGAAATCAGTACAATCATTAAGGAAGAAGTGATTAAAAAAGGACACAAAATCATCGAAAATAATATTGAACAACAAGACCTTTATAATGTTATTCAAAGTTTTATATGCTATTTATACAATGTTGAGAATATAAATGATGTTGATGCTGCTAGACTACAAATTTTTATCGATTCTTATACAGTGTCTGATGTGAACGAAGCTTTTAATCGAAAAAAATTGCGAAATTTCGACGCAAGTAGTTTACCACCTTGTAAAAGTGAGCTATTACAGCAATTTTTGCGAGCAAATTATAAATGTTGTATCTGGAATAATGCTCATTTAAAAAACCCTACAACATATGAGCCAGTAAATAATGGTTGGATTCTGGAAAATGATGAATACCATTTTAAATGGTTTGAAGGAGATCAACTACCAAATTATGTCAGTGAATCTCTAAAAACTGTATCAGGTATATAATAATTATGACAAATTATTTTACATTAATTTGTGACTAATTAAAATTAAATTAACTTGATTTTACTATTGCAGAAGCAGGCGAAGAAGACGATGTTGATAACGATGAATTTAGGGAGTGGAGTAGCAGTGACGACGAAAATGAAAATGTCAACATCAACGATGACAATGAAGAAGATTTTTGAATATTTAATTTAAATGAATTTATTTTTCTGTAAATTTCTAACTCACAAAGAAATTATTCTTTCGTACAATTAACAAATAAATTATAATGGCCTTGAAATTTCAGTTGAATTGAATATAATAAACTTTATAAAATTAAAAAATAACATCAATTGAGTTACTAGATTTTTGATATGATTCATATTTTTTTTATAAAATTTTACGGAATATTACTTTAAAAATTTATTATTCAGACTGTATTAATTTTATTCAATGAAATTTCTCCAAAAAATTAGAAAAAATGTTACTGAAAAATTCCGAAATAAAAACAGTAGATGCGCAGTAAAAAGTCGCAATAGACTGCACGCTCTATCTCACTCGCACCCGTTGCTGCATATACTCCTCTCACTCATAACTATTGTACACATTTAATACGTCTGGCTGGACGATGTAACCCTCGAAATTGTCTGGCTATTAAGGAAACAATATTTAATAGTTGTCCAAAAAACATATATAAAATTTGGCTTTTATAATATAACGTAAGTATAGTTACAAATTATAATAGTTCAGGGGTGTCCGGCAGAGGGTTGTAACCATATTAAGTGTCTGGCAATGAGCAACGCGAGTTTTAATATTATCACGAATAAAATATAAAAAAATTGAGTTTTATAAATTAATAAATTTGAGGTGGAATTTTATACACCTTTGCTACCTGTTACCTGCCAAAGCCACCACTACCCAGGTTTCATGGGTGGGGACCTTTCTTACCTGTATTGGGGACATACACAGAAGAACTCTTAGCTTTTATAAAAATCCGAAGGTCTGGCTCTCACGGGCTCTTGGACTATAATGATCGTAGTTATGACATAGTTTTTTGTCATATGTCGGCAAACGAGCTCACGGAATACCTCATGGTAAGCAATTGGCATCGCCTATGGACGGTCGTAATACCAAAGGAGTTACTACAAGTGCGTTGCCGGTGGGTTGTCAGAGATTTACGGATAGTAATAGTTTAAGACAACATACCAGTTAGCCAGCCACCCGACGGCGGCGGGGAAGAGCTGGCGATGGTCGTGCCCGGCGTGGGCGTCGGCCAGCCGGCACATCTCCCGCAGCAGGAGGGGGGAGCACGCTGACTCCCCGCACACCGACACCAACGTACTCAGCATGCGCTCGCTCACGTCCTCACCACTGCCACGGATATTACAGTATTATGTATTTTAAAATACCTATTATAACTAGATATTCCGATATGTGTCCATCTAATACTTTGATAAACACAAGGAAATTTGATTTACGATTCAGCCGAACTTTCTTTACCGAAAGTCGGTTTATTATCTGGATTGACATGACATTTAATCAACAGTTTAGCAATTTTTTATTATACCAACCAATATAATATATATATAACCAATATAATGTGAACCCATAGCCTAAAAATCATATGTCCTAGCTAGGGCTAGAAAGAAAATAAAAAGGGAAAAGTATTTTTTTTTTCTTAGTTACCAGTGTTGTACAACGTGCTTGCACAAAGCGGACAATAGAGCTGCGTTGTCGTTGGCCGCGTCCGTGAGAGGGGCGGGGGCGGGCTCAGCGACTGCCGCCGCCGTAGTACCAGCCCCTCCGCTCTCCTTACTGCCGTCTGACCAGCTACAACTCTCTATACCAACAAATAAATCTTGCTAATTTCAAATTACAGAGTTTGAACAACAGTTGCACAATTATAATATGTATGATTGGAACTGTTTAAAAATGTACTACGAAATAATTACCTGAATTAGCGGATTGCTGTGCGGTGTCTGATTGCGCTCTAGGAGCAGGCGAACTGAAAAGAAATAACACATTTAATCTGTTATTGCCAGTACAAGGTTTGTTTGGTGGGAAAAAAAAATCAGCAAATTCTCAAACTATCAGGATCCAGTAAGCAATTTGTACATAGTAAAAATACTTTGCAAATTGAATTCAAAATAAAATACTCACGGTGTATCAAATACAGGTAGATCAGAATCATTTCTTTGCGCATTGGAATCGTTACGTGTGGCAGCGTCACTACTCTCACTGCGGAACACGCTGCGCAAAGCGTTGCGCAATGCGAGCGAAGCAGGGTTGCCACCAGCGTCCGGAGCTGATGATGTAGGGGTTGGCAGCTCTGTTTCTGTAGGGGTACCATTAGCAGTGCCTGCGGTTCCACCTGCTGACGCTGGGAATATTAAAAACAATAATAATATAAAGTAAAAAATAATTTAAAACAAATTTGTTGACAAAAACTCCTTACCAGATCCGCCCAAACATATATGAGCCAGAAGCGTCGATAGTTTTTGTTGATCAGCGACACCAATGAACTTGCATACTGATACACATAGATTACTGTTCAAATCGTTCTCGCAACCAGAGAAAATCTTTATAAACAACCTGGAAGAGAATAAAACAATCGATCACTTAGTCCTGTGTCTGGAAATAGTTTGTTATGATTTTTTTAAGAATAATTCAGCTGTACTTACTTAATAACCCTCTCAGCGTAAGGGTTTCTTGCATTGGGCGCTGACAAAAGTATCTTGCCGAGAGAATAACCAGAATTATCGGCGAACACTTTCTCGTACGCCAATCTGCCCGCAGGCCGGTCTAGAATCTTCTCCCAGTATTTTACCTGAACACAAATTTTACAAGGTCAACTCGTGCTAATATTAACTATGAATATATTAAAACAAGCTTAACCTTCATCGCACGAAACGAAACAACTGAGGATAGCGGTTTTAGTTCTTAATTTACAGTGTAAGTCAAAGGTCATCTTATCTATCAATGAAGATTTTAAACCGTTAAGATCAACTCACCATATGTCTCAAAGTTTTCTCAGTGGAGGGTTGCAGGTGTTCAACGAGAACATTGTATGTGGTCTTGATGATGTGCTCGTGTATAAGTTGTTCCGCCTTCTGGACTTGCGGTACCAGGGTATTCAAGGTGGCTGCCAGTGGCTCCGACATGAACTCAAGACGGCCATCCATCTGAAACGAAAATAAAATTAATAAGAAGAAATAAGAATACGTTTTTATTTTTATTACGTAGACCTTTTTTGGTCTGCGACCTTACAAAAATGTTAACTAATTTTATGTATGAAGTATGTATACATATTTTATTTCACTTACCAAAGCTGGTATAATCAGGTCAAGCGTCTTCTTCATAAGCTCAGGGTTGTCAGCGAGCTTACTAGCGCCGACTTCAAGAAGTTTCGCAGCCGAATAAGCGAGCATCATCAGGGATGAGCCGATGGAGTACTTTGTATTCGCTGTAATCAATTCGCAGTGTGCCGACACCAAGGCCAACACTGCACTCTCTGATGGTATTATGTGATTTGCGTAGAATGCCTGTTAAAAAAAAAAACTTCTTAGACATTGTTTGCGCAAGTGGTGCGCGTATGACTGAAGTTAGCGCAACATTTGTACAATGTTGCGTAATGTGGGAAAGATGATATTCGGTGGTGGCAATAAAAGTTATCTTTTTAGTAAATCTTACCAAGTTCATGCAAGCCAAAGATGGCGTAGTCGTCAGTCTATCGAGCGCAGCTGCAGCGTTTGGTGGTAAATGAGCTCTCAGCCACGCGCCGAGGGCAGGTGGCGGAGTACTACCTGCCGCATTGCCGACCGGACCAGAAGTACCACACACTTGTAAGTGAGCCTTGCTTACAGCAATATCGGAAGGGTTACTTGAACTCTCCATAAGGCCCTCGAGTTCGAGACCAGCACTAAGTCTGAAAATAATAATTTTAGATGTGATAAACGAGACAACTTTGCATAAAACGAATACAAATTGTGTGGTTCGTGCAATAACCAATTTAATTGCAAAGTTTGAATTGAAAAAAAAGTAAGTATTAAATCTTTTGAAAATCAACAATCTCAGGAAATACCTGTCCTATTAAAGTACATAAATATCTTCGCATGGAACATTAGGCGATAAGGACTCATTTACGAAGACACACATTCTGCGTTCTGTCACACATTACTCGTAAAGTTCCTAAGTTTTTGGGCGGGCGATTACGTGGCCTAGTGCTATAATGTACAAGTGCGTAAAGAAACTTCTTTTACGTAGATAACTTACCGACAACAGTCCAGTACTGTCTCCAACAAATCCAGTAAATCAGGCATGAACTGATGTGCTTCGGATGGCGTGGAGGAGTCAGCGAGGCATACTTTGAACCTCACCAGAGCAGAGTCACAAGAAATCACGTCCAGGAGAGATGGCAAGCCGTTTGCTGTAATAAAAAAAAATAGTTCCCTTCTAATGAAATGTAACAACGAAATTATTTGTAGTCGTGTTAGTGAATCTTCAATTCATAAATCAGCAAAATAAGTTAGAAGAAAGACTAGATAAATACAGAGCTTTAGAAAATCATACTAGTTACAGGAGTATTTTGACCAAAAATGTTCTTACCAGTGATATTCTGTTTCAGATGCTTGATTGTTTCAGAAGCTAACCACGCTGTATATTTGATGTTGTCGCACGATGCGCTTACGCCGGCGAGGAGGTTCTCCGCATACTAAACAAAAACAACACATTTTCATTTGATATTTAAGGATTGGGAAGAGATGGGGGAGGGGGAGGTATTGGGCTTTCGGTAACCGCACTCACACGGCGGAACACAACGCTGTGTTTCTTTCACGCCGGTTTTCTGTGAGGCCGTGGTATCACTTCGGTCGAGCCGACCCATTCACGCCGAAGCATGGTTCTCCCACACTTAAATGTAGGCACTCTAATAGCGTACTTTGTCTAATCAGGAGCTCGAGCCTTACCTGAGTGTACATTCCCTGCTTAACAAGAGCGTCTTTCAGCCAGGGGTTGAATACTTTCTTGTTGTCAGCTCGTGGCGCCCATATAACAGCGTGCAGTGGTAACGGAGACGGCAGGTCGGCGGCCGTGCCTGCTTGTAGCTTGTCCATGTGAGGAGTCGCTGGAGGCATGCTTATTACCAATCTGGAGATGAGGAAATAATTCAATATCCATGCTTAAGAAGTGAAGGATTAGAAAGAAAATACATTTATTCGGCATCAGACATGAAAGCCAGAAAAAAAAAACAAAAATACAACACAAAAAACAATAAAAAGGTTAAAAAGACAGAAAAACAAAAATACGCTAAATATACAGTTTTGGCAGACAGCAGCAACACACAGTGTTGACAGTGTTCTACAGGGTTGGCAGACATGTCTAAACCGAACGGGTCGCCAACTCAGCAAAAAGCTGGGCACGCTGAGCACCCAACACTGATTTTCAGTTGGCACCCCTGCAGTGACGCACGGACGAAAGCAACGCATAACGAGTACGTTCAGATTATAATATAAGAAAGAAATTAAATTAAATATAAATTATAAGAGCAAAGATCATGTTCAAATGAAGAAAAGATACATGGAAAAATAAAATAAAAAAGATACATGGATTAATTATGGGAATTGTGATTGGATTCACCTGAATGGACCTTTTCATAAGAAGCTTACTATTAGGTACGGCGACGAATATAAAGAGACAGAAGAACAAAACAAATATCTTTCATAATATATTAAGAGTTAATAAAACTTTCTAAAACATGTTTATTGTATACTGCTTCTGTTTACAAGGTACAAAAATGACATAAAACGATCGTAACTAGGCAATACGATGGTCCATTGTTTCGCCTTACCTCCAAGCAGTTTGGAAGCAGTAATGAGCGGCGGCTAGCGCGGCGGGCGAGCCGTGGTACTGGCTGTTGTCGCACAAACACGCCGAGTTCAGCAAGGCCAGCAGCGCGTCCAGCAGGAGCGGGTACTTCAGCTTGTGGGGCGTTCCCAACACGAAGTTGCATGCTAGGCCGTCGAATTTTGGATTTTCCTGTTTCAAAATAAAAATAATTATTTAATTTACTAATTTTCAATGTGTGTACAAATTTATAAATTTTTTTTTGACATAGTATCGTGAAGGAAAACATCTTGAGAAAACCTAGACAATTTTTTATTACAGGATTAAATTGCCAATTCGTCTCGAGTAGGCGTAGCTAGACTCATTAGAACATATTTAGAGGCGTGCCCAGAGGCTTACCAAGCGTGATTACGGCCAAATGGCTGCCTAATACGAAATAAAAAAATCTAAAACTCTCTGTTCGAGAAAACGGCCTATGGCCTGCTGTGGATGCTTTTATTGTAGTGATAAAAACTCACCTGGTTATTAATCTCAGCGTTAGTCAAAGCGTAGAACTTTGGCCTCATAGAAGTTTCGTCCTGAGACAGTCGCCTGTACGCCTGTTCAATCTGCGGTACTTCACAGTAGATGCGAGACTTTGGCTGCCCATTCGTGGTGGTCTTGTTGCCGTTGGCATTCGCTTCGGTCGTGGGCTGAGCTAAACCTGGTGCTATTACCAAGTTCCATTCAATCTAGAGGGTTAAAAATAAAGAAAGTTAAAGTTGTTTTCGATATAAAGAAGTTAAAAACGATTCAAAGTTCTGTCGATGTCGGTCTATCCGCTAATAAAAATGTTAATCTACACACACATGAAAAAAAAAACGTGCTAGAAACTCCCTGGTTACTCGTTTACAACTAGCAAAATAGCATTTTCATGTTATAAATACATAATATATACGATTAAACTGTTTGTATTGTTTCATAACTTGTGCTATTTTCAAGTATTTTAATTAGTAAAGAATTGAAAACTTGAGTATGTCAAAGTATGTTATGAAATAAAATTGCTACAAATCACTATTTTGGTACTTACCTGCTGCAGGAGAGTTTGAGGTGCGTCATAGAGATGCCTCATTAGGTACTCAAGGAGCAGCATCAGTCTAGTCGTCAACATGAGCTGGTGGGGAGCCAGGTTCATTGCTCGCTTCCTGTCACTGATCGCCAATGTTTCTACCACCTAGGAAGATAAAGATCAATCAAATTTTGTTGTCAAGCAAAGCAACCATAATTGGGAAATTATGGAAGAAAAAAGACCTTCGTGGTGTAATAATAATTCTTACTTAAGTTATAAATACAAAATCTTAAAATAGGCGATTAAAACAACTTACTAACTTTTATAATCGCGTTTGAGGTCATGAGCAGCACAGATTTCTTCTGCATTAGCGTCAACGAATGGAACAGATACACCAACAGCTGAGCGTGTTCAACATTTAAGTCTGAAACAATTAAATTTAACAAATATAAGTCTTATGTCTACTGGATAAAGTTCTAAGTATTGTGATGAAACTACACTCTATATAAATACTTTAAACATGATACAGAACTTAAATAAATATAATTATATACTATATAATATAATAAAATATATATAATACAATAGTAATGAAAATGGTTAGCATACCTATATTAGCAAAGCCTGTAGAAAACCGGTTAGCCATAATTAAAAACAAAGCATCCATGTTAATATACATACAAATAATAAATACAAGTTACGCTCAAAATTAACAACAAACGTAGAAATATTGTACAGACTAAATCAAAAGTATAGTGAACGAAAATCAAATATGTATCAAAACAAATAAACTTATAGTTTTGCGTGCATAATAATTGTTACATTGATGAACGATATCAAAGAAAAGCGAGTTTATTATAGATATATATCGCAATAAGAAGATGATTAGATCTGATTGCTTTCACGATCTAACGACTAACAGTCAATCTTAATTAACTATTTCACTGATTTGTCCATGGAGCAGATTTTAAAATTGTGAGGCACACAGATTATTTTGGGTTATAGATGGTAAATACCCTCAGAATACAGAACAAACCAGAATCCGCGTTCACTCATAATTACATGTCGTCAAATGTGTCCAAAAACAATACGTCAATCCCCCCGTCAGCCGCACTTCCCACCCGCGTAGTGTTGCCGACAGTGGAATAATTCCCTTGGTTTGGGGTAATTTTACAACAAAATAGGTAAACTTACGATAAATGCAACAGACTAGTAGTTTACACATTTAATAGAGGTATCATAAAAGTTGACGATTTCTGGATTTGTTAATTTTAGTTACACCTACTATACACAACAAATAAAATAAAGCTTTAATAAGTACAAAGGTTTTATTGCGTTCCCTTTTGCTGGTTTAGTTTTTTATATTGTATTGTCTTTAGACTCGGAACTAAAGATTAGAAGTCTACTTATTTTACTTAGTTCCTGAGATTAGCGCATTCTAGCAAACAAACAAATAAACTCTTCAGCATTATAAGTAGTATAGATATATCTTAGCTGGATATGCTGTTTTCAAACCACCTTTGTCATAAATATATCTCTTCAAAGTAAATTGAGCAAACTATGCTCTGGCTAGATGGTTTCAAAAATTAATCTAACCGTGCCCTTTGTATGATTTGTATTTATTTTTTTGTCAGGGAAACTAATATGACATAGGCTCCATAATGGACAAAAATATAACCCACAACAAATAAATAAGTGGGTAAAATTTTCACCAAAAATGACAACACTCACAAAATGGCTGCATCATTTTCATAGAAAAATAAATCGATAAAAAAAAATCAATAATTAATTAAATATACTATTGCAGTCGATGCTTGCAGATGAAATGTAATCTTATCCACTTTTTTCGTAATTCCAGTCGCATTTTTACTCATAATAATAACACAAGACGGCATAATGAAATTAAAATTGATACTCGTAAATACGTCACGACATACCACGTGCCAAAATTGACTAATCGTAGAAATTTCATACTATTCTAGTTGAGAATGGTTTTAGTTGCTTTAGTTTGAAGCGCGATGACGCCTTCTGGTTTGTTCTGTATTCTGAGTAAATACCTTATAGTGTTTTGATTACAAGTATCACTTATGGCTTTTACGCAAAAGATCGGATCACTTGTTGATAAGCAATCGACGCAGCCTATGGCCAACCTCAGAGGAATGACGACTCCGATACTGGCCTTTTGGCGGTTAGAGATTGAGGATTGGGGCAATTGGTGGATTTGGGGATGGAAAGTTGGGAATGGAAGGGGGAAGCTGCCTCCGGTAAACACATTCGCACAGCACGGTTTTCTGTTGTGCCGGTCCATTTGTGCCAAGGGTCTCCAAGACTTAAAATACCTTTTATTAATAATCAAAAACAATCACATATAGGTTACCTTCATAGTCATGGTCCTGTGAGGGCTGAGCTTGTAAGGCGCACTCCTGTAGCGTGTTGACAATCTTGTGCCACATAGCGAGGATACTGTTCTCTCGCTCAGCGGCTTGCTTGCTTAGTACCATACCGCCTAGCAGTTTCACTACTCGTGGACCAACCTGTTTAACAATGTATATTTCTTCTTATCTTTGTGTTTGAGTAATGTTTGGATTTTTCTAAAGATCCCTATTTCTAAAGATAAATCAAACCAAAATTAAGATAAGCTTAGTAGGTTATGAAGCATAGCAAAAAATCAATTTGTATTTTTTCAATGGTAATCTTTTACTGCATCCACAGTTGATAGTAAGTGTGTATTATTTTCCAAAAATCAGTTAATATGATCGATTATATTATTACTGACCAACAGACGAGCCTCCCGGTCAAATGCAGTCCTGTAAATATCACACTAACCTGCAATGGAGTCATGTTGGTTCGTTCTGAGCCTGCAGATATGAGTTGCTGATGCAGGGCGGGCTGTAGGGAGGCGAAGGCCGGCGCACCGCTCAGGTTGTGCAGGTAGCGCACTAGGGCCGCACTGAAGCCTCCATATAAGGCTCCCAAGCGGGCCCCGAAGCATGATGAAATTGTACCTGGTATACAAAATACATCACATGACCTTATCAGCATACAATTAAAAAAAAACGTTTTCCCCCCCTAGTATTTTTTTTCTCCTGTATCGTGGGTGCATTTACAAACATACAATTTCATATACAATTCACATCCAAATCCGGAACTAAAAATTGTGGAGCCGAACGGAACATCGAACCCGCGACACGTTGCGTGGCGACCAGTCGCCAACAAGTGCCAAGTAAAATATATAGTCAGTTTTTATATATTATACCCGAATTTCACTTAAACTCATATTTTGTAAATAATACAAAATTCGTAATTCGAAACGAACCAGCAACATGAGAATCGTCCTTTTGAGGTGGTCCTAAATCACTTCTAATTTAGATCAAAATCTTACCAGTGTCAGTACGAGCGGTCTCTCTATCCAAGTCCTTGGCCAAGGCAGCGAGTAGAGCTTGGTGTGCGTCATGGAGCTGCAGAGAGTGCTGGCCCAAGCGGTCTGAACCCTCGCTGATGATCTCCTCTGTCAGCAGTGTGAATACTTCCGTAGCTAGAGTTATGTACTGGAAACAATATGCATATTACACATGTGCCTAGCGGTGCGTCTTAGCTTCACGCAAGTGTCAGTTTACTTCGCTAAAGAAAACTGACACTTCCTATTTCCCTATTACCAATGTACTATTCTAAAAGTCTTTTTCATTAGAAAATTAAAATTGTCCTTCTCCGGAACTCAACAAGAAAACTATTGACCAGATTGGTCCAGTTGTTGGTGATTCATGTGCTTGCTAACAGACTTTGCTATTTAATTATACTTGTATATACAGAATGGTTTTTTGTTTTTTTTTTTTTGTTGTGAAGGGAAAATCATGAAATTAGTTCTCACGCCCAGGGTCGAGCGGTCCCTCCCGCTGTTATTCTGACAGCATTACTGACTAAAAACACCCTGTTCTTTCTCCTGCTTCTTCAGTCCGTGGCCTCATTCCCTTATTGTGCTTGTTTAACTATGGCTATTTAGTTGGCCTAGTGGGTTCGAATCCGAACATTTTTAGAAAATTTCTTTACTATTGTGCTGGGTACAGTCAGTAAAAGGCGTGACGATATAAAATAATGTATGTTTACTTACAGAATAAGGCTCAGCCTTGTCTGGCACGATGGCCTGGTGCGGTCGCTGCGGCGTGTCAGTATTGTCGTTACTGTCAGCGTTACCCGACGCTCGAACTAGACCGCTGTTGTCGGTCGCGTCCGGAGCTACCAGCGTCGACTCGAACCACAAACCGAACAGCGGTTCACTGTCTATTTGTAGAAATAAGAAAATTATTACCATTGATTTTCAACCATATTTGTATGACGATAAGATTGATAGCGTCTCAAGTGAATAAGTCTCATTCTGACTTGAATTTAGTCGACCTTTATTCAGTTAATTCACGTCAGTCTTTATTTTCAAGACATTTAGTATGTCTCACCATGATTTCTATAAAAAAACACACACTTATGGTATCAGCTAAAGTACAGTCTTGAAAACACATTTTGGCATTAGATTTGGTCACTACTAGTATGAACAATTTTTTTACTTTATACTAAAATAATGCTGTAAATTATTAGTAACTGAGTACTAGTACTAGTAAGAGGAACATACCATCATCAGTCTCCGAGTCCTCGGAGCAAAGTATCATGTCTTGGAAGTAAACAGTGGAGTCTGAACGGTCAGGGTCGGCATCCTGGTGCTGTTTCTGTACTACGGCGCGCTTCAAGTTGGTCGCCTTGCGGTAGCATACTACGCCCAACGCCACGAGAAGCTGTAGGAATACATTGAGATATCAGATTTATATACTATACTCTAGCATCTCTCATGTGGTTTCACCCGCTGCTCATAAAGACAAACAAACAAACTCTTCAGCTTCATTTTAGTGTACATAAGGTCTAGTACTTCACAGAATATTTGATCAATCATCTTTAAAAATGTCAGAGGACTACATGCTCCCAATCCGAGACTTACACCCGGTTTCCGAAAGGCCGATCAATGTTAAAATCAATTTAATCCTTGTCAAGTCATCTGATTGGTTGTTGATAATTCAGTCATCAGATGACTTGACAAGAGATTTGACACCTAGTTAGTTGATTTTAACATTGATCGGGCTTTCGGAAACCGGGCATTAGGGAGTTTCAAGCAGATTTATAGAGCACAAGTACTTTATAATATTCTTACGTTTTATCGTGTCAATGACACTTTCGGGGTGTTGCATTTTTCATGGCAACACATTTATAAAAGCATTGGGTTCCCAGGTAACACTTAACACATTTTCACCGTGCTAAAAATGTTTAAAGACAAGTTTCTATAAATTTGGCTACATATAGATGACGCGACACTAGCTTTGATACTGAGAGTAGTACAAAAATTATTATTACCTGATGCAATGGTGCAGCGGATGCAAGCCTAAGTTCCCTTTGATGCGCAGTGTGTTGTGCCAGTATGTGTAATGGCGCGGGCGAGGAAGCCGCCACCGCCTCGCCACAGCTGAGCGCTTCCAGTCGAGCGTCCGACAGTAGAGCGCCTACCCACGCTAGGCAACGACCGCCCAGAGCCACCCATACTACTCCCAAACCTTGTTGCCTAAACAATTAAGCACATTTTAGCTTGTATATAATTATATTGTTACGTGAAGTTATCTCAAAAAGGCGCATTTGAAACAATCTCACGACGAACGTGACACAATGTGCATATCAACGAGATCGGCTCGAGAATTGGAAACATGGTTGCCATTGATACGGTGTTCGCCTTGTTAAGAAAAAAGTTCGTCAGTACTAAACCAGCTTTTAAGGAAAATCAAAATTCTATAATCATAGGGTAAAATACCAATAAACATTTAATAATTTAAAAATTATTTAGAAAAAGACCACTGTGGAAGGAAAACGCATGTTTAAAAATATATTTCACAAAATGCGCAAGTAGCCAACTATCTATTAGCGAAGTAAGGTGAAGAAAAATGTGCATTAATTTGCAGAGATAAGGATCAATTTACTATGCGACATTGATTTATAAATCGATACTCATCGATATTTTTACCAGATCTAGTTTTATGTTGAGATCTGGGATTGTTGTAAGGACGCATAAATAATGTGCACCTGTATCGAGAGTAGTTTTTTAAAAAGACTTACATTTTGGTGAGATTGTAAGGTCTGGACGGAGTCTTGGCAGGGCTCTTGCCAGCAGTAGTAGTAGTAGGGCAAGGCGCGCCCGCCAGCGCGTGGTGCAAACCACACAGTAACACCCAGCTCCCAATCATCAGGTGGTTTTGATATACCTAGAGGAACAATGCCATTCATCATCAATATCAGCAGAAATTCGTTCATTAACACTAGGAGAGAAACCTACAAAAAAGTACCTTGGTAAAGGGGGAATGGATAGTCGCTGATATTTGATATATTCTCACAAATCAAATTTCACATTTATAATGATAGTAGAATTGTCGTTATTGACATTTTGAGTAAAGAATTGAATTTGACTAGAAACTATTTTATTCAAGTAACTTACGTATCCACCGGCACGGGTAGACTGTTTGAAGGTCTCCCCGACTGTGTTGTACAGGCTGAGTGCACTCTCCACCAGTGTTGCCGTCTGCTGTTCATACTCCTCGTCTTTCGGGTGAAGGGACGCCTGATGACAATACATTTACTGATATTTTACGATGAAAATGGGACAATAGATTCCAATGACATAGCAATTTACTTTATATTTAATTATTATCCATTTATTTTAACATGCAGATTGTATTTTATTATTTTTTCCTTTTAAAAATATTTTCCTCCACTTTCCTATTTCAGCAAAAATATAATTCTTAAAATGTCTATTAAAAAAACGAGTAAGAAACTAAATTACTTTGGTTAGAATATACATGGCTGATGGACGTTCTCTACAAACCTGAGCAGTAGCGCAAAGTAAGCCTGCGATGCTGACGTCACTGAGTGTCACGATACGTTCCGGAGTGAATGGTTCCAAGCAAGGCAGGGACAAAGCCAGACGACAGACATGTACTTCGTTCACGAGGAAGTGAAGACTGCAACAAAAATAAAATGTATCTTATTATCATTAACCTAGAGTACACAATGAGTTGACATACTGACTACAAGCAAATAAAAAAACTATATCAATAACACAAATATTTTGTGTTAGAGTAATTATTTGACCAAATCGCGTAAGTCTTTAATAAATGAGTGTGAAGGGTGTGACGAGAGAGAATCAGAGACTTCCTGCCAGTGGCCTCGATGCATTATTGTGTTTGTCCCGGCAACCAAACACAAGACATAACAACAGCAGTAGACAGTTTTTTTGTTATTTAGTAATGGCCACGCCTGGTGGTAAGTGGTGGTGCGACCTACGATGGAGCACGTCAACCCATAAACAACTTACTCGGGCCTTGAAGTCTATACACGGTATACCCATTTACCCTACCCATCAATGATTATACTCGTTTAAATAACACTCCTTTTTTGAGACACTCGTGTAAACAATTGTAATGTGTTACAAGTACACAATTAGATAGATTAGATAGAGACACCATTGTGTATAGGAGCCATTGCTCCTATACCACATAGATAGAATAAACAACAAATGAATACATACAGTGAGGCATCAGAGTTGAATTGAGGCGCGATGGCAGATTCCTTAGCTGCCTGCCAGCGGTTTAGGTAGCGCTGCAGGCACGGCAGGGAGGCGCACACCTTCAGCACCACAGAGCCAGCTCTTAGCTCCATCAGCAACGACGAGCATGTTGATGCCACCCACTTCTGTAGAGACAAGAGAATTTATGTCAGGTTTTGCTTACACACAATTGGAGAGTCAGCGCGCGTCATGCGAACGTCGTCGAGACTTGAGTGTTTTGTTTTAATGATAATCAGGCTGACAGTCCTCGGTCCAGTGAAAACCCTTATAACAGGCAAACTCTAATCTTAGCCTTTCAGTGGTGGTTATTCGAGACATAATTAGTAGACCAAGTTAGAAGTTGTAAGTTTATTGCTGGCCTATTGTGCGTTATTAGGGATTGGAGGATTTTGATATTGAGGATGGTTGGGAAGATCACGCATCCAGTAAATTCACTCACAAGGCGAACCACAATTAGCGAGCTATTTCACACCAGTTTTCGAAGGCCGTGGTATCGACTCGAGTCGACCCATTTGTACGTTGCCTGGCTTTCCCATTTTTAACTAATACTTAACATTTAAACCAACCTTCATATCAATAGATGACTGTTGTGCAGCATTTCCATCTTTTGCACTCTCCAAGCTGTCCTTGCTCCCGGGCGACTGAACAGCTGTGGCGGGCGCCACCTGAGATGACGTCATCGACGTCACGGGGTTCCGCAGTGGTGCAGTCAATTGTTCCAACAAAGCATCAGAACGTCTTTGGGCGTTCGACGGGGGTTGCTTCTCAGCAGGAGTTGTTTGAGAGGCCAGTGACGTAATCGAGCTTGGTATAACAGACGACTTTGTTGTTTGAGAGTCTGGGAGATTACATAAAACAGTTATCACTGAGTACAAACAATAACATTACGTTTTCAAATGTATTTTGTACAAGGGAGTTCATTGATTATAACTTATTAAGGCTATTATTCAGTTTACACATTTAGGCTGTGTTGTATTGACATAACAAAAGAACGATTATTTTAGTTTTCTCATGTCATTCATTCATTAGCAATTTTCGCAAAAAACACTTAAATAAGAAATAATACATACCAGGCACAGATACATGTGCAGGTAGTTTGGCATTTTTCAGCAGTGAAGTCAAGATCACTAAGTCAGATTGGGGGTAACCCCCTCCGTCGATGCCGCATAGCCCCACAATGGGCAGCAGAAGCTAGGGGAAAAACCGTAAAAAAATGAGATATCAATACAAATGTATAAGCTTGTCTTAGTAAGCCGTCGTGAGGTGCGAAACAAGAAGGAACGAGAATGAGTGTGTAATAAGGTTGATATTCGGATGGCATCGGCTGGCGCTTGCATGCACCTACAGTTTGGTACAATGGAATCGATCAAAATACATCAGTACTATCTTGTTGAAATGTAAGCAAAATGGAGAGTGTGGTATATGTACAATAACATGCCAATAGTAGGCACTTAAAAGGCATGAGTGTGGTGCCACATTGCCACATCTAGACAATATGTAAATCAGTAGTTTGTGAATCAATAATTATATAATTAATCAAATAATTAAACAAATTATTAATCATTAGCAGCTGTGTTGCCTATTTATGCCAGGTGGTAGATAATAATTATTTTATAATACTAACCTGCTTGACAGAAACATTGGGTGCGGCCGTCGTGTTAGTATCATCATAGCTCAATCCAGCTTCAGAGAGCTTCTTCAATATTTGTCGGAGTATCACTCTGAATGCATCTCTTGCAGTAGTCAGTTGGTCATTTGGTACTAAAACATTTTAATTTATTTAGTTTCGAATTGATAAAATAGACAGACTATTATATAAAATAACAGTTCAGACAAGTTTTTTTTCTATCATCATCTTCCTGCCCTTGTCCCGTTTTATTTGGGGTCGGCGCAATATGTTTTTTTCTTCCATTCTGTCCTGTCACCCGGCACACTATCACTAACTCCTCTGTCTTCCATATCATTTCTAACACAATCCATCCATATTTTCTTTGTTCTCCCTCTCCCTCTCCATCCATCCACATTTATAAACAAATATTCAAGTTTTTTTTTCTATATGCCTGGATATATATACTCTGCAAGATACTCTTCTTTATACAAGTGTTTGGATACATTTTTGGGTAAAGTCCACCTGCTATACTCACACAGTTTTAAGTACAGTAACATTCTTAGGCAAAAGAAATGTGTGCAGGACAATAAATTTGTTATGTTAACACATATGCAGAGATCCCTTGTTTCTCATAATCCAATAAGATGCTAGTAGACCACTATTATAATTAACAATTGGAACAAAGGAGAGATAAAGACATTTCCAGACTTCTGCCAGATAATTTAAAAAAGAACTATTAGAACTACTAAGAAATAGGATCCTTAATACACAGGTGCTAGACATATTGTCATATACACATTAGCTAATATAACTTGAACAGATTGACTTATGAACAAAAATAATTTGTATATGATATAGGTTACAGATTCAATAGATGCAATTATCAATGTAAGAAATATACATACTAACTCTTATATTAATATAACAGGCCTGTGTTGTAGTAAGCATACACAACTAAATGATCAGTAATGTATTGAGAGAACCTTCGTTGTTGCACAATATTGTGAAATTCTTTTGTTAGCAAAATTATATTATTCTGGATAACCTATGCATGTAGACCCATAGGTAGTAAATATTTGATGTAAGAACAACAATTAGTATGTGGTTACCTACTATGTAAAAGTTAAATTTAAATGAATGTGTTTGACTAATCTGCCTTATAAGTTTTTCAAAGTGGTGCAGCAGCTAAAACACAACTTGTCAAGCATTGGAAATAATACTATTTACAGTGCGGCTGACATATCTTGGCGAGTCTGAAGTTAGCCAATTAGCTGCGCAGTACACAATTTTGTTCCTAAAAGATCCATTGCGCAGACAAACGGCTAACTTCAGACTCGCCAAGATATGTCGGCCGCATTGTACTAAATGAATTAGTAATACTCATAGAATGACTGCTGGTTTATGGTTATTATTGTAAAAAATGACTGTGACAAAGGGTCACAAAACTAGGCTGCATGTTGGACAATTTGTTGTCACATATACTTATATGTGTATGTTTAGATATAATAATAGAGTTCATAATTCCAAAGTTCATAAGACACCACTTCAGAAGACTAATTATTTAAACCTAGCCCTTGGATAAGTAATTGTCATAATAATCCAACAAGAATGCATTATATACTTACAATTATTAGCATTAATGCTAATAAAATGTGCAGAGAGGCATGCAAAGCATGTGTAGAACAAGTCATAAATGTCTTCATGGTTCTGGAATTCACTTTCACTGTGGACAATGATACAAATATAATCAGTAAAATATAAAAAAGGATTTACGTTATTTATTCTTTATTTATGCTTTCTACAGAACAAGTTATGGCGCAAAAATGGCAAAAGTCAAAATAAATTGGTATAGTCGGTGTTTATAAAAAAATAACAAACAAATCGCGAAGGTATTCTACAATTACTTATTAGATGCCCTACTAAACGAAGTGCAAAGGAAATGTGTTAATTATACTCTAAATACACCAAACCAACTAATACCTTCAAAAAATATTGGTAGTATGACCTAATTTAAATACAAAATTGTGATTTTAGTTTATAAATAAATAGGTAACAAATCGATGATTAATCAGGTGAGCTATCAAAATAACTTTGTTAGAACAGTTACAATGCAAATTTGAAACAAACCTTTTGATGATGGCTTGGATGATTTCGACGGCATCATTTTTATCGAAAAAAGGGCCGTAAAGTGCTGTTAATATTGGTTTAACAGTTGTAGACCATTCAATATTTCCTCCTGATGCGGCCATTTTCGGGAAGAAAATGACGATTGAGGATTCGATTTTCAGGATGACAAGTTGACAACTAAATAGTTTTTGTCAATGTCACTCGCTTGTCAGGTAACTTTGGACAACTCTATAGTCTATGGTTATCGGCAAACTATAGAAACATTATTTTTTTATGTTATCTGATTACTCCGGCATGCTTTTCCATTTTCCATATATCTGTCATGGTTTTACTAAATATTAGTATGTAAAAGTACCATACAAACTTAGGTCAAGTGAAAGGATTTATTCAAGTTTTAATTTTATTATCATGTGCAAGTTCGGTAATACAGGCGTACAATAAAAGTCAACTTCTTTATATCATAATATATTCTGTATATTATTAGATTTGAGTAGTATTTTTCTATACTTCTATACTAATACTATAAAGAGGTATTTGTAAGTTTGTATGTAGGGGGTAATCTTTGGAACCACTGATTGGATTCCCAAAATTCTTTGAATTATTGATAGATACTATGTTTTCGATTGCGATAGGCTATAAAACATCACGCTACAATCTAATAGAGCCGAGCAGCGAGTGAAACCGAGCGGGAATATATAGTATTAATAATGATTGTCGGTTACTTAGTTGTCAATGCCAACTTGACATTTTATAGTCTTCGCCGCCGTCATTTTTGACTTCTCGCGTTGATCAAGATTTGCTTTTGCGTTTGCGTTTACATTTTGTCAAGCTAAACTTAGTAAACTTATAATCAAATATTCAACGAATTGGAAACTTTTCTTGTTTTAAATAGTATAATTTTGAAACAGTCATGTCTGAAGAAACTAATAGTAAAAAACGAAAGATATCTGAAGATAATGGCACTGAATTACACGGTAAGCATCATAACCTTATATCAAATAACTTTCAATTATATGGGAATTTTGTGTTAATGGCAGATTCTGTGACACGTATTTCATGTCTGATGTATGCCGCTTTTGCTTGCAGAACCCGCTTCGAAAACTATGCACATTCAGTGTCCTTACTTAGATACCATCAATAGACATGTCCTGGATTTTGATTTTGAGAAGCTCTGTTCAGTTTCGTTGACAAGGATCAATGTTTATGCTTGTCTTGTATGTGGCAAGTACTTCCAGGTAATCATTTTTGTAAAATTATTTTAGTTTATGCATATGAACATGGAAAATTTCTTATTCATTTTTGTTATTTGAAGTAATCCCTTACTTATTAGGGCTAAGGTTATAAGATTTAAATATATATTAATTAAAATATAAAATTAATTTGTTACCTGTGTTCTGTTTGGCAGGGAAGAGGTACAAATACCCATGCTTATACCCATTCAGTAGCAGATGGCCATCATGTATTCCTCAATCTTCATACACTGAAATTCTACTGTCTCCCTGATAATTATGAAGTTATTGGTAAGATTTTATTAATGATATTCCAACACTCATAGTGTCTTTGAAATGCTTCTGATAAGAACTCATTAGAATTTGATACTTATTGAATTAATAATTTAAATTGAAAGAATTCTTAATTTTTTTACAAATACTTAAACAAATATTTATGATATGTTAAACATAAGAATCTTAATTCTTGTGTGCAAAATTTTAGTAATACTTTAATAAATAAATAATAATTAACATATAGCAGCTTGTTGTATCTGCCATGACCTAGCTCTGTACCAGTTGACTAGTGGACAATGTCTAAGGCTGAATCGTTGTGTGCATGAAGTATTTCATAAATAAATAAATATTCTTTCAGATTCATCTCTTAATGACATCAAGTATGTTTTGAACCCAATCTTCACACCAGACCAGATAAAGCAACTGGATTACAACACCAAGATGTCCAGAGCTATTGACAGTACAATGTATATGCCAGGAATAGTTGGACTTAATAATATAAAGGCCAATGATTACTGCAATGTTATTCTGCAGGTGAGAGCATTCATCATATTATGGTGACAATATTCATTATTTTACTAAGACCCTTCAAGTTTTCAAACAATTCCAATTTGAAATGATTTATCCTATTTACTGTATGTGTGATTCGCATAAATAATAAATACATAAATAGATTTGACCAATTAATAAGATTCAATACTTTTTCTAGGCCCTTTTTCTTACAGTTCCTAAGTTTAATATTTATTTAGAAATTGTATGTCAAAAAGTCAAAAGTCAAAAATCATTTATTTCAATTAGACCACAGTAGGCACTTTTGAACGTCAAGCAAGCAAAAAAGGAAAAAAGTATATAACAAGAGCTTTAAAATTAAGCGTGTCAGTCTGTCCGTCTGTCCTCTAGTGAAGCTATTTGCTCGTTCCAAAGTGTAGATTCCTATGGAGAAGAACGAGCAAGAAACTCCATGGTTACTCTTTTTCAATCAGTTTTACAATACATTTCTTTGTTACATCATTTAGTCGGTTCTGATATGTGAGAACAATGTAACACTAATGTTCAGGCAAAAAGTACGAAAAAGAAGTGAACCTCAAGGACAACATATTTAGACAGCCTGGAGATGACCAGTCCCAATAGGCGGCGCCCGTTCATGAACATGACACGTACACCAGCACCGCCCAACTCAACCATATTATAGGGGATTGGACGATCCAGTGCCCGTGCCACCGCCAATGAAACCTCTGAGTGAGCATGACAGCTCCCAGCCGACACAAGTACCTATATTCTACAAGTCTTACTTAATTATAATAGGTTACAGGGCACTCACATTTACAAAATCTTAGAAGTTCATCAACAATTAACAACATAGTGTACAATTTAATAATTAAAATAAAAAAAATACTCTAAACATCCTGTGGAGTAGGACCAGCTAGCCTCCAAGCATTTTTATCTTGTATATAATCATTTAGTTTGTAGTATGCTAGTTTACATAAATGTTTCTTTATACATAATTTAAATTGGCTTTCATTTAAATTTTGAATTTCAACTGGGATTTTATTATAACATTTAACACAGAAACCCAGGAATGACTTATGCACTTTTGCCAATCTAAATAAAGGCTGACTCAATCTATTCCTATGTCTAGTATGATAATCATGTTTGTCAGATACCTTTACAAATAAGTGTAGGTTTTTCCTAACATACATAATGTTTTCATAAATAAATTGACTCAGTACGGTCAGAATGTTGATCTCTTTAAACTTTTCTCTGAGAGATTCGCGACGACCTAAGTTATATATAGCTCTGACGGCACGCTTTTGCAAGATAAAGATAGACTCAACGTCAGATGCCTGTCCCCACAACAGAATTCCATACGACATGATGCTGTGAAAGTAGCTAAAGTACACTAGTCTTGCCGTGCCTACATCGGTTAGCTGACGGATCTTCCAGACAGCATAAGCTGCAGAGCTCAATCGTCCTGCTAGAGACCTGATGTGGGGCCCCCATTGCAACTTCTCATCTACAGTGATCCCCAGGAAAGTAGTCTCTTTTACAAATTCTAGTTTCTGATCATTTAATAATATATCATCACATACGTTACTTTTAACATTTGGTAAAATAAATCTAATGCATTTAGTCTTTTTATCATTTAGTAATAAGTTGTTTATTGTAAACCAATTTTGAACCTTCATTAAGGCATTATTAACTTCGTCATATTTGTTTGTTCGTCTATTTATTTTAAAAATCAATGAAGTGTCATCAGCGAATAATACCATATGCGGTTCATTTTGGAACATATGTGGCAGTTCATTTACATAAACTAAAAATAGAAAAGGACCTAATATTGAGCCCTGCGGTACGCCCATAGATACGCTAGCACCCAGTGAGTTAACTTTGTTGACTTGTACTTTAATTTTTCTTTCTTGAAGGTATGATTTCAATAAATCTAGGGATACCCCCCGAATGCCGTAGTGCTCTAGCTTCAGTAACAACGTCTCGTGCTCAACACAGTCGAATGCCTTTGAAAGGTCGCTAAATATTCCGATGGCATCCTGTGCTTTTTCCCACGAGTTGAAAACTTGTTTTATAAGTGATACTCCTGCGTCCGTAGTGCAACGTCCTTTGGTGAACCCGTATTGATGGTCATGGAAAATACAATTCGTGTTGAAGTGACGCAGCATTTGAGTAAGCATCAACCTTTCGAACACTTTACTGAGCACTGGCAAAATAGAGACCGGCCTATAGTTATTAGGTTCTGTACTGTCACCTGATTTAAATAATGGAACTACTTTACTATGTTTCATTAAATCCGGGAAAACTCCTTGATCTACACTTTTATTAAAAATGAAAGTTAAGTGCGGCGCAATTGTCTCTATAAACGACCTGCACACTCGAACAGACATTCCCCAAAGATCTTCAGTTGACTTTACTTTGATCTCATTGAACGCCTTTATTACTGCCTGGGGGGTTGTATATTGAAAGCTAAAGTCAGAAGGACATTCTTTGACGTTACCCCTGAGAAGCTCGACAGAAAGGGCTGGAGATGATTTTAACGTTTCCGTAGTTTTAAGAGGAATATTTTTAAAGAATTTTTCGAATTCCTGGGCAACTGACGAATTTGAACTAGTATATCCCTTTTCGGATTTTAAATTAAATTCAGTGTTTTGTGATTTATTTCTACCTGTTTCTTTATTAATTATATTCCAGGTAGCTTTTATTTTGTTTTCCGCGGTCCTGATTTTATTACTAATGTGGAGCGACTTAGCATGCTTACATACTATTTTAAATATTTTTGAATATTTGGAAACATGTCTGCGAAAAGCCTCGCTACTATTAAATGGTTTCAGGCCGTATAGCTCAAATAACCTGTCTCTACTTATACGAATACCTGGTGTAGCCCAGTCACAGAATACAAATTTACACTGAATATTTTTACGTTTTAAAGGAAATAGTTTATCGAATTGTATTTTTATAAGGGATAATAAATTAGCATATATCTCACTCGGGCAATTATTGTCTTGTACTTGGCTGCATAATTCATGTTTTAGCTTATTATTTAATGAATCAATTTTTTTGTATGTGATTTGTCTAAACAATATTTCCTTTTTTGGCACAGTTGTTATAGTATTAAAGTTAACTGTGAGCCCACTGTGATCAGATGGTAATCTATTTACAATTTCACTTTGTAAATAATCACAGTTACAGAAAATATTATCTATACAAGTTGCCGAGGTGGATGTTACTCGGGTGGGCTCAAGGAAAACATTAGACAAATTAAATGATTGAAATAGACTTAACAAGTTTGTACAATGAGAATTGTTTTCTAAGAGATCAACATTAAAATCGCCACATACTATTGTACATTTACTACTAGTACATGTTTTCCGCAGTACATCTTCCATTACAGAGCAAAAAATATTTAGATTCTGTATGTTAGGAGGCCTATAAACACATACTACAATATGCCTATCCAGCTCAACACAGGACAACTCTATTGTGTGTTCAATTGACAGCAGAGCAATGTCTTGTCTTTCTTTATATTTTATTGAGTTCTTTACTAAAATCAGGCTACCACCATGTATCATTGCTTGGCGGCTATAATTGCTGCCAACACAATAGTTATTGAAGTTAATTGTTTCTACTTGATAACCTTTTAACCAATGTTCAGTTAAACAAATAATATCATATTGGAATTTCTCTAAAAACAATTCAATGTCTAGGAATTTTGATGATAAGCCCTGAATATTTTGACTGTATAATGACAACAAGTTATCTAATTTAGTTTTATGTTTTAATTTAAATTGATGCTTAATAATATTGCCAGAAGAAACCTTTTCAATGAATGTGGTTTTTGAGTAATTTAATTGGTTATCTTCTGTTGTCGTGGAAGTCAGTTTAAAAGAATACTATCCGGAGTACTATCCACATTTGTCAATAAATCTGGAGCCTCCTTCGTACTATTGTATGTACAATTAATCTCTATATTGTTAGATTGTCTAAGCAATATAGTTTTGTCACTAAAACTACTTATTAATAAATTAATACTATTTGCTAGCAAACTAGCAATTAATAATTTACATTTCCTGGGAATATACATATAATCCCGGGTCAACTTAAAACCACTAACAAATTTGTTAGTGTCAAAAAATGATAATTTGTCACTATGACAAGAAGTCAAAAAAAATATTATAATTCTACTATTTTCACTTTCTGACAAAGTGTCAGCATATGGGAATGCACATAACATTATATTCCCTGTGTTTAGTCTTAATAAGGTGTTGATACCATCAGTTATATCCCGCTTGTTTACTCCTGTACTATCACCCATCAAAATCACTATTGGTTGATTTTGTGTGATCTGTTTCTGTGAAATTATTTTAATAATCTGGCCAAATTTTATATTATGATAACAGTAATTAGTTATCCTATAGTTAAGGCAATTGGCAATAAGTGACCCAATACCTGCACCCACTGAGTCCGTAAACACACCAGCGCTGTATGTAACAGCTGGTTGACTCATTGGTTGTTGTACAACTTCTGGCTCAGAAGGTGGAGTGAGGGCACAGCTACAAGAAAGATTATTTGCAAGAGACTCATACCTCTCAGCACTATAAGTTACTAGATCCACAAGTTTACCTGCCTCAATCATATGTTTGTTTATTTCCAATTGGGCAGATTCATATTTTTGGAACATATCATTTAAGAACATTTCTCTTTGTAAAAGTTCTTGTTTAAGCGATTGAACATCTATGTCATATACTGCCCGATGTTGTTTGAAATCACTTTTGCATAATTCAAGTTCTTGCAATAATTTAATTTTTTGTTTTCTTAGGTAACTATTTGTTTTACACAGATTTTGCTTCTTTTTCAGTTTTTTAATGATTTTACTTAGTTTTATATATTTTTTTAATTTATTGTGACTATTGAATACAGGGCAAGCACTGATAGTATCATCACCGGTTAAATCAATTGTAATGGCTGGTTCACAAATGTCACCGGATCCACTACCAACCAATTCCTCATATAAACTCTGAGTGTTGACCGACAGCACAGAGTTTTTGGTAGCCTCTAACTTATGGATTACATTTTGTGCTATTCGGAGGTCATGCTCCAGATGAGTTATGCGTTTAAGAGCATGTTCGTGTGTGTCGGTACACTGCTTAAAAGTATCAACATTCTTTAATAATTCATTGTGTTGCTCTAGCAGGTCCGTGTGACATGAGTGTAATTCAGCCAATTCGTTTTTAAGTTGAGTGTTTTTGTCAATTATGTTTTTCACTTCAACTTCACTGTCATCCCGCTCCTGCAGCAGTTGGTCGCACAGGTGCTTAGAAGATTCTAGCTCCTTGAGGGCTGCCCTCAGTTTGCTCTCCATATCCTTTGACCGAGTCATCATACTGAAATGAAGGGATGGTATTCTGAAATGAAAGAGAAAAAAAAAGGGCAGAAAAAAAAAATAACAGGGAAAATTACTTTAAGCTAGGTTTGAATGAAATGTATAAGGTATTAGAAAAATAAGAAAATAAAGGAGTGAATAATAAAGCTGTAAATTATTGAGTATGATGAAAAAAATGAACTGTTACTACCTATAATGATGAATTTAATTTATTGTATGCATGTAGTTGGAAAACAAAGGAATTGGATTAATACTTTAAGTTTTCTTAAGATTTGTAATTTGTGATTAATTTAAAGTACAAATAGACTTAATCACACTTATTACACTACTTATTGGACTAATTTAAATATGTATATTAAAGTATCAAACTTTTTTTCTTTTATAATGTATCTGCAAAAGTATTATTGTCGTGTTTAACAATTTGCCAAGCAAACTGAGACCATCTATATGTTCCTTAGGGCACAATAAGGCCGTCTATTAATTTATATCGATATAAATAATAGTTATCACTTATACTCCCCTGGTTTAAAGTTTTATTTATATTAAACTTTTGCTCCGTCCGTTGACCACTGACATTTCACAGCAACTTTTCAACTTAACAAATTACTTCTTAACCAAATCACAACGCATACAATGCCTCTGGTATTTTTGCAATTAGTTCAACGTAGTAGTATATAATTTACACAATAAAATCACTTAAAACTAATTTTTAAAAATAAATTTTAAAATTATATTTTATGAAAATGAAGACTATGTGTTGATTATAAATTTATAGTTTATTGCCACTTTTTATGGATGTATCACACATTGCTATCAGCCTTTAAGTATCCCTCTGCTGAAAAAACGGCTTCTTCTCTCGCAATGAAGGAATAAAGTGGAAAATTTCACATTGGTACATTGGTACACACTCTCATGCTTAAAACGCGGGTACCTCAATCTGATTTACAAAACAGTTTGTGTTCTAATTGGTTTCAGTGTCTTTCGCAAGTACGACCTCTACGTAACTACTTCTTACGTGAAGAAAATTATGCTAATGTAAAACGACCTCCAGGCGACTCCTCATTCCTGCTTGTGCAAAGGTTCGGCGAGCTTCTTCGAAAGTTATGGAACCCGCGAGCCTTCAAAGCCCATGTTTCACCTCACGAAATGTTGCAAGCAGTTGTCTTGTGGTCAAAAAAGAGATTCCAGTTTATCAAACAGAGTGAGCATCTGAGTAATTCAAAATTAGTTTTAATTGTTGTCAATATAAGGGCTATTTTCATATAATAATTGGTTAATTTTCATTTATAGGTGATCCAATCGACTTTTTGTCATGGTTCCTAAATTCGTTGCACATGGCTCTAAATGGAACAAAGAAACCAAACAGTTCTATTATATACAAATCCTTCCTGGGTCACATGAGGATATACACCAGGTAAATATATATACCTACAGCATTACTTTCTTGTTTCCTACATTTCATGTATTCTCTAACAAATTTTGTATTGAATTTTAATTACTATTGTTATTTCTTCAGAAAGCTACCACCAACGGATGCAGATGACGCTGCAAAAGTGGACTTGAACAGCGAGGAGTACAGTGAAATGATTACAGAGTCTCCTTTCCTATATCTGACATGTGACCTGCCCCCGACACCACTCTTTACTGATGAATTTAGAGAAAATATAATCCCACAGGTATGTTATCCCAATCCGATTAGGGCTGATTTTTCAATAGTTAGTTTAGTAATTTTATTCCTCAGTTAACACACATTTATCATGCGTGTTATCTGAGGAATAAAATTATTGCTGTCTTATACAAATATTCTGACGCGACACCATCGTAATTATTCTCCAGGTAACTTTTATCTAACTTTTAGCACCTACACTCGGATCTGTTTCTAGTCAGGCGGCAAGTTTCAGAGTTTGCAGACCTGCGCCCGCGCCTGATTTTCAGTAGTAGGGTATAGGGGGAGGCTAATGTTCAGTGTGTAATGATATAGTATGATAAATCAACCCCTACGAACAAATGAGTACATGCCCACTAGTCGACCATTTTTTATTTGTGTGTTGTGACGTCGTGTTTTTTGTGTTGTATAGCATACCTTATAGAACCAAATAAATATGAAAATAAGTTTAAAATCAATCTATGTGTAGTGTGATAATGTTTTAAAATTTTATTGAAAATTAGCAATAATTTATTTCGCTATTTATTATAGTTTTTTTTAAGTTATTTTTTTATTTTGCAGGTGAACCTTTACCAACTACTTTCTAAGTTCAATGGGCAGACATCAAAAGAGTACAAAACTTATAAAGAGAATTTCCTAAAAAGGTTTGAGATCACACAGTTGCCACCTTATTTGATTTTATACATCAAGAGGTTTACGAAAAATACCTTCTTTGTAGAGAAGAATCCAACTGTTGTAAACTTCCCTGTTAAGTAAGTATTGCATTTTTTTTCAGTTAAAATGTATAGGCCATTATGTTTGCTATTACAGTCAGTCAATTTTTTTCATTGAATTTACGACTTTACCATTTAATCCTTAGAACAATAATGAATAAATAAAATATTTTTTCAGAAATGTTGACTTTGGTGACATATTAACACCAGAAATAAAGGCGAAACACAATGGAAAGACCATCTATGAATTAGTTGGCAACATTGTACATGATGGCACACCAGAGAAGGGAACCTACAGAGCACATGTTCTTCATAAACCTACACAGCAGTGGTAATGATATCCTACTTCCTACTAATATTATAAATGTGAAAGTGTGTGGGAATGTATGGATGTATGTTTTGTTATTCTTTTATGCAAAAACGGCTGGACTGACATGGTTGAAATTTGGTATGTAAATAGGCGATTCCCTGGTGCAGCTACGGACGCAAGCTAGTTTTACACCTTCTATTCCTAGATGTATACGAAGTTACCACTTGTGACTGGTTACCATGCTCCATAATTACAAATCAAATTTCATTTTTATTACAGGTATGAAATGCAAGACCTTCATGTGACCAGTATACTACCTCAAATGATTACCCTCACAGAGGCATACATTCAGATTTATGAACTAAAGCAGGACTGAGTTTAATATTTTAGGCAATAAATTAAACTAAACATATTCATGTATATTTATTTATTGCATATACAAATTCCTGATAATTCGGAATCCCCATTTAACAAACTGTGGCCTGGAATGACCTTTACACTTAAAAACAATGATATTAATTATGAATGTAAAGGCGTCGTTTACGCACATGCGTGGCGTCGCGCTGCATGTCGTGCAGTGCGCCTCTCAACTCTTCGCGTGTTCGTAAAAGAGACCTTACTGTTACACCATATTTCATAAATACATTGCGAAATATTATGATAATACAATAATATTATATATTAGAAAATTCAAATCTACTATTTGACACAGTTTGAGAAATGAATCCATTTGATTTCATAGAAAATAGTTCAGATTTTGTGCACATTGATAGTGATAATGATGAATGAAATGTCACCTACTTTTATACTTAAAATTACCCAATTTTATAGGGTATAAAGATGCCTGCACCATATCAGTTAGAATTTAGTGAACACAACAAGACTGAACTATCTTCTATAGAATTAAATTATGCTAGTGGCTTTCTCCCTTTTTACCTGCTACCCGTTTGAACTCTCCCATGTTGGTGGTGGAGATAGGGGATCCATAGAAAGCCAGGTGGTCAATTTGTGTAACATCTCCACCAGACTGGTTGTCCTTTATGAACAGCTGAATATTTTGAACACTTTGGAACTTCACAAACTTCAAAGGCACAGGGTTGCCTTCTAGATCGCTTGGTGAAAACCTGGCATCAGAAAATAAAACATTAACCATAAGAATCCGTAGGTGAGTTTGCTATCCCACTAGGCATCATCACAGCTCGTTAAAACAATCTATACTAATACTAGCGGTCGCCTGTGGCTCCACATGCGTGGATGTCGATTTTACACATTTTCCAGTTCCCGCTTTTCTGTTACAATTTTTCTTGACTTTGCTATAAACTTGATATGAGCCTGAGACCTTTCCATCTAATGCAAAACCGTGGAAATCGGTTCGAGCATTCTGCAGTTATAGCATTGGGAAGGAAACCCCAACCTATTTTTATATAGTAGATTTATAGATTACAAAGCTGACGATTTTGTGTATCTGTTGTAATAAAAAAAAAAAAAACTGTTAGAATATTGGTAATCTCTGGAACTACTGATTCAAATTGAAATTTGGTTTTGTTACATAGTCTGTTTATTGAGGAAGGCTTTAGGGTATACAATATAACCTAGGTGACTTGCAGGTAGCACAAAATTTGCCATGGCAATACTTACTCAAGATCCTGCACTGACATGTTTCCTGAGGCTTGATCAAAATCAAGTGTTCGTGGCTGATTGATGAAGATCTTAACATTCTTAGGTCCCTTGTCACTGGGACCTTTAATTTTTAAGGAATGTAGCTTTACAAGCTGAAACAATAAATTGTTATTAAACAAATGTAAACTCAAACATTTACTCCATTTGTCTATCTAAACAAATAAAAACAATGAGAATTCCTTGTATTTGATTAACTACAAACTTAAGAACATATTAAATTTAGCCAGGGTTGCGGGGTAAGCGCAATGAGGTACTGCGACCTCGGCAAAGAGCAGGAGAAAGAACAGGGGGGTTTTTAGTCAGTAGGAGTCTGATACTCCCTCCTGCCCGGCCCTGGGCGGGAGAAGTCATTTGATGGTTTTCCCCTCACAAAAAAAAATATTAAATTTGTCTAAACCTTGCTGAGATACTTGGTATAAGTAACTAGTCTAGTCTTCTCATGAAAAAATGTGTTGCTAACAAATTAGATAGCAAAATATATAGATTCACACACACACACACATGTTCATTTACCTGATTGAAGCTGATATTGATGATCAGTTGCTCATCACAATCACTGGCAAGGTACCCTCCTGCACTAGTCAGACAGTGGGCCATTGGATGGTTATCAGCCTCATTCAGGCACTCGCACTCACTCTTAGTGATAAATGTTGCCAGATCCATCTGAAATGGAAAAGTTAAAAGTGTATTTGACTGCATGAAACAGTATGAAGATTACCTATGTAATTATATAAATTAATATTTTTATTAATTTAATATTGATTTAATATGATTAATATTATCGCAATTTTGATACTTTATAACAATTTCTTTCTATTTGAAGCTGAAAGAGCTCTGCTGCTGCTTTTTTGCCTGTGAGTATCTAAAGTAACAACTTATTAGTTTTTAATGCCTTTATATGATTTAGTTACGTGTTTTCGAGTGTAAATTGGAAGGCATGTTAAAATTTGAAAGATGGTTTGTTTAGTTTTAGGTGATAATCATGTTTCTTTATTGCATTTCATTTTTAAGGAATTGTGTATGGTACTATATAAATGTGGTTTTTCTTTCTTCTACGCTCTTTTGTGTTTACTTTTTTACTTACATGTCCAGCAACAGTGTTGTCATCATCACCAGCTTCATCAGTACCATAGTACTGTCTAACTTTATTTTCTAGGCTGGTGGGGTCAGCTCCCTGTAGCTGGTCAATCTTTGTCTGTAAACAAGATTAGTAAATATGACGATAAAATGATGTTTTGCGCGTTTCGATACTGAAAAAATACTGAGTCATTTAAGTAATTTCTGTAATTTTTTGAAGAAGGAAAATAAAATGATGAAGTTTTTATAGTTTCTTAGTAATAAGGACACGTACTCGGTTTCTGTAGAAAATAAAAGTTGGCATCGCGCTTATGCCCTGAGCGGTAGCAGTGTCGGCGCATCTGCTGACGTCCACCTTCAGGAACACAGCCCTAGGAAACTTTGCCGGCAACTGCTCGAAGAACGGTGCAATCCGTTGGCAAGGTGGACACCTACACACAACATAATCAATTATTTACTACGGCGATGACTTGAATATTTGAACAGAATCAGGTTATGCTTACCAAGTCGCTGTGAAGTCGACTACAACCAGTTTAGTGCCTGCATTAGCCATTTCCGTTTGGAAATGAGCTTCATTCTCGATAACAGTGGCTAAACCCATAGTTTCTTTAAATTATTTTAATTTAAAACAAAAGTACACAATGACAACAGTCGGAAATGATACCTTTGAATGATACTTCAAAATGGTTGTTTGACAGTTTCGGTGTTGCCATATGAACAAAATGAATTATTAGGTCGCGTTCAAATTACTACATTCAGAAAACCAATAAAATTCATATCTAAAAGTCAGGCAATTTTGCAACATTAATCCTGTATTTTTTCTAAACGTCCTTTCCTTTTTTTGTAAAGTCTGTTAACTCTAAACTAGAAAAATAAAAATGGTTTCCTGGAAAATGAAGCGCAACCCTTTAGTGAAACTGAAATGAATGGGTAAGTGCAATGGAAGGGGGTTTAGTCAGTAAGAGTCTTACACTCCCACACTCTCCTCGCTTCAGCCTGGGCGGGAGAAGTCATTTGATGATTTTTTATTGACAAAGGAAAAGCTTCAAGATTTGACTGAATATAATATAGATCTAACTAAATTACATGCGTGTTGATGGAATCTACATTTGGTCATTTTTAACCTGGAAATCGAACGAGAGACAGAGACTTGCTTTGTAATAGCTTATTACAATCACTCAACTCATTATCTTAACTTTTAAAGTTTATTTAACTTTTTCCTGACAGATATTTCCATTTTGTCGTCATGCAAGTAGCGGTAACTTTTTTGAGGTTTCAAGTGACATAAGTTTCTCCATACTTATTATATTTCTTTGGACATTGGTCTCAAAATGCTACAATGGATACAAGCCTAACAACGGAGTCTATTGCGTTTATAACAGAGTTTATAGCTTTTTCCAACCAAACACACATTTACACATAGGTGTACACCTACTCTAAAGATTGTTATTACGGATGTGAACTTTAGGGAAAGGCTAAGTAGCTAGTCGTATTAAATTACTTATCTTGGCCAAGTTAGTGATACATTCAAGTTCAAATTCTGTTCTTACCGTCTAAGAATAAGAATAGAATAAGAATAATAAATTTTTATTTGTTTGGAATGTAGGTATTACAATAAGATGTTAATAATGTTCAAGAGTCCATAAACATTCTGCCTTTCGGCATACATTTATGGATAAACGACATCGGGGTACATACATACCACATACATACTAAATAGGTAGTTCCTGCTTAGGCAGAACATGCCTATATATCGAGCCTCTAGTGGGGCTCCTCAATTCGTTTGTAGTTTTCTATTAAGCAGCATGATGCGGCTGACTTTTACTCCTTACTTCGGCAACATGGTAACCGTGACGCGCTATCATTTTGCGGGGAAGTGCCCTCGGTGATTCGATTGAATCCTCGTCATCAGTGTGGATATTCCTCGTGGAGGCAGGCGCCGGAAGGCTCCATTTGGCATTTCGTCCGGACCGGGTGCTTTGCATAGTGAGGATCAGAGAGCCATAGGTACCCCACACCTGGAGAAAGCACAATTGGGTCTTCTACGGGAAAGATAGATCGCTTCAGTTATCACTGCGACCTGGTCACCAGCTTTCATTTTCTGTCTGAGTATTTCTCAAAATTTTTGACCATAATTTTAAAAATCGTCTTAAAATAAAATATGTAGGTACATTTAGAATATATTATGTTAAATACAGCTAGCTAAATCTAGACAGATTCTGAATTTCAGATTTGTTTTTTGTTTTAATAGAGTTTTTATACAAAAAACCTGTAAAATATTAGATAAGGACGAAATAAAAGTTCTTATTTTGTTACTTGGAAATGAGTGAAAACCATAAACAAACACGCTGACTATATTAAAAATTTATGTTTTTTATGTAGATCATAAATTAAACAACATGTTGAAAAAGTAAAAATTGAAAGACATACAAAAGTCATGTATGTTATTTATATTATCGTAATAAAAAAATAATCAAAGATCAAAACATGGGACATCGACATTGCAACTATGGTCAAAAAATTTGAGAAATGCTCGTCTATGTTAATCTCAATGCCTAGTGCCAATTTGGTTTACGTTAACGCGATCGAACCTTTACAGTTAGCAGCAACTTGCCACTCTATACTATGATTGCCGCCGAGTACGATGCATGTAAAGATCACCTAGAGGGGAAAGCAACACGATCCATGGGCAGCTGCAACACCAGAGGCAAGTCATTCAGGGGTATGTTTGACACTCCCTGCACCTGGATATAAGCATAAAAGCTGATTAACTATAAGAACACGGCACGGAGCTTTGACTTCTTTAATTCACAAGAACAGGTTGATATTATAATACTTGGTGTGAGACTGATAACTGAAAAGTGGCAAATATTTTTGACACTTTTACATGTCGTTAGGATAGTGCGCAAAAAATATTAAATGTCTCCGACATGTTGCAGCTCAGAATAAATTATCCAATAATAAATTGTTCGCTCCTCTTTTCACGTGACTTTTTCTTTCAATGTGAACTATCCACATTCATCCTTACCGTAAATTAAGAGATCTAGGAGAATTGTTCGTCGCAATCTTTCAATTTGTTCCAGCTGAATTTTAATTAGTTATCGTCTTTATTTCACTTTTTATCGCTTGATAAAACCGAAGAGAATACAAACAGCATCCATTGTACCTTTCGAATTCAATCGTCGCCATATAACGAATTCGCACGAACAAAATTAACGTTTTACAAATTTTTATAGATCTAAGTTCTAGCAATGAATTATATGAAATTTATTAAATTTTGCCCCATCTCATTTTCTATCATATTTGTATGGAATATGATTTCTTTGAATGGATATGATATTAATATAGAAAAACATAAAGAAATTTTGGCTGATTTACCAAAAGCGGAGGATTTAGATAATTATGTTATATCTTTAGACAGAACATTAGGGTATTGTTTAAAACATAAAAATTACATGGATTCGGACTTATTTCTTGGGTTGTTTATTTTAGCAGGTAAGACAGGTTTATTTATTATGTGTGTCTTAAGTTTGTGGGTATTAAAATGATAAAATAAGTATTGTCTAAGTTTATATCAGTATGAAAATTAGTAGGCCTACAACGTGAGTATTTAGTTATACTGAGTACATACTTATTGAAATGAGAAAATATTCGATTAATATAATTACAACGAAAAAACTGTATTAATTTAATAAAATATCGTCATCAGCCTAAAGTGCCCACTGCTGAGCAAAGGTTTTTTCCCGCATCGAGAGGGTTTTATCACTACGTTTGCTCTAGGCGTATTGAGATATACTTAATTGAAAATTAGAAGTCTTGGTTACCTCACGATGTTTTCCTTCACCGTATGTTAGTACCTAGTGTCTAAATAATCATAGAAAGTAAATATATCTAACTCGGAAAAGTCACATCAGTACTTGCCACCTATTCTCAGCTACTTAGTTTACGTGTGTACTTAAGTCGTTATAAACTTTATAAAATGTCCCTCGCCCTGAATCGCCGGGTATCAGACTGATGTCCAAATCACACTGGAGCCCAAAGCGATATTCCAATTAGAGTGAATTTTTGAAATTCAGGCAATAAAGGAGAAAGTGCAAGCATTATTAAAAAGATGAATAAGTACTATGAAGATTTGCATGAGTATTTTATAACAAAATTATTGGATGATATGATTCATATTTTATGAAAAACACCCCATTGTTCATCATTAATATAGGGTATGCTTCACAGCAATAGGTTATTCATCAAGGTCAAATAATTATAAAATAAATGAGAACCACTCTAGTGCGAGTGGGAAACAGACAGACAACAAAGTCTAAGTAACACGGATCCCGTTTGTACCAAAGACAAAAAAAAGTGTGGATGAGTCATAATTCGGCAAGAATGAGTCTGCTCGACCAGGATGATTCTGTGTCCTCACACAACCACAACTTTATGTTTCCGGGTACCTAAGTTAGGTTGCCGGAGGCACAATCCTTCCCCTTCCTGCATTCCTTTTTAGTCCTTTAATATCCGAACCCTAATCTCTCTCTCTGAGCACTCGTACTAAACTTATTTGCAGCTAAAAATCAGTTCCCTCAGGATCTCCTGCTCCGGAGCATGGCGCAGTGGTCGATCAACATTGCTGTGGTCTCCGAGCCGTACTTCTCGTCGGCCGCCACCGGTACCCCAACCCCCGAAGGGGCGTTGCGTCTCGGCTCGGTTCGGAGAGATCGCCGTGGTGGGCTACTACTTACTTCTCTACGTACTTCTCCCCGAACCGAACACTCGCCGAGTTCCACAACTCATTGAGGGAGTTAGTCGCCATCGTCGTCGGGTTCCGTCCCCTACCCGTGCTAGTCCTCGGGGACTTCAATGCCAAGAACTTGGCTTGGGTTGGGGGTGAGTGCACCGTGGCGCGACGCCGATACACCAGGCACCACAGGCTCCGTATCCGCCCTCTGGACGCTGAAACCAGAGAGAACCACGCTGAAACCACTGACTCAGAGTCTCCGGCTGGAGGTCGTGGACGAAGTGGTTAGGGCTCTATTCCACCAACCATAAATGGGTTACACGCCTCCGAATATGTCTTGCTGGTGCTGGTGAACGGGAGGTCGCATCAGGCGGCGGCCGACCTGATGTCACAAGCGGTTGCGACAGTCGTTGCAAGGATTCGGCTGTTGGGACTGGAGGTGGCGCTCGCCGGGGCGAGGATCCTTTGCCGCGCCAAATTAGTGCGTGGCGGAATGAGCTCCGGCGATAGGCAGAGTGGAAAGAACGACTGTCGCAATCGAGGGCCGGGCACGCTATTATAGCAGCGGTAAGACCCCTCTTTGAGGAGTGGCTTGAGAGACGCCACGGCGTCCTCACCTTCCGCCTGACGCAGGCACGGCAGCTTCGGTAGGTTCCTGTTTCGGATCCAGCGGGAGGAAAAGCCCAGTGTCGTCATTGCGAGGACCACCTAGAGGATACGGTGGAGCATACGGTGGCGGTATGCCCTGCCTGGGCTGAGCACTGCTGTGTCCTCAGGGAAGTGATCGGCGGCGACGACCTCTCGCACCCGGCCTTAGTCGAGGCCATGGTGCGGAGTGAGAGGAACTGGGACGCCGTCTCCTCCTTCTGTGAAGCAGTTATGCTCTCAAAGGAGGAGGCGGAGCGCGTGAGGGAACTATCCTCGTCGCGCCCCAGCCACCGCAGAAGGCGACATTCCGGACGTCGGGGATCGAGAGATGATCTCCGGCCACTGTAAGCGCGGGTCTGCGGACGGCGAGTAAGGGTAGCTCGCCGCCCGACCAGAACCAGGTCCGAGCGTGCGGCGCGTAGCGTTCCGCACGCGCCTTAAAGAGCCAATAAACCACCACAGACGGGGCCCTAAAGGGCTGATGTTCAGCCGGGGTTGCGGGGTAAGCGCAATGAGGCACCGCGACCTCGGCACGGAGCAGGAGAAGGAACAGGGGGGTTTTTAGTCAGTACGAGTCTGACACTCCCTCCCTGGCCCTGGGTGGAAGAAGTCATTTGATGATTTTCCCGTTGTGTTTGTGTCCCATATTAAGTTTGTCGAATTTAAGGTTAGGTATTTAATTCATTTGGTACCTACTTCTCCTCAGGTAAAATTAATGTAGTTCATATTCTTTCTTGCAGGTAACATAAACCAAGTTTTAAGGGAAAAGGAAGGAAAGTTGCCACCTAATTTGAGTGACCGTTTAAAAAGAATGCTTCAGAAGTTTAGTGTTTTAGAGGATTATTTTCACGGAATGGTCCAAAATTTTTACATGAATAACCATAAACATATACATAAAGATCCAGATGATGAAATAAATCATCTAAATGATGTAAATAGTAAGTGTTTTCTTAAAATTGCATTTATTTTTCGAAAGGATATTCATGAGCAGTTAAATTTTAAACAGGACATAAACTGTGCGATCCTCGCGTAACTTTCTGCCCCGCACAGCAAAGCTTTGGAATGATCTTCCGGCGGCGGTATTCCCGAACCGATACGACCTTCAAACCTTCAAGAAACGAGCGTACTCCTTCTTAAAAGGCCGGAAACGCACCTGTGACTCCTGGTGTTGCAGGTGTCCATGGGCGGCGCCGATCGCTTACCATCAGGTGATCTGTCTGCTCGTTTGCCTCCAATTCCATAAAAAAAACATATTTAAATTTGTGTCAATAATTTCGATAAGTAGTAACACGGTTTTTATTTGAGGTGACAAAATCATTCAATGTCTGTCACTCTTACTGATTAAAGACCACCGCATTCTGTCTCTTGCTCCAAGCCACACCACACACACACGCTTGCTCCCACATCACTGGCTAATTGTGCGTTTGGCGCATTGATCAATTCTTTGTTTCTTTTTTGAGGACAAATTCTTATAAAAGAGTGTCTAAAGTGGTTTCACGCAGGAATCTCAAGATATTGATTGTTTTTTTTTTTCTAGCGAGTAGGTTTTTCGTTCTTGTTGATCACAAACGCAGGAGCTAGCCTTTATATAGTGGCCGAAAAGCGCATATGAGAGTTTAAAGAGAAAGCAGCAAAGGCATTTATACCTTATTATCTTATTCGGATAAATCTCCAAAATCGCAATCGTTAAAAGGTCTAGTAGTAACTGCTATAGTGTAGCGGTTGTCCATGTGTGACGCTGATAGCTTACCATCAGGTAATCCGCCTGATCGTTTGCCGTCCTATCACATGAATAAAGATGTAGGCACCTACATTAAAATAATATTATCCATCATCATTATGCGCTCCAATTTGTTTACAGTATTACACCTACTTAATCTCACTATTTGGCGAACTTTGGAAAAGTTCAATGTAGAACTTCTGAAGCGTACGAAAATATACAACAGAGATGAGCTGACGACGATATATGGAGATTGGGAGACTTATGCCAAAACAATCACAAACATCCGATTGTTAGTGCCTAATATCCAGGAATCTGGTGAGTATTTTGTGTCTAACTATTCATTGACGATAGTTTTTTGAGTAGGCAGAGTCCTGCCTGCTGCTGCGAGAAAATGTCAGAAGACTTTTTTTGATGCAGACTCGCACTTCGATTAATTTGGAAAAGACAACAAAAAAATTTTGATGCTAGTTATACTGCCTTGTGAGGTTATTGTTACTGCGTTCATAAAATCCCTGTATAGAACACGATATTTTTTGCACGATTTCCACCCATCTGTTAAGAATGAAGAATGTTTAATATTAAATTTAATTTAATAGATAAGACAACTATGGTAAGTATAAATAAAGAAAAATTAAATAAGACTTTTTTAAATAGCATCTACAAATACTCGAATTCACTTTTGTACGTTAACGTTGACTACACGTTTGGCGCGGTGGCTGGGCAACTGGCTGCCGGGCAACGTATCGCAGGTTCGATTCCTGCACGGAACAACTCTTTGTGTGTTCCACAGATTGTTGTTCCGGGTCTGAGTGTGATGTGCATGTGAAATTGTATGTTTGTGCACCCACGACACAGGAGAAAATCCAAATGTGGGGGGCAAAGTTTAAAAAAAAAATCAGTTACTGGAAGCGACAACACTAAATTATTTCAGACACTTGCATCGCACAGTTGGCAAAAATACCCATATTCCCGTCCCGTAGATCGCAACCCAGATGTTTTGTCCGACAACACTGCCGGGTGTACTTGAAGAATGGGAACGATTATGGATATGGATTACTACACAGGTACGTTATATAAAATAGATCTTTAACATTATATAAAACTGTCTTCTATGTAATATATGAATCTATTATATTGGGTATAATATTTTCTGTTATACATAACATAATAATCATTTCACGCGGCTAGAATGAATGGGTTTGCTCGACCAGAATGACACAACCCCACAAAGACCCGGGGTCAAATAACACTTGCTTTGTGTTTCATCATTCATTCGTCGTCAATATCGGACGTCCAGTTTTTTTCTCCCCTAGCCTATTCCACAAACCACTAAGAACCCTCAAAAGCCCGTCGAGCACATGCAACGTCTCTGGTTATGCGGATCTGCCAGCAGTTTACCGCTGCAAGCTTATATTTATTTACCTAAAATAAAAGCTTGTTATTAGAAGACTACAGGACTAATAACTCAACTTTTTCAGACTTTTGTTCTTCATTATGGCTAAGTATGCCCGAAATTGTGCAGTTTTTTCCGAAAAAGAGGACAAGTACATAATGGACCACTTGTGCTCCATGTCATATAATGAATGCCAATATATTGCTCAAAGTGACTTTGCATTGCCTGATCTGTTAGCCGAAAGCCGTAAGTAATAAATAGATATTCCACAGTGATTCAATCTATAACTACTACCTACCTACTTCTAGGGCCGGAGTTTTGTCCAGGTGCAAGCGAAATAACGTACCGCGAAAGAAAAAGGCTAGAGCTTTTTTCTGGACACAGCATATTGTATATTGTTGAAGTTTACATTCATTATAGCTAAGAAAATGGCTCGTAATGTAAACTTAGCAAACTACCTAAGCTAGTTAAATAACGTAATAGTCACTTTTTTGATGGAGAAAATCATTAAATAACTTCTCCAGCCGTTGGTGACTGTGGTCAGCCCTTTTAGGCCCCATCTGTGACGATCTATTTGACTCATAGAGGCGACCGCGGACTGTTACTTGATAGTGACTGATTTTGACACTCGTCAATTATTTTCAGATGCACTCTGCGGGATGCTAGGGCATGCTCAGTTTTTAACCAATGACTGGGTAAAAACTATAATGATGCATCAAGTAACAGAAGGCTGCCTCAGGGATGAAGGAATTAAAAGCCATGAAACCGTAGTGGACGCAACGGAACCAGGGATTTTATCGATTACAAATCCGGTAATGGGAGGAATTTGTAATCGGCACTTCACGGCAGTAGGGTTGGCTACATTTTCAAACGTCGTCAGATATATCATAGAGACTTATTTTTAACTGTTTGAATCCAGTTTTTATAGTAAATTATTATTATTTACTTTTAATAAGTATGTTTATTTATATTTAACTAGCTTTTGCCTGCGACTTTGTTCACGTGGAAAAGTTACTTCCTGCCGATTTTTGGAATAAAAACTATCCTATGTCCTTTCTCGAGTTCCAAACTATGTCTGTACCAAATTTCACAGAAATCGGCTCAGTAGTTTAGGCGTGAAGAAAAGACAGACAGACAGACAGAAAGACAGACAGACAGACAGAGTTACTTTCGCATTTATAATATTAGTTAGGATTACATTATATTTACGCGGGTATTAGGTAACGCGGAAAATTATAATTTGAATACCTTGGTAGGCTTGACGTTTCGACCCGGTTGCACAGGTCGTGGTCACAATTAAGCAGACTTAAAAGTTAGTATATTTAATGTAGCCTAAAACTAACATGTTTTTTCATTTAGGCACAGTTACAACTGTAGGTGGTAGTACGTAATGGACATTACCTAAGATCGACCTTAGTTGCATTCTCATCGATCGCTCTAAATGCCAGCGATTTCCCATACATAGGTTAGGTACCTTCATAATGCACGAGCACTGCATGGTTACATTGGATGCTGTAATTGGCATCTTCATTTCTTTATTATTCTTAGTTTTAATTTTCAAGGTCAAAAATAATATATTTTTTGTACAATGAATTATTTTAAAAACTATTATACTTTCAATGTTCTATGGAATAGGAGGTAAACGAGCACATCGATCACCTGATGGTAAGCGATCTGAAACCTGCGGCACCAGGAGTCACAGGCACGTTGCCGGCCTTTTAAGAAGGACTATGCTCATTTCTGAAGTTTTGAAGGTCGCATTGATTTGGCGAAAATTGTATGACCTACTCATTATAGATTTATTTTAGCTGATTATTTCAAATAAGTATATATAGGTACGATTTGGTGTTATTACGATTCATATGTTGCGATTGCATTAATTTGCACAGAGAATTATCGTTTTTGACATTAAAATAAAAAGTGTTGCATTTGGCTAGTTGGAAACGGCCACGGCCTCACAGAATACCGGCGTGAAACAACCTCAGTGTTGTGTTTCGCCGTGTGAGTGAGGTTACCGGAGGCCCAATCCTGCCCCTTCCCCTATCCCTTCCCGATCCTTATATCCGCAACCACTATCCCCAAAGGGCCGGCAACGCACTAGTAACTCCTTTGGTGTTGCGGGTGTCCATGGGCGGCGCCGATTGCTTACCATCAGGTAATCCGTCTACTCGTTTGCTGACTTATACCAGAAAAAAATTTTTTTGATTGAAAACTGGCTTATGTCTGCTAGCAGCTTCGCCTACTGTACCAAGGATAAAAGAAACGTATTCTTTATTGCAAACTATACCTAATGTATCTTTATTCCGATGGTGAAAGAGTAAAGTACCTTACTTGCTTAATAAAGTAGTCAATGTACAAACACTACATATACTACGATGCCCCAATTCTCCTAAGTAAGTAATGAATCCTATTATGTAATTTAAAGAGGTGAGTGTACATCGGCGCTGTGTTCCGCCGTACGAGTGAAATAACCAATTGACTTTGACTTCTAGTTGTATCCTTTATCCTTTTATCCCCGAAGTGATAGGCACACGTGCTTAGCAATCACATAATATAATATAACGTGTGTGTTTTACTAATTACGTTATACCTATAAGTCACATGTGCTGAAGTCAAATAACAGAAGACAGTCATACAATAATTCATACTCTTGCCCGGAATTGCACTTGCAAATCATACCTAGTATTTTGGAGGTACCTATGAGAGAACTGGGTGTAAAGTTCCACTTCCTTTCAAAGGGAGGATCCTCCTACCGGACGAGTATTGTGTCTGGTGGGCTACTGCCCAACGGTTGTCGTCGGGATTTTGTACCAGTTCTAAATACGCCGATAACTGTTATACCGCGATGTGGAAACTTAAATGTAATTGGTGCGGTAGATGTCGCTACAATATCATCTTTCTGGTCAAGTAGACCTTAAGTATGAATGGCCCGGCTGTTCATTCTCCCATACCCTTACATTTTAATTTACTTACTTAAGTATGTGTTAAGAATATGGAGTTGATGCGCATTTTAATTGAATATGAATTGATGACATGGTGTCTAATTGGTTTCATGATTCAGTTTAAGAAATAATATTTATATACAGCCTAAATAAATAAGAGATCTGATTGTCTAGAATTTGCAAGGAATTCATAATAAATTGTTACATAAACAAGTTCGTAAATTATTTACTTTATTCTCTATGCAAAAGAATTATGGCTTACAATAAAGAAAGTGATAAGTAAGAAGGCGATAAGGCCATGATGTCATTTGAGAACACCGTTGCCCGCAGGGATTAGAATATACCGATTTTGTTTTGGCAGGAACTCTTAAGAACGTATGTCAAAAATCGATCTTAATCTAAAGATAGAGGTTGATATCAGTAGTTAGTTTGGCTGTAAACGCTAAGATTTATCAGACGCCTAGTATTCAGGACTAGCGTCAATTCATCATCATTATCAACAACATTTCTGACAGTTGATAGTGCACAGTTGCACTTTTACGAATTACTAATGGGCCTTTTCTTTATTAGAGGGGCGTGCCGTACTCTTGACGCAGGAGACTGCAGTTTAATAGTTAAGGTTTAGCAAAGCGCTGCTACCCAATATTAATACAAAATAGTATAAGGAAGATCAAATTATACAGACTGAATCGATCCTTTATGAAGTTTGAATTCATTCATCACCTGGTGGTTAGTAACCGGCTTTTGGACGCCCATGGACAAAAACTAAAAGAAGAGTTACTATATGTTAGCAGCCTTTTTGATTTAATTTTTAGTTTTTTTAACTTACAAAACTTTGTCCCCCACTAAGATTTTCTTCTATGTCGTATGGGTGCGTTTAGAAATATTTTATTTTCATCGGGCGGGAATCGAGCTCGCAGACCCGACAGCCGGTTCCTCAGCCATAGCGTCAACTGTGTAGGATTGGGGATGGGGAGAGTTTGCTATATCAAATTGGTTTTCTAAGAGTCTATGGTATTCCGGTCAAGTCGGACCTTTCGTGTCAAAGTATGGGTCTCCCACACTTAAAAGGGCCTTTCATTTAATGTAGACGATTAGAATGCAAGTGGGTATGTGTCCATGACAGTTACATGTAACTTCGAGCTGTCCCAAGAGAATTCCTAACGAATTTTGATTTGAAACCTAATTAAGACAAGTGAGGTATTATTCTGGTTTTTGGTATATCGATTTAATCATTGATTTTGATGAAATCCTGCTTGTGTTTTACCACCTTTCAAAGTTAGGGTTTATATTTGTTTACAAAAATAAACTTTCAACAAACATTTGCCGTACTGGTTATACAAATTCCAGAAGGCAAAATGAGCCATAATGCGCATGACATCAATATTAGTTAACACCTTGTAAGGCTGTGAAGTTAGCAGCTTACTTTAAAAGGATAGGATTATATTTGAACTTAACAATTCAAGTGGGTATAAGTACATAAATTGATTTGCACAAAAAGCCAGTGAATTAAATTGTGTGGACAGTTCACACATACAAATGAGATCGTGATCGTGTTATAAACGGGTGCCTAAATAATTTGACACACGTTATCAGGTCCCGATCAAATAAACCTACACACGTAGTACATATTAATTGATAATTATAAGTAAATAAGAAATATCTATTTCCATTCCCACGTCTGGTTAAGAGCTAGGTCAGTTTTTGTGTGAACTTTAAGTATGGGAGAGCCAAGCTTCGCGTTCGGCACGATTGGGTGGATTCGACCTGAGTGATACCACGGCTTCACCGAAAACCGGCGTAAAAAAACTACAGCGTTGTTTTTCGCCGTGTGAATGTCGTTACTGGAGGCCCAATCCTTCCCTCTTCTCCCATCCCTTTCCAATACTTAAATATCCGAACTTTTATCCACAGAAGGTCAGTAACGCACTCGTTACTGCTGTGGTGTTGCGGGTGGCGCCGATTGCTCACCATCAGGTAATCCGTAGCTCGTTTGCAGACCTATCCTATAAAAAACACTACAAAGTGAACGGTCCTTAAATAGGTTGCTTTAATTAATTTTTCTTCGCCATTGATATAGAACGGATCTTGTGGTAGGTACTGGTTCACTTTTACTTCCTGCCTTCAGAACGGACGCAAGTTCACACCTGTCGACGTCCGGTCGACATTGGTGCGCATACTCGATGTTACACCGAGGTCAACTGCTCAAAAGACCTTCAACTTCATTAAAAGGGAAGTCTTGCAGTATGTACATATTTTTATTTCTTTATTTAAAAAAAGATACGTTGCTCCAAAGTAGGATTTTCTCCTGTGTCGTAGGTGCGTTTACGAAAATATAATTTTACATACTCATCACCCCCAGACGCGGAATAACAATTTGTAGATCACCCAACCATTTGATCCGTGCAGAAATCGAACCCGTGACACGTTGCGCGGCAGCCAGTTGTCCAGCCACCGCACCAACCATGCAGTCATGGTCATTCATATTTGACAGTAAGTTTTTGCCTCTGTTTAGCTTATTTGGAAATAAAGGGCAAATTTCTATACAACAATGTCCCTTTTTTTACTTAAACTTTTCATCTCAATAATTTGGAACGAGCACCTAGCTTGATTGACGAACAGACTGACAGACTAGTATTCTATTTTGACGTTTCAAAAGTACCTGTTTATAATTTTCTGACTTTTGAGTTTGGAGCTCTAGCCCTTCTTTGTTCCTCGTCCACCCTCAATAATGCACCTTGGCTCGGCTCGGAGCAGGAGAAGAAATAGGATAATAATCTGGCCCCAGGACGGGAGATGTCATTGTAGGTACACATGATTTTCTCATCCCATAAATGCCAACTTTTTTGTAAATAAAAAAGCTCTATGACTGAAGAAGTAAAAAAAACTCTTTTAAGGTAAAAATATAATTACTTTTATAGACATTTAATTTTCTTATGTAGATTTTATGTGCAAATATGTACCTATGTAATGTATACGTATGTATGTGTACATGGAAAAAGTATATGCGTGTAACGTAAAATATGGCTACGGCGCGTTGTGGAACCGTGATCTCTTCTTAATTATTATAATACTAGCTTTTGCCCGCGACTTCGTTCGCGTGGACAAAAATTGTAGCCTATGTGTTATTCTGATGTATAAGGTATAATGTGGTAAAGTTTCATTCAAATCCATTCAGTAGTTTTTACGTGAAAGAGTAACAAACATCCATACATCCATACTTACAAACTTTCGCCTTTATAATAGTAGTAGGATTCTAAAATAAAAATAATAAATTACGGGAATTCCACTTTAAGATATAAGATCCAAGGATTTTTATACAAATAATATTGGATACTAGATTTAGGGTCAATTAATAATGGGTTTCTGCGATGTATCTGATGACGTTGGCAACTGCTGCGACGGCGACTCCAGTCGTATGTTGCATTAGCTCTTTTTGTTTAAGATTCAGTGAATGTTCAAATCCAAGTATATTTCCATTAAAGTAACCGTCTGGTGTTTGACACGCTGTAAGGATTTCCATCCAAGAATTGGTTAAAAACTGAGCGTGCCCTAGCAACCCGCAGAGTGCAACTGGAAACAAACAAATAAGTATCTAAATTTGAATAAATATTACTATTTTAGGTTTCTTTTTAAAAAGTAAGTGTGGGAGAGCCATGCTTCGGCACGAATGGGTCGGCTCAATCGGAGTGATACCACGGCCTTACAGAAAACCGGCGTGGAACAACCACAGCGTTCTGTTTCGCTGTGTGAGTGAGGTTACCAAAGGCCCAATCCTTCCCCTCCCCCAATCCCTCCTCGATCCCCAAATCTCCAAACCCCTAATCCCTAAAAAGCCGGTAACGCACTCGTAACTCCTCCGTTGCCGGGTATCATGGGCGGCGCTGATTGCTTACCATTAGGTAATCCGTCGACTCGTTTACTGACTGACTGTCAGGTTCAGTTCTCTTGAAGGCTGTACTTTTCCCTGGAGGAGGGAGGGGTGGCGGTTTATTTATCTATTGTGATATTTTAACAATATATACTTACTGATTTCTAAAAACAAATCGGGCATACCAAAATCGTTAAGCGCAATATACTGGCATTCAACATATAACATTGAACAAAACCCGCCCATTTTGTATTTGTCAACGTTTTCGGCAAAAACTGCACAATTTCGAGAATATTTTGCCATAATAAAGAGTAAAAGTCTGAAAAAGAAAAGTATTTAGTACGTAGGTACGTATTACGTGAAACTCAAGAAAAATTACTAGTACTATGTATATGAACTTTCTATGATTATTTAGACACCAATGACATATGAACGGTGAAAGTAAACACCGTGAGGAAACCTGGACTTATAAGTTTGAAATCACCAACCCGCATTGAGCAAGCGTGGTGATTAATGCTCAAACCGTCTCCGTGTGAGAAGAGGCCTTCAGAGGCTCAGCAGTGGGCACTTATGGGCTGATGATGATGATGATGATATGTATTTAATAAATTAATTATTTGTATCATCGACATGTCAAAGATTTGTTAATTTCAAAAAGTATTTGTATATAGTATTTCATGCAATTGTATTGTTGTACTCAATGGTTGATCATGAAATGTCCACTGAAGTCAAGATTATTTTGATCATATCGTAAAATAGTTTCTGTTTTTACCGATTGAGGCGCTGTAAGCGCTGGTGATAAAAACCAGGTGAAATGATTTGTCAATCGTGGTAATTCCAGCCACAGTAGAAGAACATGTATGCGCGAAAGCCGGCGTTCCCTTGGGGGTTCATGAATTTATTCACCTAGATGTATCAAGATGTGTTATGACTTGCGCTTGCCTTTTGATACATAATTTAAGGAACTCTGACACATTTGATTAGCGGAAGCCGAGCATTTAATCCTTTTGGACGCTTTTGTTCATCTAGAATATTTGCGTACAAGATTCAGACCGATTGCGCATAATGTATGGAGCAAATCTACGATATTTCTGCGATGTGCATTAATTAGGTAACATTAAGAATTAAAACAACATCCCTCGTTTGTATAATAAATGTGACTACACTTTGATACGGGGGCTGTGCATATCCAAATGTAAAAGAGAAAGTTTGAAATAAATCCTAAAATACTTGAAATACACTTATTACCATATAACAGAACATTTTACATTTCAAATCTTGTTACGAATATAAGAACAAAATGTTTGTTACTTACTTGTGTAAGGAAATACATTTAGCGGGGTAATATTGAAAAATTCAATATTACGCGGTAAATGTAGTTTCGATAAATGGCAAATAACATACGACTGACGCAGACCGCGTCACATGCTTACAGGTCAATACAACAAGGTGCACAGCGATATTGCCAATTCCCAGGTATTCGGCGTTTCTATATATTTTTATCTTCACCGTTTTAATCTTACCCTCAGTCCTCCCTCAGAACTATTATTAAATGTGTTTTCTTCTATTTTCTGTATTGGACCAACCTGTGCGCTAATCCATATCCAAAATCATCTCCTTCAAGCGAGTACTTAATACAAAACGCTGGCAATCTACATCTAGTTTGAGGTTTCCGAGTCTGTGTATATGCAGGTAGAAACGCCAAACGTGCCACACACTGGTCTGAAAATAAATTGTAAAGTGAATTTTAGGTATAACTTCAGATTTTTTGTGTGAAAGGACGGCAAACTGGTTGCTGTTCAATTGTCGCGGGGTCGCTCCTCAAAATGAACCACCGCTAATGGTCGCTAATGGATCGGCTTGATCGTGCCAATAGACTACCACAGACGGGGTCCTAGAGGGCTAATGCGGGGTAAGCGCAATGAGGCACCGTGGTCTCGGCCAAGAATAGGAGAAGGACGGGGGAGGGGGAGGGGGGTTGATCGGGATGGTGTCAGAAGTGAAAAGAACAATAAGAAAAATTTATTTCACGTAAGTCGGTCACAAAAATGGACCAGTCGAGTTCCGAGCCATGCGGCGTGGGCGACCAAGATGGCGTCCAAGGTCTCAACACGAGGATAAAATCATTAAATATTTCGTCGGATTCCACAAATAATAATGCGGAAGCGTGGAAACGGTGGTCGCAGCAACTGGACCTATATCTACTCGCCACGGGTTTAGACAGGGCACCCGAGAAGAGAAAAATAGCCATACTGCTGCATCTTATAGGTGAGAAAGGCCTAAACATTTATAATACATTTAACCTCAACATCGACAAGACCACGCTTGCCGAAGTGAAGCAGAAATTCAATAATTTTTTTGAGCCCCGGAGGAACATAACCATGTGTCGTCACATGTTCTTCACGAGGAGGCAGAAGCAATCCGAGTCCATCGAAGGATTCCTGGCAGACCTGGAAAATAAGAGCCAGGATTGTGAATTCGGAACGCTCAAGGAGTCCCTCATCAGGGATATTTTCATTGCCAATCTGCACATGGACCTGGCACATGTCCGTCAGAGATTGCTTCAGGAGCCTGATCTGACATATCAAAGGATGCGCGAACTGGCGAGAACATTAATCGTCGCACAGCAAGATGCTGAGAAAATCGTCAGTTCCAGCGAGAAACAGGAAAATGTAATGCATCTACGTCGGAGGAGCCGTAGTCGAGGAGATCGTCGACAGCGAGCTTCACCAGTCGGTCGGCAGGGTCCTGGTACGAGGCAGTCTCCCAACCCTGAAAGGCGCACGAGGCCGTGTAGCCGCTGTGGGCAGTCTCATCGATACAAGTGCCCAGCGCAGGGAGTCCAATGCAGGTCATGTAATTTATTTGGTCATTTCGCTAAATTTTGCTTTAAAAATAAAAATGTAAGTCGTTTAGAGTCGTTTAATTCAAATAGTAACAGTAGTCAGGATCATTATTTCATTGGAACAATAAACAGTCATTGTCAAAGTCATATAAAGTCAAATAAAAGTACAAAATATAGTCAATTTAATGTTAGGTCAAGTAAAAAGTCACCCAGTACACAGAAACATTGTCAATCGCAGTCTAAACGGTCTCACATAGACCAATTACAGTCAAGAAATGATTCCGGTGATGATATTTATGTCATGTCTGAGAGATCTCACCGAGACTCATATTGTCAGTCTGAGAAATCAATTCTCAAGTCAAATTTTTATGATAGTGGTAATAATGTCATGTCTAAGAGGTCTAAAAAGAACCTCGGTGATGAAAACAGTCACCTGTCTGAGAAATCTATTCTCATATCATATAATCACAATTTAAACAAATGTTGTGATAGTCAAAGTGTGTATCTCAATGATGAGTACAGACACATGTCTGAGGAATCACCCCACACCTGACACCATGTAATATGATTGAAAGACTTGGATCTTGGATACTTGACTTTATTTAAATACGTTACACAGTCCTGCAGCTCACTGCACCAGAGTTACATTGTCAATGGCCGACACTTGCTCGGCCACCCTCTTTATAGTGATATGACGACATAGACAATAATAGTGCAACACTGATTAGTAATACTAATCATAGACAATACAACAAGTAAGAGTCCGACATATCCTTTTTCACTTTACAAAAAAAAAAAAAAATCTACTGAGGGTTACCGTATTTAAAAATAAAAAGAAAAATACAATACATTACCAGAATCCTCAATTGGGGGATTGAAATTATAATAGTCTGTGATAGTGTTTATGTAAGTTTCCCATTGTCCATAAATTTCCTTCAACTGATTTTCATCGTATGTGTTTGTGCGTTTCAGAAGTTCTAAATTGAACTTTTCCAAAGGTACTGGCCATGCACTTATGTTGTATATCAGGTATGATACTGTAAACAAATTATTATCTTACTCAACGAACCTACCAAATTTATTCATGGTACCTATATACCCATGTAGGCACTTTTTAAACAAACAAATTAGGAATGTTTCTCAGTCTGTCTATCAATAAAGCTAGCTTGGTCGAAATTGCAGAATCATATTGACTAGCAAAAAATACTGTCGTTAACCATCTTAATTTTAGTAATCTGATTTATTTATATTACCTATAATTCTTTAACTGGCGTCATAAAAACCGTCGGTTACTTGATATCAGTAAGACGTTTATGAAGACCTAGCTTCCGGAGTATGTTGATAAAAAGCCTGTGTTAACAAGGGTACCACTACCTTCATACCAAATTTTAACCAAACCTGTATTTGGTTGAAAGAATAACAAACATTCCTACTAAATTTCACATTTATTCTTAGTTATCCTAATAATATAATAGGTTAGTAGGATTAGTAGGATAAGTGAGTATACTAATAAAGTAGGATGGTAGAAATCTTAAACAATTTTATATTTTATTCAGTGTGCCCATTTTTGTGATATTATACGTACCTATATACTTTTCAGAAATTGTTTCAATTTAAATAAACTACTCACATTGTGATTTCATACCGATTCCACTTATTATGTCCTTATCATTGTTGAAGATCTCCTTTACTTCGTCATACTTAAGGAGCAATTGTTCTAAACGGAAAACAATTTCTGGTGGCAATTCCTGTCCTTTTTCTCTTAAAACCTGCTGTAGGGTCACTGGAAAATAAATAAGGGATTTTCATAAGAAACCCAGTCTTTATAAACAACAACAGGAGGCTAGAACATCTGGAGTTGGAACAGGTTGGTTTTTAGTTAGTAAAAGTCTGACACTCCCTCCCGCCTTACTCGGATCCAAGAGATATTAGGGACTTTTCCTCTCAAAAAAAAAAGCTGCACACATTCACCTTTTCATAGTGTCTTGAAATATATTACATTTTGCTATTGCTATGTAATTACGAAATTGATAGTTTATACTTCCACTTTTTATATTTCTCTGAAATATTATAATGTTACACTGTTTTCACATTATTTAACCAACTGTTTGTGAAACTGATTTAAAAAGAGTAACCATGGAGTTTCATGCTCGTTCTTCTCCATCGGAATCTACACTCTGGAACGAGCAAATAGCTTCAGTAAGAGGACTGACCGACAGACTGGCACTACCTATATCTTCAAAAGTTTGACGATCAAAAGTGCCTGTAGAGGTATATTTTGGAATAAATGCTTTTTGACTTGACTTGACTTTGACTAAAATGCATCGATTTTTATTGATGATTTGAAAACTAAGTTTGAAATAGACTTCAAAGTTACATATATACAGTATGTATATTTGACCGAGGGACTCATTCAAACCCCCAATAGTTTATGCATAGACTGCACCAATAAACATGTAAACAATAAAAAATGTTATACATTATTTTTTTGCAAATAGGAATCTGTGGATTCTTAGATAAATGACAATGCCATATTGATTTGATATATTTCGATTTAGCTGTGAACTGTAATGTCATATCAAAGTCTATCACCGTAGTAAAGAAAGAAAAAGACAAAGACAATAAAACTTCGGTAAAATTGTTGTTTTATTTGAAACTAATTGATTTTGGTGTAACGGTATAAGTACATGTTCTATTGGAAATTCAATTATTTATCAACCTATTTATGTATGTTCGGAAAACAATGATGTTCAGAGATACGCTATTAACATACATAGAGACAAAAAATTATTAAGGGCTGATTTTTTAATAGTTAGATAAAAGTTATCTTGAGAATAATTATGAATCTGTCGCGTCAGTATGTTTGTATAAGACAGTGACAGCAACAATTTTATTCCTTAGATAACATTTATCTGACTATTGAAAAATCAACCCTAAATAAGTTTTTTTAAAGTCTCAAACATTTTTATTGCAAAAGAATCGGTTAAGGGACAATTTAACAGCATTTTATTGTTAAAAATTATTTGTCCACGTATTAATCTACGGAGAAAAATCTTAGTCTTTGTAAGATATATGGATATGAAATGATGAAATATGAGGAACAGTAATATTGTAACTTTTTAACTTTGGTATTTTTGTTTAATTTTAACTTAGGTAGTTACCGATTTATATGGTTTTAGTTATTGGACATTAGTTATATTATACAAATATGTGATATATTATTATTATTTCAATAAACTGCAGTATGCCAGTAAAATAACCAATGAAAACGTCTACACATACAATAACAAAAACGTTATAGGTACCTACAATAGGTATTCATTTATATTATTACATCTTACCTCCAGTCAAAAACAAGCCAAAGTCTAAGTTTATATCCACGTCAAATTTGTTATCGACACAGAAATCTACCGCTCTCTCCAAAATTGCAAGATAGTGCTCTAAGTCCGAATCTTTTGGTAAATCATCCAAAATTTCTTGGTATCGCTCTACGTTATTATCACAATTTAAAGCAATTATATTCCACATTAATATTATAGATATCGAGATTAGTATACACGGGTGAAACTTTGTTAATTTTATATTATTCATTGTTTGAACATGCGTTGACAAATCGTTTGTGAAATTTGATAAAATTTTCCCGCCAACTACATATAGCGACGAGTTCGGAATTCAAATGGATACTGTTTGTATTTTCTCAGCCACTGTTGGTTTTTATCAAGCGATAAGAGAGTGAAATAGAGACGGATGATATTCATTTTCCTTGAATCGAAATAAAATTGAAACAAATTTCCTCTAAGTTCCCGCGTCGATTTACAATTTGTTTTAGGCTTAGCTGGTAGTAAGGTATTGTTTTTCGACATTCATACGTGCCATGTCCAGCTATTTTTTAATAACTAAGTAGTACATTGTATAAAACAAAGCCGCGATCCTGTCGCTATTTATTTAAACTTTAATGTACACAAAACAAGTGATGATACATAAGGCGGACATTAATGCCATATGGCATTCTCTCCCAGTCAACCTTAGGGTTAAATAGGAAATCGGCGAAAATATAGGCATTAAAAGGAGTAAATAACATACATAGACTTTACAAAAATAGATACTCAAAATATTTAGTATGTAAACTACAAACCAATTACAACCTAAATATGTTAATATAAATAATATATAAGTACTACATAAATAATTTCTGCAATAATACATATACAATATACATACTATACATAGTCGTGGTGGCCCGGAGGTTAAGGCGCCCGCTTCTCATGTATGAGGGTGCGGCTTCGAAACCTGGCAAGTACCAATGTGACTTTTTCCGAGTTATATGTACTTTCTATGATTATTTAGACACCACTGACATACGGTGAAGGTAAACATCGTGAGGAAACCTGGACTTATAATTTCTAATATTATAAGTTTGAAATCGCCAACCCGCATTGAGCAAGCGTGGTGATTAATGCTCTAACCTTCTCCGTGTGAGAAGAGGCCTTTGCTCAGCAGTGGGCACTTATAGGCTGATGATGATGATGATACATACTATTACATAATAGATAAAGACCGAGACTCAGCGTTGTAGTATGCTTAAATCTTTTAAGCTTCGCAACATACGCACTTTTTTTGTTTTTTTAAAAGATAAGAAGATTGAAGAAGAATTTTTTTATGTACAACAACATACATTAAATTAAAGAAAATTTGCAATTTGGTTGTTAATTATTATACAATTTTTTTATGCCTATCGATACCTTGGAAGTTGTCATCTCATCATATTTGTTAGGCAAAATCTGATGATGTTATCCCACAGTACAATTATCAAATGTTTTTATCAATACCTACTGACTGCTGAAATGGTGATCAGTGTGCTATTTTGATGCCTTATTACTACTACAATAACTTTATAGGCACATTTTAAATTCCTGAATTGAATTTTCTGAATATTAATACTTTTAAAATGGTTCTAGATAATTTTTAACTTGTTGCTGCAACATAGAAATATGTTGGGCGCCTTTTCGTAAAATATATTTGAAAGAGGCTTTTGTGTAAATTATTGCCATGTATTTTACGACAGGCAAAAGAGATATATTTATTAGGCGGGTTAGCATGTTAGTCTCAGACGATGCCTAACTTAGAAACAAATAGAGAAAGAAGGTGGAGTGCGACAGTCTTTTTACAAGTCTAGATAAATGCCATAAACTTTTGTCTTGAAATGATTGGACAGAAAATGACCCATTTTGAATTTTTGAATATCTAGTTACCTATCGTAATTTTAAACCATATGTCACAAGATTATATTATTTTACTGTATAAAAGTTATGTGTAAAAAAGACAGACCTGCTTTGCTGAGAATTTTTGACAAATTGTTGATAATTTTAAATAGGCACCGATTGTCTTGCATGGCAACCGTGTCTGTTACCATTTTGTATAACATATTTTTTCCATAAAGTCCGACTGTCTTTACGAAAAAAAAAAATCAATTCAAGCATGCTTTAAAAAAAAATCAGTAATTTTCCACCGTCCACTTCCATTTGTAAATAAACTAGATTAATTTCAAAGTACATTGTTCCTAGCAATTCAATTTTCTAACAGATAAAAAACCTTTGTTTGAATAATAATGAAACTTCTTGGTAGATGCCTATATTAAAATATATTACGGTCTCCGTAAATTATTGTTGGGATAAGCTGTGAGTAAGTATCGCCGCGGGTGACCACCTTTTCAAGTTCTTCACTTTAATACCGCTATAAATAATCATTACGTAGAAAAGAATGAATGAAATACACACACTAATAAAATTATATATTGGAAAAACGTTATTTCAATGGCTACTTTTATTTCTGTGTGCTCTTAAAATATCTCAGTGACCTAGAAAGCCATTATGACTTTTTCCGAGTTATATACATATCTATCCTTTGCAATGTCTCCATACACTATAGAGTTACGATGAAAAAGAACATTGCGAGGAGTTCCAGAACTGTAATATCTAATTATGTAACATTGAATAGTATGTAATTTTCATTCATTCTCTTATGTGAAGAGTGGAGAGAGGACATTATAATCTAGATTGATAGTGACCCGTCAAAGTACGACATTATCTGCAGTCAACCTCTACATCTAATCAGTATAGTAGGTACTGAAAAATGATTGGTAATTATTAGTCCAAAATATAGCTATCAAGATATTTAAATTATTAATTGAGTTGTATGTACTTACTGTTTATTATTAGTAGTGTAAGTTAATGTTTTGTTTGACGTTTTGAGCAAGCAAGGTAAGTAATGTAAGGGTGTTGTCTACACGTGCCACAAACACATTACAAGTGGTCATGTATAGAAGGTGTAAATAGTTTTTGTGAGGGGAAAATCATCAAATGACTTCTGCCGCCCTGGGCCGAACGTACGGCGCGTAGCGTTCCGCGCCTCAAAGGACCAATAGACCACCACAGACGGGGCCCTATAGGGCTGATGTTCAGCAGGGGTTGTCCAGAGCAGGAGAAGGAACAGGGGGGTTTTTAGTCAGTAAAAGTCTGATATTCCTCATTCTTCTCTCGTTTCAGGGCAAGAGTAGTAGCGCGATGATTTTACTCTCTCAAAAAAGAGATTAGATGGTAGGTCGTTTCCAACCGGCCGACCTGAAAGTAAATGGAGTATGGAGTAAATGGAGCTCTATGTTGAGCTGAAGACATCGGTCCTAATAACGACGTTAACAAACAAAACAATTTCGAAGAAGTATTCTGGTTCTCACCTGTAATTAACGTGAATGAAATTTGCCATGGATCAAATTAGGATTTGCATTCAACAGTTTAACGTTGGTAGTTTAAGTGTTAATAGCTTTTGTTACAAACAGTAGCAAAAAGTTTTGTTGTGTTTTCCTACTTTATTGCGTGTCTGTGGCACGTGTAAATATACCCTAAGTTGTAAAGTTATTTTAACTCAAAGGTTAACTGTCAAAATGTCGGTCAGAATTAAGAAGAGTTGTTTTAATACAAGTTTAAAGGGAAGTTTTAAAGAGGAAATCCTATTCTTTTCTTATATGGACGAATGCAGGTTTGTTAAAACTGATATAGAATTAAAAATATTCAAATTCAGTTTTGCATTGGCAAACAATTTCATTTTCTGATGCTTTGATCACGACCAAAGATTTTGCCTAAAACTGGTTTTAGGCAAAATCTTTGGTCGTGATTTCGGGATAAAAACATTCTGTCGTTAGATAAACGTGTTATTTTAGTGTTCCAGATTTATCATTTTAATACGGTTGTAAAATTTTGATTTTGATGCGTTTTTAATAAAACGGGTGATTTTTAATAGCCTAACTGTCCCACAGCTGGGCCAAGGCCTCATCATTTCACTTCTACACCTCTCGGTCTTTCGACCGTATCCACCATTCTCAACGATAGACGTCTAGATCGTCCATCCTGTGGTGTCCACAGTTTATATGTTTAATAAAACATAAATTTAGTAGTGGCAAAATTAATATCAGAATTTGAACCCGTGCGAAGCCAGGGATGGGTTGCTAGATTAATGTACGTACAGCAAACTTTTAATGAGCTATGCAAAATTTACTTTGCATCACTTGAACACATGAATTAATGGATTCCCTAATATGGCTAACTAATTTCCACCATCTACTAAACTGTCATTAATTGCTTTTACTTATTACTATAATTTACATGTAATTGATAGGAAATTATCATTGGATGTTCATTAAAATTGATGATTTCCGATCATTGTGATTAAAACGAGTCAGTATCGTGACTGTTTCTTTGTAATGAGGAGTTAAAATGTTTTCGATTAATCGCAGTAATTATTTACTTAGTAAGTTACTAATCAAACAATGTATATCACCAATTGAAGGAGATTTTTGTCTAATGTACTGGACTAAAATGCGTGGTTTTTATATTTAAATTTTTAGCTTCGTAAGGTGAATACTCGTTTGATTTCATTTTTATTTATATTTTAACTTTTATTTAGTTTGTGAAGTGGAATCTCGCAACTAAGTTTTGAAGTAAATATTTTTAACCGATTGAGCTGAAATTGTATATATGTAGTAGGTACACGTTTATTTGACATAACCACAAATACATACTAAGTTATATGCCTTAACTCTAAATCCATAGAAATACCACTGAAATGTTTAGTTCCAGGACTTTTTGACAATCCTGACAAAAGCTTGTTATAAAAAGTAAAAAATTATAACAATCTTATCAATAAAAATGAATTGCTGTTCGTTAGTCTCGCTTAAACTCAAGAACGGCTGGTCCGTTTTAGATAATTTTGGTTTTAAAATATTCGTTTAAGTCCAGGGAAGGTTTAAAGGGTCAATGTAATATGTGGAATCTGCTACATTGAAACTGAGATTGTACCTAGTTTTTGATACAACTTAATCAGTAAGTACTTTGTAGTTTTACACATTGTTTTTCTTGCAAATGAAGTCTAAACATCAATATAATATAATAATCAGAAGTTTCGCTATTTCCTACTACGTTCCAAATTCGACAAAAAACTTTCATAATTTACAAGTCTAGGAGTTATCGCTTGAAGACAAACATCATTTCATAACATGCGAAAATAATTTACATGATAATATAAGCTTGGCTGACTTTTGTAAATGTCATTGGATTTAAATATCTGTGATCTATCTGTGGTATCGTTTGTGTGCATATTAATAAGATGAGTTATACATATAGTTG